TCAAACAATATTATAAGATGTATGTATAATAAATAAAAAACTAGGTGCTTTATGTAATTTTCAATCGGTACAATACTGAACACGTGTTAAGTAATTTTGATAGTTGAATCAATCCACTAATCACACTAATGATGTCCAGTAAAATGATGAATGCACTATAACGTTTTTATTAATGGTTTTCCATTTGCATATTCTAAACTTGCATATTAGCATGCAGGTCATTTATTTAGGTTAAAAATCAAAACAGCCATAGCACAGGATGTAAATTGCGAAGAAAGCATCATAATATAAATTTATTGTATACATATATATGGGACACAATGAGCTATTAGAATAAGTAATAATATCTAGAATAACTAAAATATTAGAAAACGGGTTTGAGCTTCTTGATTTAACAAACCAAATATCCAATTACTATTATTTTTCCGGACAAACTCAATTTACTTAGGTCGGTTAATCATCGTTTAGATGACGTTGGTATGACCCGACGAATTGGAAACAATGCAACGATCCATACATGCATAATGCATTAATCGAATTTTTATTGTTTAGCATCGACACGGGTTTAGAATGGTGTGTAAGTATTTTATTTCCTTTGCCTAGACCTAGTTGGAAAGTTATTTTTAACTTTTGAACCGACTTGTACTTATTTAAAATAGTAGGTTAAATATATATGTATGAATGTATACTATACAAATACAAGTTTTAAAAGTTGCTATCAAAAGAACTAAGTTAGGAGGGGAGTAAATATAAAAAATAATTGTGATCCCATTGTATAAAAACTATCTATAAGCTCTATCTATCTATAAGCTCAGCGGACAGCGATTCGGCCATATCGATCAGCGTCTCGCCCGGCATATGACAATCGTAGATGATCTCTTTGCTGACTGGCTGATTGGTGTTTGCGAATGCCGTCGACACGTACACGAACGACTGAAAATATGTTATGACGTTTACATCAAGATCGTAGCGAGCCACTTAACAAATATAAAAGTGGTTGTTCTATATGAAAGTGTAACGCGAAATTGCCACATGAAATTTCTCGTATACAGCACAAGAACACATCCCTTTAAAATGTCGTGTCTTCGAATAATGTCGTCCGAATAAATTTCAAAGAACATACACGTGGTGTTTACTTTCAAGTGGTGTGTTCGACGGGCGATCAACAGTAGATCCCTAGTGGACCTGACGTTGATCAAAGCCGTCCGTTTCAGCGATCCGTTCAGGTAAATCGTCGCCGCGCAATGGACTATTATGTTCATGTTGCTGACCACAAATTCTTCGTCGCTTGGCGATAGACCTAAATTGGGTTGTTCGCAATCTCTGGAAATCAACATAACTCTCTTTATGAAATTCGGTTGCTCGCTCCGGAGTTTGCTAAATAACTAAAAAAGTAACCTATTTATTTTCTCAGCTTCACGGAAAAATATTTAATCACGGATATGTTATCTGTTATATTTTGTCTCTAATTAGCTATTTCTAATAGAAAGTGAAAGTGTAACGTGAAAATGGCGACATGAGTTTTCTGATATCCAGCCCAATAACATATCCATTCGAGACACTCGATATTATACTGACCGGACCATCGAACATCTGATGTAAGGCTCTTTACCCTTTTTCGGTCTCATCAGCAAATACACGTGATTGACTGGACACGATCTGAAATATAATTTGAAAATTAGATTTTTTGGTTAAAAAAATTGTTGCTCGTATAGACAAATGTATAGTATTTTAATTAAGGAAATAATTCATTAAGGAAGGTAAAAAATGTTATTAAAATATTTTTAAATATTAAACTATTATAGCTAATATTGTATATTTATTATTTCCAAAATATTCGAATTTAAGTTCAGATACAGACGAAACGGGACAGTTAAAAAAATAGCTACTTTCGCTCCCTAAACTAGGTCTAAAAAATTATCAAATTGTTTGTTGTATTGGTTGCATTATTGTTTGGACTCAAAATTGAGTTACATCGTGTCAAAATATATATTTTTACTCACCTTGGTTTAAATAAAAGGCCACATTTTTTATTCTACTTTTTGTACAAAACTAGTTCTTTCAAAAATATGTTATATTTAGTCAAGTCGTCTAAATTGAAATTAACATAACTTAATGTGCTGTTAAAATAAATGTAGTTTAAAACAATTTCCTAAAAAAAAATTGGAATTTTTCAAAACATAATGTATTAAAAGAATTTGCATAAAAAAAATATTCCAAAAATGTATTTCAACTGTTTTAAGCAACCTGATGCTTTTATATGTTTGTTTTTAAAAATTATTAATTTTTTTATTTTTTCGACATTCAAAGAAATAAAGGTTTCTCTGAAAAATACCAGTTTTTTTTCAAAAAGTTACGGCTTTATTATCTTTAGGAAATATTATTTTGTCAACCAAGTTGTTATTGCTAATTTCGGCTAAATAAGGAAAGGATATTTTTCATATTTTAATTTCTTCGCGAATGTCGCACTTACCTGAGAACTTTTTCCACCAAAACATGTCCGATGAACCCTGTTGCTCCGGTAATAAATACATTTGTGTCAGCAAGGTAAGAGACAATATAAGATAAATGATGATACGAAAAGGACAATATAGGTTTTAAGTATGATGATAAAACTACTAAAATATACAATAGAGATACAAGTAAAAATATCAATATTAAAGTTGTTTACATGCTGTATGGTTCTAATTAGAGGAGAGTTTTTACCGTATAATGTACGGTGGAATGGCACTTAAAAAAGTGTCGACCTGTCTTGTCAAATGACAAGGAACTGAAAGAGATAATTTAGACAATAAATCTGGACAGTAAATATGGCCATTCAATAATTTGTACATAAAACAGATATCCTGTTTTACCCTTCTAATTTGTAAGGTGTCAAGGTCATATCATATTACTGTTTAATTTTAAGTTTTTTTTTAATATATTTGTAGTAGTGTTTGCGTTATCACAAATGTGGAAACATGTGCTATTTTGTGTTTTTTTTTTAATCAATAATTCTTTTGGGAAATTTCTTTAACAGAAATGGTCCAGCCCACACCATGAAAAACATAAATTGCGGAAAATTGCAAAATTACTGTTTACACCAACATTAGTAACATAATTGTAAATACTTCAGATCGAGATTTTAAAACATTATTATTCTGCCTGTGTTCATAATTGAATTTTGTTCATAGAGTACAGTTATACAGTTTATCTTAAATTAGGAACAAAAATGTTCTTACTAAAAAAATTAAATGGCAACGATAACAGCTGTACAATTTTTTTTTTCATTATTTATTTTATCCCAAATTATAGCAAGTAAGATAAAATATGTATAATATTAATTTAAATAACAAAAGTTTAAACATATTTGATCATATTGTAATATAAAATGTAAAGATTTTGTATTCTCACTTCTTATCAAATCCTAATATCAGTTGCTGCATCATCAAAAAGATAGTTTTATACAATTTTATGTGTGGTTTATTGTTTTTTTAATTTGTATAATTCGCACTTTAAAAACACAGAAACACAGAAACTACTAACACTCACAAGTTATGATAATGATTAATAATAGTATTCATTTTAAATATAAACAAAGAATAAAAACGATAATGAATGCCTATTCTAAATAAATATATTATAATAAACATAATATATAATATAAATACAAAAACAAATATAATAAATAAACTACTACAAACAGTACATAATTTTTAAAGTTTGTAAAACATCACAAGTTCAATACAATCATAGTATATTTTACAAGTGCAAATTATTTTATGTAACCTAGTATAGCTATGTAGTTATACAATTTACAACTTTTCTCCACAACTGTAGACATTTTTTTAAGAAAATTAAAATGAATATTTAGTTGAAGTGATGACGTTTCTTCAATTTACAAAACACAGCCGTATAATAATTGTTACATATTTATTTATAATTAATCTAAAAACGTTATATCTTAGAACACAAAGAAAAATAGTTAGTAGAGTCAACTAAAATATTGGCTAATAAGTATGTTATAAAGGCTTCGTTTATGATACATTATTTTAGTATGTTGTCTAATGTTAATGTCTGTTAAAAATGGCCTATGCTAAATAAGAAATAATTGAATCGATAATAATTTTTCGACATTAAAAAAAAAGACATGAATTGACTTATTAGTGTCAATTTCGTTTAAAAATAGGTTTTAATATACTTTTTTGTTTACATAACTTTTAAATTCAGTTGTATTCAATTTATGTTTAACACTCAATGATGTTTTTTGTTTATACATATTACTACTTAATCAAACAAATTTAGTTTTTTAAACTAACTAAAATCAAAACAAAAAAAACGAATTGTAGAATAGTTATTACGGTAGTAAAAAATAAATTATAATAATTAATGTTTAAGTTTCAGGACACAATAAAATAAAATAATTTGCAAAACTAATAACGCTCACAAAACATCAAATAGTCAAATATCTATTGTTTTGCACAACAAAAATGAAATTTCAATTAAAATACCTTAATACCTATTCAAAATTAGTGTAAAAATAAGAAAATACTTTATAAATATACCTAATACAATCAACATCAAGTCCAACAATAATAATAGTTAATGCCGCATAATATCAAATCTGATAAGAAACCATAACAGTTCCCATACAACGACCTGTCAGCCGTCTCTTGAACGATAATTTATGGTCAATTTTTCAAGTAAAATTTTAAATTAAACCAACATTTTTTTGAAAAAATTACTTATTTAACAGAATATCTCAAAAAATTTGGAGATTCCCGTTAAAGTTTAAAAAAATATATTCCATATATACCTGAAAATATAAATATTTTTTTCAATAAAATTTAGGATGAATATCTTTTACCACTGCAACAATAATTTTAAAAACATGATTCTAAAGCCATTTTACATCCAAAATAAATACAGTTTCCTGATTTCCGTAAAAATATTGTTTATTGAAATAGTAATTTACTACATTTCTTTAGGTCTGCGCTAATTACACGATGTCAAGTTGACGTTTTTTGTAGTTTAATTTTCAATACTTTGTTCAAAGTCAGTGCAATTGTAATGATGTATCAAGAATTGGGAAAATTGTAAACACAATTAAAAACAATCCTTTTTTTTTTATTTTTTAAAACTACATGAATACACCAACGGAGTATTGATATTATGTAAATTTGAATACACAATTCAAAATAAAATACAATGAATATAACAGGAATGCGTAAAGTGTTCCGTTGAATGTGTAGTAAGCGGTCGTAATCCTGAAAAAAAAAACAATAATAGTTACACTTTGTCGTTGTAACTGCTATACATAAATATTATCCAAATAGAGCAACATGGTTAAATTTTATATGTTGTTTTTTCTTAAAAAAATCAAGTAGTGTTCCGAAACGGTTTAAAAAAATTAACCGAAACAGTGAACTTATGTCCCTTATTCAAAATAATGAGTGGAAGAGGGGTTGAAGTGATTTACATAACAAATAAAGGGTAGCATCATTCCTATCTGCACCCTCCTCTATGTATGACAGTACTATTTTTTAAAACCTAATTTGTCTGTGATGTGTCATACCCGACAAGATATTATTAATTTATGAATATTAAATACACACATCCTATGTCTTTTTATGGCTGCTGCGGTGTTGCCATTTTGATTGAAAATATGCTGCCGAGCTCCATAAACAGTAGACAGCATATGTTTGTCCCAATTGATTTTCGATATGTCTATATCGAATAGTACTTTGTCTTCGGCGCTTTGATGCGATATTAATGCCTCCAAATTTCGATCGTCAAATTTGAAATGTCCAGTGCCGAAATATGACATGTCCAACATCATTCTGTAGGCTTTAGAGCAGATCGGTACAACCCTATAATATGGGATTAAAATAATTTCCCATCAATTATGTCTTGTCCGTTGTTAATTAAGTGTTGTTTTTACCTAAATGTGTGTCCAGTAATCCATAGGACCATATCGATTATCGCCGCTGGTATATAATGATACAAATAAAAGAAGACGGTAAAAATAAATTTGTACTTTGTACACAGAACATTTGGAACCCACAACTGAAAAAATAAAAACATAAATATTTTAAGTGAACATTATTATTATTCGATTCTATCCAAATATTGTTTAACAAATCATTGTCGTGCGATAATTACAAAATTTACCTGTTTTTCCAAATATATTTTATGTGTTTTCGTAATATTAACCATAGCGTGTATTGTTTGGCCAAAGGTCAGCGGAGGTGCCAAGTTGTTTGGTACATAATTAAATATTGGTATCACTGAATCCTCATTGCTAAATAAAAAATGCCAAATACATGATAATATATTAATAAGGTATCGAAGGTAGAAAGGAAATTTCAAATGTTAAATAGAACTTTTACAGGACAGAACCGGAACCATTTGTGGACGTATAAGTAGACACAGTAGGGTGAAGTCTGGTTAGAACTAATAGCGAGGGGTGGCGCAGAGGATATAATTTGGCCTATATTTTTGTTAGTTATAAGTTACCTTTTCTTTGAACCTTGCCAGACTGCGGTAATAATCAAATTGGCCACTTTGTCGGCTGGTACGGTAACGGCAGGCGCGTCTGTGTCACAAATCAATACACGTACTGCACCTATTCCAATGGCTGTGCACAGACCGGGTACGCTTTTCACAGATGTAAACCAACCGGTTATCGGTTCGTCTTTAGTGAACGTGACTAGGACAAAAATAAACTATGAAAATAATTGATAACCAAGTTGAAAATAAGTCGGTAATTACCGATCGAAGGTCTGACAATGCTTATTGGCAAATGTTGACCGTACTGTTTAACTAGATTTTCCGCAATGCATTTTGTAAACGTATACGTGTTGGGCCAAGTTTTCAAACACCTTTAAAAACGATTAATGCACATTGATGAGTTCTGCGCTGGAACTACTACTCAGGAATTTTTTATTTTTATTTTTACTACACTGTTTTGTTATGGAATCTATAAGCTCAGCGGACAGCGATTCGGCCATATCGATCAGCGTCTCGCCCGGCATGTGACAATCGTAGATGATCTCTTTGCTGACTGGCTGATTGGTGTTTGCGAATGCCGTCGACACGTGCACGAACGACTAAAAATATTTTATGACATTTATAATCATAGGCTCACTTAACAAATACAAAAGTGGTTGTTTCTATATGAAAGTGTAACTCGAAATTGCCACATGACATTTCTCGTATACAGCACAATAGCACATCCATATTAAAATGTCGTGTCTTCGAATAATGTCGTCCGAATAAATTTCAAAGAACATACAAATGGTGTTTACTTTCAAGTGGTGTGTTCGACGGGCGATCAACAGTAGATCCCTAGTGGACCTGACGTTGATCAAAGCCGTCCGTTTCAGCGATCCGTTCAGGTAAATCGTTGCCGCGCAATGGATTATTATGTTCATGTTGCTGACCACAAATTCTTCGTCGCTTGGCGATAGACCTAAATTGGGTTGTTCGCAATCTCCGGATATCAAACTGACTCTCTTTATGAAATTCGGTTGCTCGCTCCGGAGTTTGCTAAATAACTAAAAAAGTTATTACCTATTTATTTTAAATAAATTATTCCATTCGAGACACTCATTACGGTGCAATTCGATAGCAAGCAATAACTACGACAAGATGTAATATTATACTGACCGGACCATCGAACATGGCGTTCAAACGGGTGTAAGGCCCTTTGCCCTTTTTCGGTCTCATCAGTAAATACACGTGATTGACCGGACACGATCTGAAATATAATTTGAAAATCGTTTTTTTTTGTTTAAAAAATATTTTGCATCTCCACCCTTGTAAAAAATGTATAGTTATTTTTGATAAGGAAATAATTAATCTGAAGATAAAAATCCCAGCTGTACCAGAATGACAATAATAAGCTAAAATATTAATTTTTTAGCGTTAGGGTCGACTATCTGTCTATTATAATTTATTTCCATATATTATTAATATATTGTAATAATGAGCTTGAACCCTATATTTGGCTCAATAGAGTGCCTTTCAAGTACGATTTCTGATTTATAGAGTCACTACACGAATAAATCAGTTCAATAAACTAGTTCTTTCAACAAAAGTATATATTTAGTCAAGTCGTTTAAGGTCTAGTTAAAATGAATAGAGTATTAATATTCATATTAAAAGAATTTTAATTTATACAGTATTTCAAAAATGTATTTCAACTGTTTTAAACAACCTCATGCTTTTATATGTTTGTTTTTAAAAATTCTTTATTTTTTTATTTTTTTGACATTCAAAGAAATAAAGGTTTCTCTGAAAAATTCCAGTTTTTTTTTCAGAAAGTTACGGCTTTATTATCTTTAGGAAATAGTGTTTTGTCAACTAAGTTGTTATTGCTAATTTCGGCTAAATAAGGAAAGGATATTTTTCAAATTTTAATTTCTTCGCGAATGTCGCACTTACCTGAGAACTTTTTCCACCAAAACATGTCCGATGAACCCTGTTGCTCCGGTAATAAATACATTTGTGTCAGCAAAGGTTTTCTGAATTTCACTATAAGGTTTTTCAAGTGAAGTGGTCATGTTTGTTATCAAACAATATTATAAGATGTATGTATAATAGATAGAAAACTAGGTGCTTTATGTAATTTCCAATCGGTACAATACTGAACACGTGTTAAGTAATTTTGATAGTTGAATCAATCCACTAATCACACTAATGATGTCCAGTTAAATAATGAACGCACTATAACGTTTTTATTAATGGTTTTCCATTTGCATATTCTAAACTTGCATATTAGCATGCAGGTCAATTATTTAGGTTAAAAATCAAAACAGCCATAGCACAGGATGTAAATTGCGATGTAAGCATCATAATATAAATTTATTGTATACATATATATGGGACACAATGAGCTATTAGAATAAGTAATAATATCTAGAATAACTAAAATATTAGAAAACGGTTTTGAGCTTCTTGATTTAACCAATTACTATTATTTTTCCGGACAAACTCAATTTACTTAGGTCGGTTAATCATCGTTTAGATGACGTTGCTATGACCCGACGAATTGGAAACAATGCAACGATCCATTCATGCATAATGCATTAATCGAATTTTTATTGTTTAGCATCGACACGGGCTTAGAATGGTGTGTAAGTATTTTATTTCCTTTGCCTAGACCTAGTTGGAAAGTTTTTTTTAACTTTTGAACCGACTTGTACTTATTTAAAATAGTAGGTTAAATATATATGTATGTATGTATACTATACAAATACAAGTTTTAAAAGTTGCTATCAAAAGAACTAAGGTAGGAGGGAAGTAAATATAAAAAATAATTGTGATCCCATTGTATAAAAACTATATAAAAATTAAAATTAAATTTCTTATTAAACCCTATGAGGTAAATACTATACAATTACCACACTGTATATTTACATAGTATATCAAATACATATACAGATAAGAATATAAAAAGTACTTTAAAAACTGACGTCATAAGTTGATAAAAAAACTCACTTCTATCATTTCCTTTAAAAATTCACCAAGTCCAGACACGGTCAAATTAACCCGATAATCTATTATTGTTTTATTATTAAGTTAAAAAGTGATGGTTAACAATCGCTTTTCGAAATAGGCGGTTATGGATTGATTTGTAGATTTTTAAAAGGATAATTCCATCTGATTTGCATAAAACAATAAAAAAATCATGTAGTTATGATGAGATGATATGATATGATGATAGTTATGATGTAGTTACGCTTGGCTGTAGTACTAATTCAATTTTTTTTCAGATTCTTCTGACATTGTCGATTGCAAGTTGAAATTAATTTTGGGATTAATATGGACGCTCATTTTACATTATTCCATATCAATGCCAATGTGGGAAGGCGAATTCGGCGAGCAGTCACCAAACGACAAGGGCCCGACGCCCAAACAAAGGTACAAAAAAAAAAAAATGAAATATTAGAATTATTCCTTATTTATGTAGCAAGTAATCACTAGGCGTTCTAAGAGTTTTCTGGTTCTTCCGAGTTTTCATCCGGAACCTAAATTATAAAATATACAGATTCGAAAGATGCATACTCGGTTTTTTTCTATTGTCAATATTACACTTAAAAAATAATACACAAAATGATGATTCATATTATCTGAGGTGTTGTAATTGTAGGAATACAATGAACGGAGTAATCAAGAAGGCAAGCGAAAGTGTCACCGCTTTAAATAAAAAAAAACTTCCTTTATGAGTTGTTATGTAAACACTGCACAGTCGCCCCTTATATAGATCAATAGATAAACTAAAATTCCATACGACAATATAATAACTGATAACTGTCTTTTGTTTTGTATCATACGGTTGCAGTAGTGAAACAATTGAACAATACTCGTATGTACTTGAGAAATTTAATGACTTTGTTTTGGCCACACTGTAGCTCGCCTTTTCGCTTACTTCATAATATTATTTTACTTATTGCGACACCCCGATGATAACAAACACCAGTGTAGCCAACCAAAATAACCACATCTGGAAACTGTTTAAAACGAATAATAATGATCTATTTATCTATTTTAATCATCCTTGAACTTGGGTTTGTTTTACTTCGTTATTTTTAAATGGACGTTTACCAAATATTAATTTATGACTATTTTGTAGATTGCTCAACTGGATCCAGAGTAAAGTGCCCGATTTGCCCATATCAAACTTCACCACGGATTGGAACGACGGGAAAGCGGTTGGAGCTTTGGTCGACGCCGTCGCTCCTGGTGCGATATTTTTATTCACGTTTGCTCTCAATGTTGGTTGTGTGTGTCTAACAGGGTTAGGGTTTCTGTTTTCTAGGTCTGTGTCCGGATTGGCCTAATTGGAAATCCGAGAACGCTCTGCAGAACGCAAAGGAAGCCATGGGCTTGGCCGACGACTGGCTCGACGTCAAACAGGTAACGTGTAACACATAATATCATTATCATTTGTAATCTATACCCTATGGCGAATGGATAGTGATCGCTAAACGTCTGCTGTTATTTGTAGCTAATCAAACCCGAAGAGTTGGTCAGTCCCAACATGGACGAACAGTCGATGATGACTTATCTGTCTCAGTATCCCAACGCCAAATTGAAGCAAGGAGCGCCGCTCCGGGCGAAAAACAACCCAAGCCGGTAAGCACAATAAGAGTTGTAGTGAAATATTTTCATTTATCGTTTGTCCACTTTTTTAGTGTACGCGTTTACGGGCCCGGCATCGAACCCACCGGTCAAACGGTCGGGGAAAAAACGAATTTTACCATAGAAACGTTTTCGGCAGGCAAAGGAAACGTGGACGTTATCGTGGAGAACCCGAAAGGCAAACCGGAACCGGTGAGTATTGTGTTGTAGATAAAAATATATTTTTGTTTTGCACGTGCATATGATTTTTAAACGTTCCTATTTGAACTAGGTGAACGTTGTGTTCAACAACGACCGCAGTCAGACCTATACGGCCACTTACAAACCGGTGTTGGACGGACCACACAAGGTGCACGTTAAGTACTCCGGCGTGCAAACTCCAAAATCGCCTTACCTCGTCAACGTGGAGTCGGCTGGCGGCGATCCGACCAAAGTCAGAGTGTTCGGGCCGGGCGTTCAACCCGAAGGAGTGTCAGTGGGGAAACCGACTTATTTCGAAATACACACAAAAGACGCTGGCAAAGGAATACCCGAAGTGTTAATTTTGGATCCGACCGGCCGCGAGAACACCGTCCAGGCAAAGTTGAAGAAAGAAGCCGAAGGCGTGTACAGGTGCGATTACATGGCTGTTGCCCAAGGAATGCATTCCGTCAACGTTTTCTTCTCCAAACAACCTGTGCCTCACAGCCCGTTCGCCGTTCTCACGACACTCGGTAAACTACCAGTTGCTAACGGTTTTCATACATAGTCCGGTAGAAAAATCATTGATCATTGTTTCTGATTGCTTTCCACACAGCTTCGGACGCCAAAAAAGTGAGAGCTTTCGGTCGAGGACTACAACCACACGGTGTCCGGGTCAAAGACGAAGCTAAGTTTAAAATAGTGACCGAAGGAGCTGGCGAGGGCGTGCCCGAAGTGAACATTATCGGTCCAGGTAAAGTCCACTTATAATCTACCCGGGTTGATTCCCTTCAAGCGCCGGCAATTCCAGTGGTATACCTGTACAGGAATTCCTTAAAAACACCCTCCAGACGACCTATTATCACCTTGCAGACAGAGTGTCCAACTCTCAAACTTTTATTTAAATAAATTCACAAACGAAAAATTCAACAATGTTTCTTTATTTCTTTACTCTCTTAACTCTTATACTTTAAACCTATATAAATATGTCAAATTATCAATTTCTAGACTACAATAGACATCTTACGGTTATATAGAGACAAATACCACCTGCAGGACTCATCATGAGAGAGTACAATTTGTGTTAACATGTGGTGTGTGTTTGTTTTTGTTATTCGAACAGGTGGAGTGAAGGAACCGGTGCAAATGAAGAAAATCGATCAGCACACTTACGACGTGGCTTACTACCCGAGAAAAGTTGGACGGCACATCGTTATGATAACGTTCGCCGGCCAAGAGATTCCCAAGGCACCTTTCGAAGTGCACGTCAACCCCTACAAGGAGACGTCGATCCGAGCTTATGGCCCAGGTCTGACCGGCGGAGTGGTTTCGCATCCGGCTATGTTCACCGTGGAAACCAATGGCGAAACTGGTTCCTTAGGTGAGTACTGTGCTAGAGACTTTTACTGCCTTGAGTTTCTCCAACTGAAATCCGCTAGACGGGTTCTTTTTCATTTTGATCCAATCCAATAATTTTTCAACTATGTATATATTTTTATCCTCTAAAGGATTCAGCATCGAAGGACCGTCTAAAGCTAAAATCGATTGCCACGACAACGGCGACGGATCAGCCGACGTTAGGTACTACCCTACAGCACCTGGAGAATATGCCGTGCACATCTTGTGTGACAATGAGGACATCCCCAACTCTCCCTACATGGCCAACGTGATACCCAGCACAGATTTCTACCCAGACAAGGTACATACTTGTGTGCTAAAAGTGAACAACACTTTGATAACCATAGAACTAATGCTTTCAATAATATTTTGCCATCGTACAGGTCAACTGTTACGGTAACGGTCTTCAGCCAAACGGCGTCGTCCAAGGACACCCAGCAGAGTTCGTGGTGGACACAAAAAAAGCAGGAAAAGCTCCACTCGACGTTAAAGTGATTATTTTACAAGAAAATATGTTTAACATTATATTGATTGAATTAATATGTGATTTATTGACAGGTTTTCGACTCTAACTGCAATACAATTGAGCCTATTGTTAAAGACAACCGAGACGGGACTTACTCTTGTAAGTATGTTCCTAAAATGGACGGAAAACACACACTTCAGGTGAATTTCGACGGATGAAAGATGAATAAAAATAAAACAATTGATTAAAATGGTTTTTGTGTTATTTTTCAGGTTAATTATGGAGGAGTAGCAGTGCCACAGAGTCCGTTCCGGGTGTTCGTGGCGCAACCGTTAAATCCAAACAAAGTGCAAATATTCGGTCCTGGAATTGAGCCCGGAGTCAAGGCTAACAAACCCAACCATTTCACTATCGATTGCTCCGAAGCCGGCATAGGTAAGCTGGCGTTTCCCTAGAAGAGTAGCTATAACTATAGGATAGGTTATTGGAAAAAGTTTCAAAAAAAAAAGCAACATAAACAAATTAATTAACTCTTACACTTTAAATTTGGCCTAAAATACTACTTGATCAGTCTAAAATAAAAGCTGCATCCTATGCTTTACAGTCCTAGTAAATCATAATTTTGAATGTCTTAGGCGAATTGAACGTGAACCTCCTCAATGAAAAAGGTGTGAACGTACCACTGCAAGTCAACGATAACGAAGACGGTTCGTTCTTGATAGACTACGTACCGCCTACTCCAGGGGTTTACAATTTGAACTGCACATACGGAGGATCCAAAGTACCAAACTGTCCGATTAAAATCCCCGTCCAACCCCAAGTAGACTTGTCTAAAGTCAAAGTAGACGGCCTCGAACAGCGTAAGTATTGTAATCATAACACTTAAGTTTTTTTCCCAAAAGGTTTGGGTAGATTAAGAAGTAAGACGTAATAAGAATTTATAAAAACTTGGCTGAGTTGATTAGATTTCATCTGTGGATTTGATGCGATATCTAAAGCTTATTTAAGATTTCTTTGAATATCCTCATATACTCGGCTTTGTGCTGTCGTTTGAGCTCATTGCAGAGTCATCTACTCAATTCCATTTGTATACTTATCATTAACGCAGGTGGGATTTTGGGTTATTGTCTATGGGTTTCCAAAAAACCGTTAAGTAATGTAATTTGTATGCGCTTTCGCATCACTGTGTACATATTAATTGTTTGGCGGCTATCATAATGCATCATTGTGGCCATTGTGACGTAGTGGTGCCAATGAACAGTCTCCAGCAATTCCGGGTGATGACTAGGGACGCCGGTAAAGCCGAGTTCGCCGTGATAATTACCAGCCCGTCCGGCGGCTCGGTGAAGGCGCACGTCGTGCCCTTTGAAGACGGTTACAAGGTGAGCTTCACACCGGCAGAGGTTGGCGAATACCGACTTAGCGTGACTCTGGGCGGCGAGACGGTGGGCCGAGCACCTTACCGTATGCAATGTGTACAGACCAGCGACCCTTCCAAAGTGTTCGCCTACGGTCCCGGACTCTCCGGGGGTATGGTCAACCGACCGGCCGAGTTTACAATCGACACCAAGAAAGCCGGTCAAGGAGGTCTCGGGGTCACCGTAGAAGGACCATGCGAGGCGTCTATCAACTGTCGCGACAACGGCGATGGCACGTGCTCGGTTGCCTATATGCCAAGGGAAGTAGGCGACTACGTGATAAACATCACTTTCAACGATTGTCTCATACCCAAGGCGCCTTTCTTAGCCATGATCGGCGGTCAACCTCGGCCACAGAACATCAAAGCTTCCGGCAACGGTCTGCTGCCCAACGGTAAAGCCACGACGACTCGGTGTGTGTTACGGTTTTCTACTAACATCTTTGCTGCCCAGAAATATTGAAGTTGCTCTACGTTTCCTGCACTTTGAGAACAGAGCAAAACTCTTGAACCTATAACCGTTAGATCTGCAATATTGATCATCTTGAGTCCGCACCTAATAATATAGAACGTTTGAAGCTTAACATCATACCTAATAATCATTACCAATATTGTCAACGAGCATCGATACCTAGTCTAATAATTATTAATAGCAGTTAGTATTTTTCCTATTGTATCCGTTAGTGTGTAAGAGTTATTTTGAATTGATGTTACAACGCCGCTAACTCGATTGTTATATTAATTTAATACCTACTACTGTTTTTTTTTATATAATAATAATTTGTTTAAGTATTATAACTGAACGGTTGTTATTAATTCTGATATGCTGTTTTTGTTTTTAATTTTGTGTTTAATCGTTGAAAAATAGTATATTTATAAGGTCGGCAATATAAGCGTGATTATGTTTGTTGTTTTTTTAGGAGTCTTCTTGGATTCACCGACTGATTTCATTGTTGACTCTCGAGGCGCTACCAAAGTCGGACAAGGAGTCGTAACGTGCACAGTGACCAATCCATCTGGCACCAGGACAGAGACTTTCATCGCTCCTCAGGGCGACGGCACTTACAGAATAAGTTACACTCCGTTCGAAGAAGGTAATAAATAGGTTTTGTGCGATCACAGCAAATGGCAATGAACAGTTAAATAACTTCAATTTTTATTCAGGACAACACACTGTTGAAATATTTTACGATGGAATGCCGATTGTGGGGTCTCCGTTTTCCGTTAACGTTAAACGTGGCACGGATGCGAGCAAGTGCAGAGCTTACGGTCCAGGTCTGTCCAAGGCGGTGTTAAACAAAGTGAACGCGTTTACTGTGGAAACTAAAGGTAATTAACGTTAAGCCAATAGAACAAACGACTACAATAGGTTCTAATCTCATTAAAATCTGACCAATTTCCAAATATTTTCAATTGGGTTTCAGGAGCTGGAACTGGAAGTTTGGGATTGGCTATTGAAGGCCCGTCTGAGGCCAAGATGACGTGCAAAGACAACAGGGACGGATCTTGTTCGGTGGAGTACACGCCCACCGAACCCGGTGAATATGATGTGAGCATACAATTTGCGGAAAAGCACATTCCGGGATCACCGTTTAAGGTATTATACGTTTTGCGGCTGTATGAATTGTTACTATCTGGAATTTAAATTAATATTAATAAACAACACAAAATTCAAAATTCAGGTCGGGGTAGATCGTGCAGCCAACGCGAATAACATAGTCGTATCCGGACACGGTTTGAATCCGAAATACTGCAGAGATGATACGCCGGCAACGTTTAAAATTGATGCTACCAGAGCGGCAAAAGGCAACTTCGATGTCAAAATGACTACTGACAGAGGTAGTGTTCTATACTAACGTTTATTCGCCCATCTTCTGCTCCCATTAACTTAGTGAGGTTTTATTCTCCATTGATTTTATAGAGAGACCTCATAATATTTCCCCCAAATTTCTTGGGACCGGAGTACCAACTTGACCTACTATATAGACAGGCGTTATGTAGCTTACATTTTTCATAGTGTAAAGTTGCTGTGTATTTTTGTTGTAGGACCATTGCAGCAGAAACCTCTGATTCGCGACAACGGTGACGGAACATATGAAGTCAACTTCACTCCCAACCACGAAGGTGCTCTACTCACAGCTAACGTATTATACAACGGAAGTCACGTCCCGAACAGGTATAGTTATAATGGACACATTAGGTGTTAAAGTGAACGTACAATTAATTTCTGGTTTCCCCATTAAATCCTATAGATTCTAAAAGCTTTTTACCTCATTAGGTCGGTAGGAATGGTAGAGCTTATGTAGTTAACAAAGATTTGTAAGATAAATAAATGGTAGCTATCAGATATAAAATGACAATAGCTCATTCTCATTTGAACATATTTTGTTTGAATAATTTTTTTTTTTATTTCACAGCCCGTTCAAAGTTAGAGTACGACCAAAGTTCGAGTTGGACAAGGTGAAAATCGAAGGACCCGGAGTGTCGGATTCCAGAGGAGTCAAGGCGTCGATTCCCACGTACTTTGTGGTGGACGCCACTGAAGCGGGAACAGGCAAACTGGACGTTAGGATTGTGGTGAGAATATTATACAATTCTTTTAGAAGTCAATATAATTCTCAGTCATCTAGTCGAACTGTCATTTTTACTTTACTCATTCATCAAGAGAGGACTACTTGAATCCTTTAATCTTCTTTGATTTTGTCTACTCTCTTCAACCTCTCCTTTCCTTTTTCAACACGCTGAAACTAGTTTCACATGCTATTTCGTATTTTTACATGTTATTTATGCTGCTCCCGAATCTTAAAGCATCATTCCACTATAATTTTATTTTATCCAATTCTCTCTGATCGGTTTTTTCGACTGTTAACTTCTCGGATATTTATACTGATAACTATTCTTCTTTTTTTCTCAGGGACCGGACGGCTATCCGAGAAATGTGGACGTGGACAAAGTCGATCAGAATTTGTACAAAATCAAATATACACCCGACGATTGTGGTAGTTACTCAATAGAAGCCTTGTACGGAGGCACCCAACTACCCAACACTCCCATAAACGTGCAATGTTATCCCACTGGAAATGTAAGTTAATCATATTTTACTTTATGCATGAAAATATATATTTTTTTTTTACTTAACATTTGATAATGTTAACGTTTTTTATCGATTCTTGTGTGACATAACATAATGACATATTACCAATCGTCGTGTACTATAAATGAGCCGACCTCTGACCCTTCGCTGTGTTTTTCTACAAGAATATGCTGTGATCCGCTGTGTTATGCTTGAATTTAATTTCTCGCTTAAATGAGTAATTTTTTATATTTTTTTATCTAAGACGTATTATACGATTTTGAACAACAACAATAATACAGACAATCTCAAGTGCGTTTACAGTGTGGCTTATGTTGTGATTACAAAACGATTGTTTGGATTTGAGCAAATTCAAACGTCGCAGCTTTTAGTTTGTCGTTTGCCCGCGAATTGAGTGGTTTTAGTGAGTGCCAAACTGTTTTTTTCTTAGTTTTAAATACCTGATTGCTGTTTTATTTTTTTTCTGTATTCATTTTGACCTTGCGAAGGCGAGCAATTGTCGAATCATCGGAGCTATCGATGGCCGAGTAACGGTCGGTAGATACAATAGTATCAATGTAAACGCGAGAAACTGTGGTGAAGGAAACGTCACCTGTCGCATCAAACCGGTGGACGGAGAGTAAGTCAATACTCTTTAGTTGAACCAGTGCCTGGCTAAAAACTAATAGTTTCCTTAAAACAAAGCAATTCCAAAAAACAGTCAAAATTTGAAGATGTCGTAGAAGATAATTAAGATAAGTTTCTTTACTGCAAAATGTAGCTTTTCACTATCATATCTCTTATCTGAGAGTTCCTATCAATCACAATTCTTATCTCCTATCAGCTAGTTCTTCATTATCAATTACCATTCATATCACAGTTGTAGGTAAAACATAATTGGACAAGACAAAACTTTTATGCTTGAACGATATAAAGTTGAAACGTTTATTTTGTTATTTCACAAATGAAAATTATTTTAGAAATCTCATTAAGGTTTTCAAGTGTATCCATTTAATAGTTATAACAATAATAAAACAATTTACCATAAACAATTGTTTCAATAAGCAATTTCTTCTAACTATTACAAGCACTAGATAGATTGTATAATTAATTTTTTATTTAGGGTCGTTTTTTCCATTTCTTTGTGATCTTTCATCATCATCGTGCCTCTTATTGTTTATCATTCTTTATCAATCGCTATCATATTATCTCTGGCCGGTTATTATCTCTACCAATCGTCATTCTTATCACTTATCATTTGCCAGTGATTGATATGGTAATCAATCATCATTCTTATCGTCATCATATCCCTCTTACTAGCTGAATCCCTGTTCCTATCATGACTTGTCTTGTTATCCCTTTACTGTGCAATGATCCAAATTTGGAAGGGTTAAGGAAGACACGAACATGATCAGCTACCATTGTCTGGTGTTCAGTAATGTTATCAGGCATTATCACACAAAATGGCGGTGACCGTCTTCTTAAATATATACAACACACAAAACTAAATAGGTCAGGTTACAAAATGGTCGTTACTTTTTGGTTGTGACTCTTCTGCTTTTATCAATTCTGTGATGTTATTAGCCAGGCATTTGTAGCAGTGGGCCAATGGCGCTGTGTAAACATACATTATGTGAGAATGTGTGTGTGTGTGTGTGTTTGTATTGTTGCAGTCTTTATGAAAACGTGGAAGTAGTCCCTAGAAACGACGGCACTTACACGGTTAGCTATTTGCTCAAAGTGCCGGGACAGTACATGTTGAGTCTGAAGTACGGAGGGCAACCGGTGCAAGAAGGAGTTTACACATTTATGGTAACGCCATGAGCGAAACACAAAAAGAAACTAATAGGAAACAAACCCGCAGAGGATCATATTTTAATCGACTAAGCTTTTCATAATATAATTTATACATAAAATATAAATACATACATTTTTTTAAAAAATTATATATATATTATTATGTTATGTCGTTTGAGCGTTTGTACTATTCATTATACCGGTAGCGGGGCATGATTTAATATTATTATTATTATTATTTGTTTGTTATTAATTATTTAATCATTTTTATTGTTATCCAATACCGTTGTGAAACCTGATATTATTATTAATTATTACTATTTTATTATCGTTTGTCAATAGAAACACACGCAACCCGATATGTCGCATGCATATATTTTCAATAGGCATTTTTTTTTTTTTTTTTTAATAAAGCAAAATTTAACAAATCACAAAATAATCGACGTACAATATCATTCCTTTTGGCATGGCAATTTCCTCTTTTTGAAAATGAACTTTCAAGGCTCAAACGGTTTGAAAAATTAATTTTTTTTTCCACTTATCCTAATGCGGTTGTTAATGACTTCGAGTGCGCTCTCTTAAGTCCGCATCTGCCCTATGTTTAGTGCGAGTTGACCAATCTACTTGCACGTCAAACTATACATCGATCAGGTCAGTTCGAGATGGTATAATATGCGATTGTAGTAATCTGTTGTGTTGCCTGATTATATATCGTCACCTCGCCACTAACCGTGTCTTTCGCTTGTGATCATTATAATATCGTTACTTGTCGTTATTTAAAAATTAAATAAAATGTATTTTGAAGTATAATTGTTGTTTTTCGCAACCCAATAATGTTAGTTTTACGGTGCCGACTTTTTTACCTTTTGATAAACGTACCAATAATTTTGATTAAATATTAAATTGTGTTCCTCAAATTGTCGGTCGCGCTAACCTTTTGATTAACAGCTAATTTCAAAATGTATGCTTCTCCTTCTAAGTCTTGATTTGTACCATTCACTTGACTCTTCTGCAACGCATTCTTTATGTTATCCTTATTAAATGCTTTATTCTCTAACTATTTCTCTCCAACGCAATGACTCATCCTTATGTTGATCTATTGCCCTTTGTACAAGTTTCATTGCCCACACTTTCTTTCCAAAAGCCGCTCAAAATATCCCACTCTCTCTCTCTCTGTACCTACGCTGTCATTAATTGTTGCAAGGGTAAAAAAGACATAAGTATACCTTCTGAATAATTGTAATGTCTTACTAACTAGTTAATAGCTGTTGTTGAATAGTCTGGACTAAGCTAGCACTGTATATCCTTGACGTGGCGCGATATTTATAACCGTTGTAGTTTGAGCAATGAGATTTTTTTGGTAACGAGGCCGGTCCAATTGTGTCCTATATTAAAAAATAAATAATTCGTTTGTTAGCATAATAACATGCAATGTAAACACACCCGCAAGTCGAGACGTCTTCATTTACCGCGTGTAGCGAAAAAAAAACTCCAATGCCAAGTCGTCAAGTTCACCAATTTACAAATAATTCCACTTTTGTTGTAATCTTTGCGACACTCGTGCAAACACACTTTACAACAAATTCGGATCTAGGTGACCGAAATTTTTATTATTAGACACTCATCGGCGGACGACATTCGCAATAATAAATGTGTTTAAATAGAACATGCTTGAATTTTTTTTTTATAAATCGCCGACATTCCACCAATAAAGGCCACAATAGCCCTGAGTTTTATATTCGCCGCCATCGCGTTGCCTCTCTTTGATATCAGGTTACAAAACTTAATAGACATTGCGGTATGTTCATTAAATAGTATAGCAATCCTTAGTGTGCGACCAAAAACCAAACATTGACCTGTAGATATGGGGTGTGACACATTCCCTATGCATTTATCGTTTGATAGATGTACTGACTTTGGCAAAAACATTATCTTGTACGACGGCTTGATTGCAATTTTACACTTTAAAAGTAATTATCGTCAACCTAATTGTTGTTATGGCTGCAAAAGACACTAATCGTTTTTAGTGAAATCATATCCACAGCCAGTCCGTAGTTGCAAAATCCATCGATACTATTCCCATGCAAACACAACAAGTCTTCCGGTTGTCAATTTGTCATCCGGTGTAACGTCGATTTGCCAACACATTTAGACTAATTGCCGAGTAGATCTACAGCGCGGTTTGGCAGGTGTCCAGGCTACCGTTGATCGATCCAAATCGTTTGATCGATAGCTTGGGTAATCGGTCAGACGACGTGGCAATGAAATCGAATGCACCTTTAAAATAATTTTCCACTCGATTCGGTCGATTGCATGTTTGCCTAGGCCTGGAACAGGACATGCAACGAATCACTACACGAATGTGTGGAAATTCCTTCGGGTTCTCTCAGTTGGATCCGTGCCCGATGATCGCGTACGACACCCACAACACAACAGCACTCTCCTTCCTCTTGCCGCGGGTCCCCAAAGCCATTAACGCCGCATCGCTCCCACCACGACACCGATCCCTGCACAACAATAATTTGACCATCGTCTGGACGATTATAAATAAAATGTTGCACTTTCCACACCAGATTTTTTTTTCATGCATTGTATTAAATTGCCTCTAGTAAACCGAGCACGTTGGTTCCGCGTCCCCGCGTTGGTGTGTGTGTGAGGTTGATGCATATGCTCGTTGTTGCAGTCTGCCAGTGCATTTAGGTAAACCTTTGCATTCTATTGTCATTACACCGACGGCGACCCTCCTTAGACGATTGTTATAGTACGGCCGTTTGGAAGTATAGACCACTTTTTTACAACACACATCTACAAAAAGCTTCAGACTTCTAACCGAGTGCGTGTGTAACAATAGAACGTACTGTGATTTTTTGTCGTCAGCTTTTGTATCATATTTGTTGATTTTTTTTTTCTTAATCACTAACCCCCGTGCGTTCCTTTGACAGGCGACTTTGGAAGAACCGGCCGTGACGAAACGATTGCCCAGAGACTTTGCGGAGCATCTGCGCATCGACGAACAAATCCAACGAACGAGCACAGTCACTACCACTGAATATAGGCCGGTGGTTTTAGACAAGATACCGGTGCCGACTAGCAGAGGAAATTTGACGGGTAAGCATTACATATTACACTATTGTGTTTTATCATATTTAGCCTTAGCAGAATGTAGGTGGTCAAAATGCCCTTATCGTCATTGCCAGTTCGGTAGATACATTTACTTGCCCTCGTTTAATAACTCTGTTACGCCAGAAATGTTTGGTATTATTCGCTATTTACAATAGACGTTAATTATTTTAAATCTACAAATTTAAGAAATCAGCGACGTTCGTCGAATGCATTGGATAATTAGGTTACTTACACTGGAAAACTTTTTTTCTTGACAGTGTTACCTACTAGTTTTGAGATTGTTGCCAATTTGATATGATTAACTGCAGCGTTTAGTCAACATTTTCAAATGTTATATAATTGGTCGTATACGACTCATGGGATGTTGAATAGCGTTGTTCTTAATTAACAACTAGATATTTTAAAATTTCTTCAATTTCTTTAACTGTCTTTTATCCGACATATTTTTTCTCTTTGATTGTTCATCTCTATCCAACAAAAATGTAATACAAATGCCATTTCTCTCGAGTTGGCAAATATGTGTAAAAAATAAATTACAAATAGTAGAAATGTCACAGATTAAGAGAAGCAGCTATGTTTACCGAATAAAAAACATACTGGGTGCAGTAAAACTATATTTTATCGACAAATGTTTACGTTAATATAATTCCCATTTCCAAGTCTTAAAAGCAGTAATAGTTTTTTTATTTGAAAAAGGAAAAACCATTGGCCTACAAACCGGCATTACATTATATTTTTCTGACACATCGTTTCTTTTGCTAGGTCTAAAATAACATCATATTATTATTCCATCTGGGCCGTACTGCCGAATGTCTATGACGAATCCGGTGTGTGTATAAGAACAGCGCAGAGTGTCTCTTTGATGGCAGAAAGAGAGAGAGAGTATTATATTTTTGGAAACGACGAGGGATACAATTTAAATAGCTTGTCGTATTAAACTTTTTTTTTTTTATACTAATTCGGTGGGTTTTCGTTTGCAAACTCGATTTGTTTCCACGGATATTTTACGGTCCGTGGTAATCATAATTATCATTTGCATTTGATTTATCGTTGGCGTAGCTAATTGTCAATGGCCAAGCACAGACACGATGTACAATTTGCTGCTCTCGTTATATAAAAATCATCCGGGCCGAGCCAACTATAACATAATATTATATTATAATATGTACACTTTGAGCAAAATGGCTTTTACTGGTAGAAAAAAAAAATGATTTAAATTAAAAATTATACCTTGAAGCTTATACAAATTAACCGGTAAATTAATTGACAAAACCCCTTTAAAAACAGACCGCATGCAATTCTTTTAAGCGGGCGTGATACCCTTATTTATTAAGGAGTTTGGTATAGGTAATTTTTTTTGCAAAATCTTAATTTAAATTTTAAATTATAACGTGTAGGTAATTATTAGTTTGGTAATTACGAACAAAACTTAATCCTTTACAGCGATTTAAAATATTTTCTCGCATCCAAACACAGCCAAGCAGAAATGGTTACAGGTATTTTACTAAGCGAGTAAACTGCATTTCTTAACGCTGGAAAATTGAGTGTATAACATCCTCCTAAGATTTGTGTCATTTGGCCGGACGACGTTGCTGTTATATATACTAAAAACCGCGGTCGCGCCCAAATCTACTAGTTTTGTTCTACTTAATATTAATCGCCCGGCGGTTTTAAAAATTATTACATTATTAAAAGCGTTTACCTTTGAATAGCATGCCAAAAATAGGACCTCTTATTAATCTTCAAGGAGTTTGTGGTTTTTTGCCAACGCCTCGCTGTGACGGTTATGATTTTTCCATTCGTGAATCCGCCTTGCTGAAAAGTATTTTCGTGTAAGTCAAAAAAATGTGTATAACAATTACCTCTCTCTAAAAAAAAAACCTCAACTGCAAATAATAGTTCTGACGTTCAACACTTATTGTCCAAGATGACAAATTGCCATGATCATAAAATTGGTAGTAAACCAAAAAAAAATAACTTTCAATGATAAAAGCTATATTTCAACACCGCCATCGTATTTGAAATGATCAACTCTGAGAATAAGTTTTTCCAGCTGATATCTAATAAAATCATTGGTTTGAGATATCTTAAACATTACAGTTGGTGTTGGAAGCGTTGTCTTTTTAATTGCGAGTTAAAAACAAAAAGAACGTCCTGAAAAATACTTTATTACTTTAGAATATGCTTTGTGTATGAATGTTTAACTTTTTAGATGGAAACCCTATTGTGCTAAATTTACAAAAAATGGAATTGGGCAGTAATTTCAGAAACAGCCGGGGAACTCAACAAGTAGATTTATTGTTTTCCAAGGTAGTGTGAGAGCAGTGTTTAGTCTTCTTGTTGTTTTTTTCTTGTTCCACACAAATCACTTGTCTCACTACAGTTCCGTTGGTAATAATATAATGTTTATTGCATTGTTAATTTCACATATCTGGCACACGAGATCGTGATTAAGAAGGCTACGGAAATGTGGGTGGGTAATAGATCTTGTGCAGAGCTCTGTGTAGAATGATTTACTAGGACTATTTCCGCAATTCGCGATATTCAAGCGTGACTCTACGCGATTAATTCGCGTATTATTTTTGACGTTACGACAATTAGATGGATGTGCACAGCGTTGTTAGGGTTGGCCAAATCCACGGTGATTTTTCAAAGCTTAGCCGTGACAATATATTTTTTTTACAACGTCACCGGTGTGATGTTATCGGTTCGGCCGGCGCCAGTTGCAAAAATGTTTACAAATTGAAAGTAAAGTCGGTTCGCAGTAATATTAAAAATCCCAGAAGGTCTCGGTGGCGGTGGTGGTGCGGGTGGTCGGTCACGGTTGGAAAATTGGCATACGGTCGTTTGACGTTAAACAGGGCCTTACAATAATAATATTTTGAACACACACTATATATATATATATATATATATATACGTATCGTTGTTAAGCCGGAATGCCTCTGCACGGTCAATTAAAAAAAAAGTCGGCTGGTATAAAAATAATATGGAAAAAAATCAAATAACAGCTCGGGCGAGCGCCTCCGACCGGGATTTATAATTAGACGGGACACTTTCGCCGCTTCGGTGACCGCGTGGGGATGGGCAGGAGGCAAAGGTGTGCGTGTGTGTGCACTATTAATATAAAACCTTTTATATATATTTTTTTTTTGGGGAAAAAATGTATATATTATAATAGTATAATACAGAGACAGTGACATTTTTCGAATATTATATAATCCGGACACGCCAGTGATCGTACGGCAGCCGTGGCCGACGCGCTTTACCCGTTACCGCAGTTACCGCGACCATGGTATACCTGTTCCATTTCGAACGGCCAACCGCCGAGGCCACGTGGACCAGTTTCGCGACCGCGTACCGACCGTACCTGAAATGCTTTACCGTCAGCGAGGTGGACAGCACGGCCCGCGGACCCGTCATGCACCTGTCCCGCGGTTATCCCGAACTGGTGACGGCCGCTGTGGCCGCAGGAGCACCGCAACCGAACGGGGAACACCGGGAAGACGGCGGCCCCGGAGATACCGTTACATTCATGACGTTCTATTACATGAACAGCGGAAAAGGTACGCCCCGGCCACTGTAGGTCCCTGCGGGTTAGGTTAGAGGGTCAAACTAAAAAACAAATATTTTCAAGATCCAGGTGTAGAGGAATGCGGTCACGAATGCATTGGTTTTATGCAAATTAATGAAATTTCATAAACAAAATTGTCTCAGCCGGGTTTACTGCATTTCAACACCTAAATTGGCACAAGAGTTAATATTAAGGATGGTTTTTGTCTTGGGAATCCCACTTCAAATGTCGTAGGACAACTTGTACGTTACCATATTTTATGCTTCAAACAAGTTGACAAAGCAACGGAAAGTATTAAATAAAATCAATGTTTGTAAAATTCATAGTCATTTCAATTAATATACCCAATCTAAAATGTTGTCAGAAAGGAAATCTACAACAAACTATAGAAAACATGTTTTTGTAAAATCTTGTTCAGAATGCTTAAGTAGTAGTAGTAGAATCTAAAGGTAATTTGTTCGGATAGGTTAATGGCTGAAACTGGTATTGACATCAAATCAGATGACGGTATTAATGAGCAAATAACAAAAGTTGCAGGGCAAAGAATAAATTCGAGTGATGTTTTTGAACCAATAAAAACGACTTAACCTAACAAATCTAGCAGAACTTCCGAAGTGCAAAATTAAAAATAATTACTAAAATGCTTTTATAGTGACAATACCATACGGATAATTAATTTGGTTAATCAATCTGCCTTGCACGGATGAAAATTATTTGTAAAAAATAATTCTCTAATACTAGTTTGACATTTGGAATGGCTTGAAATTAAGATTTATTTGTATGTAATTTTATTTTAAGTATTACAATTAGATCAATATGTAATTATAAGGTCTACAATGACAAAACAAAGTTACTCGAAACGATCATTTTTAAGATGGCTTAAACATATTTCATAAAGGTTACAAGTGCAATGTCAATAATTAGGCCGAACGATCCATTGTGACCACTCGGGTTAAGTAAAGGTATCCTGAATCGCGGTTATTTTTTTTTATACTTGGCATTTGGATGATTTTCGAAAGGTCTTGCGTTCTGGTCGTGAATGGATTTTTTTGTTAAATTAAATTTAAGTTGTCTAGTGAAGAATTTTTACACATACAGCTGTAAAGTTTTGTAATCGAGACTTCGCTGCTTTTGGACAGCTCACACTTAAATTTGTCCACCGAGTGTGTTATTGTGAACAATATAATATTAGATATTTCAATAACACGCTGGTATGTTGCGCATGTATTTTGGTTACAAGTGGGAGTTAATGTACAGATTTTATTTCGCCGACAGATGAGACGTCTCTAAGACATTTTTCTGGGAACGCTTTCCGACATAAACATAAGATTAACTCTGGATTACGATTAAAAAACCGCTAGAAGAGGTTTTACTTAATTTATGTGGAGAGTCGCCGAAAAAACTATATATATTTTTTTTATTTTATCCAAACTTCGGGCAAAGCATAACAGAAATTATATTATTTACCTTTGCCCGTTTGTGGTGTCGAACGCGTCAAACGTTGAATGTGTAAAAGCGTTTAACGCTTTTTGGCTAATTGGACGGTGTAAGAAACAGACAAGTGTCTGGAAGTGACAGGAATATGATATAAAAAAAAATCTGGCAGCGTTTAGAGATAGTAACAGCGAGCCAAAAACGACGAGAAACGAATCTGATATAATAAACACAATTATTATTTTGTCCAAGAACGAATTCTATTTATAAACATCAATCATAATTTTCATAACACGAGCGCTTGTTCGGGTTTGATTAAAAATTACACTTGTTTTGTATACATATATGTGTCGTTTATTGTAAAAATTAATTATCTCCTTGTAGTTGAATTTGAAAGCAACGAGCTTCTTGTAAATAATATGATGTGTACAGGAAAACAAATTCAAGTATTCATTCAGAGTTTTATATATATATATATTTTAAAGTTGAAGCATTGAGTTAAAGCATATCCCTTCATTTCATGTAAATATTAACCATAATCGATAAATGATTTCAATATAAATAACCCAATGCATCAAAAATATTTATATTTCACAAATTTGGAGTTACACCACTTTTACAGTAAACAAACCATTAATTGTTATTATTTTTTTTTGTTTTTTTTTTAGCCGATATAAAAATGCCGAGCGGTAAAATCGACAAGCCTTTCGTGGAGGACAACCACGACGGTACGGTGTCGCTTAAGTACGGTCCGAAAGAGGAAGGATTGCACGAGCTGTACGTCAAATACAACGGCGAAAACGTCCAAGGTAAAGTACGAGTACAAGTCGGAGACGTGCTAAACGTGATTGGAAAATTATTACTATTATTGCCTCCTTTTATTTGTTTCGAGCTGACTAGTGTCACAGCTGTATCTCCCCTTTCTTGTGTATAGGATGGCGGGGCTTAAGTGGGGTTAGCCAAAGGTTCAAAGTTAATTCAATATATTGGTGCAAAACTTGACAAAACCTAATCGGCCCGTAAGTAATACACGTTGAAAACATTGTTATGTTTTCGTTAGGTTTATTTTGTTTGTTGATGTCTACACATTCGTCCTGTTCACAAAAAAAAAAAAAAAAAATTACTAAATTCGTGACAGTGAATAATTATTACAAATTCCCTCAAAGAACGTGTATATTATTCCATCGCCGTGTATAAAAATAAACTATAACTATCTGTTAATAATTAATGCCCCGACGGGATTAGTTTTAGTCGGTCTAAGCCTAAGACCTGAGCCAAATCTTCTGCCAATTTCACGACAAAAAAAAATAACTTAATTATTTAGTATTTATTAATTTGACTTTGTTACTAACAGCTATAGGCGTAAGAAAAAAAATATGTATTGTTTTACCATTGCGTTCACACCAGAGTATAAAATGTGTTTTATTGGAACTCTAGTGTGAATTAATTGTTTTTATTTTATTTATTACCAGAGAACCGCGTTAATAATATATTGTCCAATATTCATTACCGCAAGACAGACGAAATTCTAGATTTTTTTTTTGTTAATGTATACACTTGTACATTTGTAATGTTGGTAAAAAAACCTGTCGGGTAGTCTATTTTTGTATAGGGTGAATTTATGTCGCTATTAATCGTTCGCAGTCCGGTGTCACCAGCTTGTAAATTGTTTTTTTTTTTTATTAAGAATTTTCATCAAGCCCCGAATAAAAACACATAATAATAACACTGGCATCACACTGTTTGGTCACCGGTCTAAATATAGTGGACAGGCGACAAACAAGTGCATAATTTTTATTGCTCTGAACCCGCCGGCAATGCCAAAGTTCATCTCAATCGTGCAGTGACCGTTTGTGCTGTCGTTTGCTCTTCATCGAGCATTTCCGATTTCTTGTTTTTTATTAGTTGTTTACACTAGCATGCTTTCGGCCAATCGCGCACATACTTATTCGCCAGGTAGGTAAGATTGAGTTTTTTATTATCATTAAAAAACAGGTTAGGTTTGGTTAGGTTAGGTTTCGGGTTTACATCTGTACATCTCGTGTTATATCTTAAACTGTAATGTGTAGTTATTAGTTTTTAGTAACTAGAAGTATTGTTTTTGGTAGTTAATTTAATTTTCGGACTATCACAGCACCGTTCTTGATAGCGATTTGAAATATTTTTGTTTGCATCTAAAAGTAGTTACACAGAATGAGTTTGACTAAGTCAATGGTTGTTTTAGAGAAAAAAACAATATCTATTATGAAATCGAAAGATATCAACAATTTGCAGACAAAGCCAAATCCGATTTTGAAAAAATGTGTAGCTATTTTAAAAAAGAAAAATAATGCGATTTTAAATGTTAAATATTAAGCTAAATATTAGGTTTATCACATGCAAATGGATAAAACGTTGTTTACAAAATGTTGACTTGGTAAAACACATTCTGCGTAGGTATGTTTTAGTGCTGAAAAATTGGGTGTATAAAATCCTATTTAACTTACACTGTATGGATTTTTACTAAATAAAGATTTAAAAAAAAAAAATACTTTTAGTCTATGACATATTCTTATTCCAGTTATTCCAGTTAAGCACAATAAGAAGTATAACAATATTTTGCATCAAGCCATATCAACGGACTACCGTTAAAAAACTTTTCCTTTATAAGTCGAGGCGCTCAGAAGCCAAACTGATTAACTCCATAAAATGAAATTTTTCAGGACAGGCAATTAAAGTTATTTGAAACAATGTATGTAAGTACAATCGCCAATTCTCTTAGCGCACTCTAGTTGTGAAAAATTCAACTATGGAGTTATTTATCTTGGCCACTGAAAATTATAGTACACTTTTGTAATCCAACCATGCTATTATTCGCAATTTGAAGTGGAAAAAAAGTGGAGTTAATCGGTTTGGCTTCTGAGCGTCCTCAGTTATACTTTGGTTGTCAGAGCTCGACTTATGCATGATGTACTTATTTTCTGTTTCCTTTGACGTGCTCTCCTGAAAGTGACCCGTACGTAGGGTTAACATTATAACTGTCTTGTCTTGTCCAGGTTCACCGTTCAAATTCCACGTAGACTCCATAACCAGCGGACACATCACGGCATACGGCCCGGGACTCACTCACGGCGTTAGCGGAGAACCTTCAAACTTCACCATCTACACCAAGGGTTCGGGAGCCGGTAAGTCGTCGGACTCAAGAAGTTTACCAACCGCCGTGCCGTTATTGACCTAAGATCTTGTCCCTAATGTCTTTGCCCAGGTGGTCTTTCGTTAGCCGTCGAGGGTCCCAGCAAGGCCGACATCAGTTGCCACGACAACAAAGACGGTACCGTGTCGGTGACTTACTTGCCGACGGCGCCCGGAGAATACCGGATATCCGTCAAGTTCGGCGACAAGCACATCAAAGGAAGTCCGTACGCGTCCAAAGTCACCGGTAAGCACGCACAACCGTTGTTGCTTCTAACGCTATTGGCTATTGTGTATCGTCCATTGTCGGATGCCGGAAGCGATAACGAAACAGGTCTTGTAGATAAACAATTTTGTGTCTGTTAATAGGCAATAATTATGCCAAGGTTGGTATTATATACAGGTTGTCCAACGGAGATTTGCTAATTTCCTGTTAGGTAGGTTTTTGAATTAAGTTTATTTAGATTATTTTTAAAAGAACGATACAGAGAATGATCTTTTCTTTCTCTTTTAATTTATAGTTTTCAAACAGTTGTTTCTAAGTGGTCGATTGATTGGATCGACAATATTTTTAAATAATAATTGAGTGTGATGTTAAAAATAAATATTGACTATAAAATTTATAATTTATACCTCCGGTGATTTGGACTCATACAGAACAAAAATGAAACTGTAAATAGATAAATAGAAAATAAATACTAAAATAATATTAGAATAAAATAAAATAAAATTATCAAAACGCAATTTATTTTACTAACGTTAAAACGCAATGCCCATAAATTAATTTCCAGATAACTTAAATTAAATATTTTTATTTGATTATGTTAAAGTTTAATTTATTTTTTGGTTAATTTAGTAAACTTAAGTCAAATTTCATTAAAAATAATTTTTACTACTATCAAGTTAATACAGAAATTGAAAAGTTAAAATTTACTTGAACTTTATAACTTGTTAATGATCGGTGACTTTATTAATTTAATTAATATATAAAACCGATTTAAGCTAAAATCTTTTTTAAGTTTTCTATACAACCATAAAATATATTAAAGCATATTGTCATCTATTTCTTGTTTTCACTCACATTTTTGAGTGACTAATGGAATAAATAAGTAAATAAATTTGATTAAAAAGGTTTTTTTTTAATTGGTAGGATAATATAATTTATTTCTGTACAAATGATAAATGCATATTTTAATTGCCTTTAAATATTAAAAACAAAGTACAAGCATCGCTTGCACATTGTATTTATTTTGACATTTTATCTGTATTAATGTAGTAGACACGGTTATTGTTCTAGATGGACCGTGTTATGTTGTTCATTTGATACTACTTTGTCCGGTGTATGTTTGATGTTTTTTGTGCACATCACAGCTCCAGTTGGATTTTTTATTCGGTTTTAGTCTGCTGGAACTTCCGGCTGTGTGTATTTTACTCGTGTAGCCAAACATGAATCACACATTCGTCGCAAACGTCTAAACAACAGTACTATTCTCGTATATTTTATTTGAATATAATTTTTAATAACCAGTTAAGGGTTTTTAACTAAAATCAAAATGTTCGCTGAAAATAATATTGTAAGATCCAGATTGACGATAAACAATGCTTTACTAACACTCGGCAAACACACTGACAATGGTACTATTTCGAACGATTAAATTGAATTACTAACAAAATCACTACACATTTTTTTTCAGGCGAAGGTCGCAAAAGAAATCAAATTTCAGTGGGATCGTGCAGCGAAGTTTCTCTTCCTGGCAAAGTGCTCGACAAGGACTTCCGTTTGCTGAACGCTTCTATCCAAGCGCCAAGCGGTCTGGAGGAGCCTTGCTTCTTGAAACGGTTACCTAACGGAAATCTAGGTAACGAGCATTGCTATGGGCTGGTCTAAAGTGCTGGCCCCTGACTGGTGCGTGATCTTTTTACAGGAATATCGTTCACTCCCCGAGAAATTGGTCCACACGTGGTATCGGTAAAGAAGATGGGTCAGCACATTGTCAATTCGCCGTTTAAAATAACCGTGGGCGAGAGAGAAGTGGGCGACGCCAAGAAGGTGATCGTCTCTGGAAACGGGCTGAAAGAAGGCAAGACCCACGCGGAGAACTTGTTCACCGTGGACACTAGAAGTGCCGGTAAGTGTCAGTAACCAGCATCTTGGTAGACCGCCTCTAAATGCGTTGTGTCTGTCGTCCAGGTTACGGCGGTCTGTCTCTGTCCATCGAAGGACCGAGTAAAGCTGAAATCCAGTGCAAGGACAAAGAAGACGGCACGCTGAACATATCGTACAGGCCCACGGAACCGGGTTATTATATCGTCAATCTGAAATTCGCCGACCACCACGTGGTGGGTTCGCCGTACACCGTTAAAGTGACCGGCGAGGGAAGCAATTGTCAGCGTGAGAAGATCGAACGGAGGCGGGACGCCGTCCCCCAGACCGAAGTGGGCAGCAAATGCAAGCTTACGTTTAAAATGCCAGGTAAAAACAATAGGGGTTTGCTCGGGCACTGTAAAACGGATATCGATATCCGTGTCTAATTTTGGTCTAATCGGTTTACTACTACAATGTACAATCCCGCGCAGGTGTACTTCCATTTGACTTGTCGTCGACGGTGACTTCGCCCGGTGGCATCACGGAAGACGCCGAGGTCAACGAAATCGAAGACGGTCTGTTCGCCGTGCATTTTGTGCCCAAAGAGTTGGGCGTTCACACCGTGTCGGTCCGGTACAAGGAAATCCACATACCCGGTAATTGTTGAAACAGACGTCTCGGCTGTACGGTCTATAATTAATTACCGTTTTCATTCATCGTTCGGTCATAGGGTCACCGTTCCAGTTCACCGTAGGTCCTCTGAGCGACGGCGGAGCTCACCGTGTGCACGCCGGCGGCTCTGGTCTGGAACGCGGAGAACAAGGTCAACCCTGCGAGTTCAACGTGTGGACAAGAGAGGCCGGTCCGGGTTCGCTAGCCATATCGGTCGAGGGTCCCAGCAAGGCGGAAATCGATTTCAAAGACCGCAAGGACGGCTCGTGCTACGTCAGCTACACCGTCAGCGAACCGGGTTTGTCAGAGCGTTAATTGTTTTTAAGTAGACTTGAGTGAACGGGTTGGGTGGAACCGGGAGAACAAGAGAAACAGATTAGTTAGCTATGCTGTGTTATGAAAGTAACCAGGTCGTTTGCCAGGTGGAACTCGGTTTTGATTCGTACTGAATGTGTTGTTGCAGGCGAATACCGCGTGGGCATTAAGTTCAACGACCAACACATACCTGACTCGCCGTACAAACTGTTCATGTCGCCGGCTCAGGGAGACGCTCACAAGCTGGAAATTGCTCAATTCCCCACTACTGGCGTGACAGCTGATTATCCTGCACAGTTCCTCGTTCGCAAGAACGATGCGATCGGTGTGTTGGACGCCAAAGTAAGAATTACAAATGTCTACACAATAAGCGCTGACACGTGTATGCCGAATGTTTCTCCAAAACCTTGTATAGTATTCTCTCAAATGTCGGACGAATGTTAGGATTCAGGCCACGATCTCACTAAATCGGGCCTTGTCCGCTAGAGTTTAGGGTGACATGGTATTGGCTTAAAGATATTCTAAGCCGTACAGCCCTAGTCATTTCGATTGGCGTGTTTCGTGCTAATCGCCGTACGTTTTGCAGGTGTTGGCGCCTTCTGGTTCGGAGGACGACTGTTTCATTCAGAACATCGATCAAGACATGTACTCCGTTCGTTTCATGCCCCGCGAGAACGGCGTGCACAACATCCACGTCAAGTTCAACGGGGTTCACATTCCAGGGTCACCGTTGCGCCTGAAAGTCGGCAAAGGAGATGCCGACCCAGCTGCAGTGCACGCAAGCGGACCGGGCTTGGGCGACGTCAAGACAGGTAAAGTTCATGCCGTCCGGATTCCGGGCAGCTCTGGAAGAACTTCTGACACCCTCGTCTCGTTAATCTCGTTTCTCAGGACACAAGACGGACTTTATCGTGGACACGTGCAGTGCCGGCGCTGGCACGTTGGCCGTCACCATCGACGGACCCAGCAAAGTGTCAATGGACTGTACCGAAGTCGAAGAAGGATACAAAGTTAGATACACGCCGCTGGTGCCCGGAGACTACTACATCAGTCTCAAGTACAACGGTTACCACATTGTCGGTTCGCCGTTCAAAGTCCACTGTACCGGTAGGTGTATTGGCAATAACACTATTGGGCTCTCTTGGTCTACGGATACGGTCAACTCCAATCGTTTTTGACAGAGATATGCCGATAAACGACTTTATTCGACCTACTAGGGATACCTTGTCTAGCACGCGTCATTCCCCTCGCTGGTCTATATTATTTTGGTCGACACTAAAGGTGTGTGTGGTGTGCACTCTGATTATTCAGGAGACGATCTGGCGGAACGCGGTGCCCAAGAAACGAGTTCGGTGGTCGTGGAAACGGTGCACAAAGTGTCCAAAGGTGGAAAAGGCGGTGCCGGCGTCGTTCTGCCGCATTTCAAGTCGAACGCTACCAAAGTGACCAGCAAGGGAATGGGCCTGAAGAAAGCGTACTTGGGAAAACAAAATCTGTTCACCATTAACGCGTCCGACGCCGGTACGTCGGGTTCGCCATTCGCTTTGAACTCTCTGATCTTTTCTGATGTAAAAATTTGATTTTTTTTTTGAAGGTAACAACATGCTGTTTGTGGGCATTTACGGGCCGAAGGGACCTTGCGAGGAGATATTCATCAAACACATGAAACAAAACAACTACCAAGTGAGCTACATAGTCCGAGACCGAGGCGAGTACATCCTGTTGGTCAAGTGGGGCGACGATCACATACCCGGATCGCCGTTTAAAATCGAAGCTTAAACGTCTTAATACCGTTTTGTTTTTTTTTCTCTCTTCGTCAAAATAAATCAACAAAAACCGACATAAAAAAAAAAATATATATATATATATATACAAATCAGACGATGCGGTAAACTGTTCTCGTCTGGGTTAAAATTAATAGTATATTTTTTTTGTGCAATGCCACACATTTAAATAAAAAAATAGCAGAGTTGTTACCACTAACTGTTTTCCAAGATTTTCGTTATTCTCCGTTTATTTAAAATGTTCAGCCAATAGACTCCGGATTGTTGTCTATACGTTATTTAATTTAATTTTATCATTATCTAATTATATAAATTATATATTGTAATTTATTTATTTATTTTGTTATTATTGCTTATGTTCAACGAATCTTCTCGGGCAATCGTCTTGGTATAGACGAAATCATCGCGACCATGCTAATGATATTATGTCAGTTATCAGCTCTGAGACGGGTCATTATTCATGATTATTATATTACCATAAGAGGTACTTACCTACTACGGCTAACAATATTACAAAATATCTATTTTATACTTAAACAACATTCAGCGTGGCCGGTACACCTGCCTGTCTATCGTCGACTAACCACTTACTTTCATTTTCTTTTACTATATAATATTTGTACCGGTACCATACCTAAGATTCTTCTTCTTTTTTTTTATATATAAATATATACTCAATATTTAATTTAATTAATAATTTATTGATTAATATTATAAAATAACATATATGTATGATGAAAGGGACGCGCCTGTAAATAAATATATTATTATGTTATTAATTAGTTGTTTTTTATATATATATATATTCCTACGTTGCTTTTTGAAATTTTTAACAGCTCAACCGTTGACAAGTCATTGAATAAGAGACAGTTGGTTGTTGACAAAAGGATATATTAAACTAAGGATTGTGTTGTATAACAATAGCGGTGAACACTGAACATAGTAAAAACGATAGGATTAAGTGAAGTGAGAAAGCGATCAATTAGTCACACTACACTTGCACTAATACAAAATTGCTATATTTTATTGCTTTAGTTTTTTACAATTTACATAAAATCAATATACATTTTTTTTTTTTTTAAGTTAAATATAACTATCTCTTGCTGGAATTTTCCAAAATTGAGTTAGTGCTATTGTTAGGCTCTTGTTTGATTTTTTAACTATTTCAAACCTGATACAATTTTTTAATGAAAAAAAAATAGCGTGAAGTTATTACACTTTTAAGTTTACCAGAAATAATTGTTTGCAAATCATTTTTACGCTAATACAAAATAGTAGTTATATTTATGGTTTAATACGAGCCTAACAGACAAGCGTTCAAATATACAAAAGTGTTCTTGTCTTAGTGATTTTATCACTTTCAGTTATAACAATATCTGTAGACCGTGACCTCTTCGTCCCCACAGGAATTATTATAACTAAAAGTGATAAAGTAATTTTTAAATAAACTTTTCTATGCGAATCTGTGGGCTGTATAAACTACACAGCAACCCAAGGACTGACTACGGTCAAAGTGTGATTTTTCCCAATTTTTTGGTTTTTCCTTAATAAAAAAAATGTTTACCTACAGATTTTTGAGAAAGTCGTATATTATATTACAGCCACATTCTAGATCTACTTTTGGTATCACTTTTTATACATTAAGCCCTATATCGTGGGTACAAAAATATAAAAACACATCGCTGTAAATACAATGACTTTTCAGCTATCGCATCGAAGCTAAACAAAAGTTAAGAGTATCCACAATTCATGCGGATACATCAATACACGGATATGTCTTGCAACCTAGTATCTCTAATCCACTATCTCTATTAGTTCACCTCCATAATCCTCATTCATATCCCGCATCCATAATCCTCGTCCATAATGCTCCTGTATAATCCATAATGACGTCACTTAACATGTCGCTCAAAACGTGTGACGGACAAATTGTCAAAACGTGTTGTTTGCTGGCCCTGTTGACTACGGCTATGTGTGTTGGCTACTTAGAAACGCTTTGGGTCAACACCTGCAGCGATCGGTCGGTCGGTCATTCGTTGTCAAATCGTCGTGCAGAATAATCGTTTTAACCGTTTAACAGTTTGTCGTCAGTGAGTTTTTTTTATTTATTTATCATGTTTATCCGTCAAGCGTTGCGCGGGCTCGGCCGGGCCGGACACGCAATCAAGGCGGCCGCGTACTCGGCGTCCGCCGGCGGCGGCGAGTGCGGCTCCAAGAAAATCGGCCTGGTGCTGGGCGTGTACCGCGGGTGTCAGCCCGGCGAAGTGCGCATGTCCAAGCAGACGCAGATGTTCGACGAGAAGATCCAGGGCAAGGCCAAGGATTTCCTGCTGACCTCGAACATAGCCCGGCAGAGCGCCGTGGTGGCGCACAACCTGCCGTCCGACTACTTTGCCGTGGCGTTCGCCGACATCGGGCCGGCCGAGGCCAAGTACAACCCGCAGGAGAACCTGGAGGAGTGCCTGGACTGGACGCGCATAGGGGCCGGCGTCGGTGCCCGGGCGCTGCAGCAGTACGCGGTCGACGAGATCCACGTGGAGAGCATGTCGAACGCGACCGCGGCCGCCGAGGGATCGGTGCTGGGCGCCTGGGATTTCGAAGGGTACAAGAGCTACAGCGAGGACAAGGTCAGGCCCACCGTGGTGCCGTACAACGTGGACGAGACCGAGCTGTGGCGGAGCGGCACCATAGCCGGCGAGGCGCAGAACATGGCCCGGCACATCGCGCACCTGCCGCCCAACGTGGGCACGCCCGACGGCATTGCCGACTACACGCGGGACATGCTGTGCAAGTGCGGCGTGCAGGTGAGCATCCGGAACGCCGAGTGGATCGAGGAGAAGAAGATGAACGCGCTGCTGAACGTGGGCATGGGCTCGCGGCGCACGCCGCTGCTGCTGGAGCTGGCCTACTGCGGCGGCGTGTCCGACGGCAAGCCCGTGGTGCTCATCGGCGACGGGTGCACGTACGACTCGTGGGGCCTGTGCCTGCGCGACAACAAGCGGCTCGAACACGGTTCGGTGTTCGGCAAAATCGGCGCGGCGTCCGTGATCGGCGCCATGCAGGCCATCGCCCGGCTGTCGCTGCCGATCAACGTGAACGCCATGGTGCCGCTGTACGAGAACAAGCCGGGAGGCATGGCCCTGAAGCCGGGCTCGGTCGTCAAGACGTTCCACGGCAACTTGTCCGAAGTGCACCGGACCAACGTGTCCACGAGGCTGGTGCTCAGCGACATGATCGGCTACAGCCAGGCCCTCGCGCCCGACATGATCGTCAACGTGTCCACCTTGTCCGTCGACAGTCAAAAGTACCTGAGCGACGGCGTCACGTACGGGTACACCGCAAACGATGGCCTGTACAGGACGCTGGAGAGCGCGTCCGCGGTCACGGGCGACCGGGTGATTAGGGGCCCTCTGTGGAAGTTTTACGAGGCCAAGACCAAGTGGCCGACGTTGGCCGACACCCGGGTGGTGCCACACCAGTTCTCCGGCGATTCCATGGCCGCAGCCATGTTCCTGGAGGACTTCAAGCCCAAAGCCACGTCCATGGTCACGCTGGACGTGGGCGGTTCAGCGTTCGTCCGGAGTCCCAAGCCTGAACATTACCTACGGCCCGAACGATTGACCGGAAGTCCGGTGCGCACAATTGTTGAGTTTCTGAAGCAATACACGTGTCCCAACGATAAGAGGCTGTCCTGTTAAAATTGTTGTGTCCAAATTCGAAATAAATTTAATTTTAACTTTGAAAACGTAAAATGAATTTTGTAAAACTATCGCGGTTATGACATACTTACCTGTAGCGTACCACATTTTAAATGCTGCAATCTTGTAGTTTTTGCAATGTACATGTTTTATAATTTGAAGAGGGCAGCTGAATCGACCAACCAAATCGGCTCTATCACTCCATATTTTCATCACATTTACTCAATCAAACACTAATTAAACATTTAAATGTAATGCATTTTTGTTTTTATTTAATTTGTAGGTATGCAATCTGTTTAACCAATGATTTAATATTTACAAAAGGCAGATTAAGGCCTCCCAGTGGAGCAACTTTAAGATATTATATTTTTCCTATTGAATTAGCAGGTCAAGTAATCTTTTTTCCTGAGGTTTGCCAGGAATAGTTATTGACGAGAGTTTAGAAATGCACTTATAGTGTAGCTTGGCAGTTTCAGTCGCAGTAGAAATGTTTAGGTCTTTGTGAATTGAGTGATTGGAAACATAATATTATGGGGCTATACAAATAGTGCGTAAGATCCCTCTGATCCTAGTTTCTTGTTTAAACTTTCAACTCTCCCAACAAACGCAATTTTTTCCAAAATCTCATCATCAATGAGCAAATAATTTTTGTTATACCTAGTTTGATTGGTTGCTAATGACAAATTGTTATTTTCGTGCATTCTTCTCGCGACTCGATAGATCATTGGCCGATGATTTGAGCAGCATTGTAATGACCTTTCGGACATGCTGCGTCTCGTCTCGCGCTCAAGTGACGATAGGTCTGATGCTGGGCGTTTACATCACGATGGCGACCAGAAGTCACTTCAACCTGATGTTGGTGGACGCGAGTGAGTCGTTCCAAGTACCGAACGTCCACTTCATGTTGAACATTGTCTACCAGGTGGGCTTCATGGCCGTGCAGGTGCCGTCGGGAATATGGTTGGACGGTGTCAACCCTGTTCCCGTTCTCGGAGTCATCGTTTTGGCGTTGGCCGTTTCGTCGTTTATTTCGCCGTTCACGTTCCGAGCAGGACTGCTCTATCCGTCCGCCATGTTGGCCGGCATCAACGGCATGATCGTCGGCTGTTGGTGGCCTTCGATGGGCGTCATGCTGTCCAACTGGGCGCCGCCGGCCGAGCTGTCGTGCATGTACTCCACGATCAACACGGGCATTCCAGGCGGCACCATTTTGGGCACGGTCATCCCGGGAATAATTTACACAAACAGGAACAGTTCGGATTTCCATCACAGCTTCTTCGTCCTGGCCGTGAGTAACACGTCAGAAAATTTAATCTGAGAAGGGTTCACCGATGACAATGTTGATCTGTTTCCACGGATACCATTGTTCGTCATTGAGTTCCCATCAAGTGCTATTGACTAACATGCACGCGCACGTTTTAGGCAGCTTGTGCGCTTTGGGGATTTTTTTGGTTGTACGCGTTCTACGGAAGTCCGCTCAAGGATCCCGGGGTCGGCGAAGAAGAACTTCAGTATCTCAGCACGCACATAAAGCCTAAATCGGAGCTAGCCGTTCCCTGGAAGTATATCGCTACGTCGGTGCCCGTTTGGTCCATGTTGTTGGCAAATTATGGATCGACGGTTTTCTACGCGGCGCTGCTTTACTATATGCCGGTGTACGTGAAAACGGTACTCAAACTGGACTTGTCGCAGAACGGTTTCATTTCGGCCACGCCTCCTCTGAGTCAAATGGTAGTGATTTTCATAACTGGATACGTAGCGATGGTCGTACAAAAAAAAGAATGGACGACCGTGACGAACATCAGAAAAGTAGGCTCGCCACATTAACCATTCCCTGTAATCACTCAACATCAATCAACACACGTTACGTTTCTCTAGATATTTACATGCATTGGTATGCTTCTACCTGCATGCATATTGCTAGTGGCACCATTAGCCAGGCGAAGTTACATATTCTACGGTATGTTAGTGCTGGCCTTTGCTGCTTCGGGTTCAGTGTTTTCCGGGTTTCGAGTGACTCCAAATGAAATGTCTCCAAACTTCGTGGCTGCTACAACGTCTATGGCAGATTTCGTAGGCGGCCTAGCAATGAACTCGGCACATGTCATACTGATGCTAATCATCGAGCAAAACAAATCTCAGCAAGCATGGAATGACATATGTTTGGGCTTGTCGGGTATACTTATTGTGTGTGCCCTTCAATTTATGTTTCTCAGCAGCAGCAAAATACAACCTTGGAATGAAATAACATAATAATTATGATATCAACGTTGTTTGTGTATATCACACACCTGTACTGTTTTTCATTTTCTTTGATAACGTTTTTGAAACAACTTTTAATCGACTGAAATGTACCTTTTTAGGTATTTTAACGAAATAAAATTTAAGATGAATAACGTATGCTTTGTTATTTTTAATGAATACTTTATTTATCATCTACTTTATCCGTTATTTTTCTTTGGTTTTAGATTCAGAATTATGTTTTTACGCAATGTTCGCTTGGCATAATTTTTTTTTTTACCTTGAATAAAGTCTACTGTTGGTTTACTTTTGTTTTGTATGAAACTGGGTACAGTTTCGCTTGAAAAAATATAGTCTGGACGTTATTGCAATAACAGATGGAATGAAATGTTGTATTATATTTGTATCGTATGAATTGTATTGATTTAATTTTTATGTCTACGATGCACACCGAATGTATTTACATAAAATTTTTTTTTATACTCTGCCGTAGCAGAGCACAACATTGGCTAAAATTGTCGTGTTCCAAATAGTCTGTGGTTGAACTTATACCGTTACACGATGGCTTTTGTAAAACACTGGCTGTTGATTTTAACAGGAGTTGCCTTAACCGTCGCCGCCGACAAAGAGGTACTAGTGGAAATCGCCAAGCACGCCGTGGACATCTTGACACTGTCTCGTGGACTGTTGCCGAACGAAAACTACCGGCAAGATTTCCTAAAGCAAATGGCGATTTACGGAGACGGTCTAGCTGCAGTGTTGCAAACCTTGCCAGACGACCACGTAGCCGCCTGGCTCTGGCAACACAACATGCTCGCCAACACCGTTTCGGACGTGATTAACCCACCCGGAAGTCATAGTTCCGGCGTAGTCTACATACTTGGCGATAACGAGCACCGGATCTCTGTTGTGACCGACGCCTTGGCCACGATTGAACGTCCCCTGTTGAGTTTCTTACAGAGCAACGGCGTACAGCTTCAGCCAGGACTTCAGACAGCCGAAAACCTGGCAGGACTTAAGGACACTATCGACTCGGTCGGTGCGCTGATCGATGGCCGTTTGAGGGTCGACCCCGGATCGGTGAAATTTTGTAAGCCTTTCAACTTGTACTTGGGTCACGTGGGCAGCAAGCCGGGTAAAATCGATTCGCTGCAAATGGCTAACGTCTACATAGTGTGGAACGGTGTAACGTCAGACGTGAAATCGGCCTACACGAATGCTCTTCGCCAATGGGTGTCTCCGGCCTACGACCATCTCAAGACTTACAACAAGCTACTGGTGGACATTGTCAGAGCCTGTGTTTACGGATACGTTAGAGTGCACGCCGCGCTTTTCTTCAGTTACCACTCTGCCGTGAAAGACATCGGGAAACGGCAAGAGAACGTGGACGAGTGCTACGACTTGTGGACATCCATCTGGATAACTTTGAATAACATCGTCGATACGTTAGACCTGGGTTGGGACGAGCAAATGACGGCACTCCTCAAGGTTTTCGATAAGTACGCAGATTTCGAAGCTAGCAAGAGCGACAAGCTGTTGAAATCGTTAGATAAATCCTTGCTGGAAATCAGTAGAAGTTCAAACTACCATATCATCTCGGACGTCACAAAGTTCAACCAACTGACTAAAAAAACTATCAATTTTAAAGCAATGAGAGATAGTGTCCGATCCAACAAATCCAACTTCGGTATGTACACCAGTCACATCGTCTATGATACATTTAAAGGAGTAAGTTTTAAACACGTTAACAAATTTTTGAACTCATTTTCCTAAGTACCTTCTTCCCATTTTTACCAACGTCACAGTGATACCAACGTCAGTGTGTTTTCATATTTTATTTAAAAAACAAAATACTATAAGTGGGGTATTTACAATGTTCTAATGAAAACGGAATATTTCTTATGGTAAAAATAATAATAATTGTGTTTTATTGAATTGTATAATAGATTTAAAAATCTTAGAATAAAAACCACTTGTTTGAAATTATAAATGACCGATTATTTTATTTAAAAAGCCCGTTTCCATTTGCATCTTTGTTCATTACTGACTCACTTGACTCCATTCATTAAAATTGCTACTGTTTAAATTTAAGAATGATGCATTCTACCAGTATTGATGTTGTAATTTAAAAAAAAAACAATTGCCGCTTAACCGCTGAATGTCGTATGTGTTAGATTGGAATCAATTAATGTTTTAAAGCGATTTATTTTTTTAACTTGTTTAACTATAAATTTAATTTATATTATAAATTCATAATCAGGTGCTATGTTGAAACATTTTTTATTTTGTTAAAAAAATAATCAAGTTGTTTAACAGTAATAAAAAAAATAAAAAATTAACGTTCCTCAAATAGCTCAAAAAATTACATATGATAATTAATTTCCAATAATTTCAGTTTTCTGTAGGAAAATAATAACTATATTTTGTATTTTGCCACTTGTCTATTGTGTGAATACAAGTTACATGGTTGTTAAAAGAAAAAAAGAATATTTTATTAGGTGTTACATCTATTAACGGTAAATGGAATTCGACAGTACAAAATGGTTAACTATTTAGACATTTTGAGCAATCAAATGTTGTACACGCTAAACACTAGGCTATAATCGTAAATCTTTATTGACTATTAAAAATCGGTAACCCTATGGTATCACAATCGTAAAATAATATAATAAAAGTATATTATTATTATTATTATTTACTATATTATAATATAATAATGTCTAATGTGTAGCTTATTCCATCTGGTCAGGCCAGCTTTACGCGGAGAAAATATACAACAAAAAAATCAAAATAAATAAATAAATTAGATATGCACAATATTTTTAGTAGTAGGTTTGGTTACAATAAGGCAGGCGACAATGGTATGGGATTTGCTTAGCATTTCCATTTGACTACTATAGTACATTGTTTTTAGGGTACGAGCCTATTTGAGCGTACATAGTCCGTATGGATTGGCGCGACCGTTGTTCCAGATCGTTGCTTTTTGCATTTGACGTTTGGGCATTCGGTATGAACCCGTTCTGGTGTGGAACCGCTGGACCGGTGACCGCGTGGGACGCTCCGGCCTCGGGGGGTTCCTCGTGGCTCTCCAGGTCGTGAAGCACAGTACCGTCGTCGTCGGCCACCTGGTGCGCCACGGTCGCGGTTTCGCTGCCAATCGTACTCACCAAAGCGCCGACGAACATGTCTTGCACTTTCCTGTCTTCCGTGTTGCCGTCCACCTGTGTGCGACGAAACCGTGGATTAATCGAACATTAATGAAACATAGGATGTCGCGAAAAGAATGCTGGGGTTTCAAACGGCCGTAGGCTGTGAAGTATTGGACCTACAGCGCTCTGGTAGGGCTTGAATGAAAGAGAGAGTCGTCAAGTTTCGAACGACCGCCTCTGGATGTTTCACAGTCGTAACTGAATTACGCACTGAATTCGAAACCTGACAACTCCCTCTTTCGTCCAACCCCACCATTATTTTTGAGACACCCTGTATAGCAGACATTCAGGATAGATACACAGGATTGCCAGTTGACGTCTAATTAATTATCACTCACCACGATCAGCCGTTCGTTGTCGTCGAGCATTTTGAGCATTGGTAAGGTTTGTTCGCGAAAATTCTCGAGACGATGCCGGAACGCCGACACGCTGTCGTCCAACCTACCGCGGCCTAACTGCAACTTTGAGCAATCCAAAAGTATCAACAATGGTCGTTGAGCATACTGAAACGCCATAAAATAAGCAATCATCAATAAGGTTATGGTCAAATTTCTGAACTGCTGTTTATTATTTGCCATAGTAATTGCAAATAATACTTATGTCAGCAAGTGAAAGACTCGAGCCGTTACCTTTTTTTCGAAATAGTTGAGCTGTTCCACGGTTCTGGGAAATCCGTCGATCACGATGCCGTTACAGTTTCTGTACTTCAGCATCTCGCCGTCCAACACCTCGTAAACGACAGCCTACAACGATTTTGTACAATGTTAACAATTCAAATGCTTAACCTCGCTTACACTCGCCGAACACAGTACCTTGTCGACCAATTGACCGCTGCCGATTGTGTGTTGCAACGGGTCTGTTGGTTCCTTGCCCGACGCCAAAGACCTGAGCACCGACCCCATGCTGACGTGTCCCCAACCGTGGTGGGTCCTGAGAATTTTTTGGCACAACGAACTCTTGTTACTGCCGGGACCTCCTGTGTTAGGGAAACCAAGCGGATGATGGCAATGTCGCCGGACGTGTCATATTTTAATATGGACTTACCGACCACCCATATAACTCTAGGATATCCCGACGAGCCCGGGTTATGACTGACCGTGGCTGGCTCTATATTCACTGTAGTAACGCTGTTGTGCTCGGCCGTGTCGTCGCGGTGGGATACGTGACCGTTAGGAAACGCCGTAGGAAGTGCTCCTGTGGCCAAGTGAGCGCTCAAAACCTGCAGCACCGTCGAACGGAAGTCCAAGTACACCTCTGAAGGGTTTCGCTCGCCGTTGATCTAAAGCGGTAATGCAAACGACAATGATACACGAATGCCGACTAAAAGGCGGCAACCCGAAGAACTATAGTCTCCCGGACTTACCGATATCAGTATCCTCCTCTGATCGTAGTATTCCGACACGGGGGTGACGTTGTTGTAAAAGCTACTCAACTCCATTTTGGCCAGACTCAAAACGACTTGACCCAGTTTGGCTCCATAATCGATTTGCCGCTCTAGCACGCTTTGACTCCACGCTATCAAGATGACTTTGCTCAATAATTTTATCTATTTAAAACAATACACATAATATATTAGTTGACCATATAAATTGGTTGACTGTAGGTAATGGAAAGGCAATTTTCGAAGTACTAATTGTGCAAAACAAAATGGAATTTGATTATAGATTGAAGCGCAAAAACATTTAAAAAGAAGAGCAAAGTATCAATAAACATAGTCCATAGAATATAGTATTCGATGATTAGATTTAATAATTAAAGACGATACAGCGAAATAGGAAAAATTTCAAAAAGTACTTAAAACTGTAGAATAAAACGTGGATTGCCAACCTAACGCGAGGAAAGGAACTGTGATTTTATGTTATTTAATACCAATTAGACCAAACTCGGTAACACTGGTTAACGTACCTTCCGCGTGTATTCAACGACGTCACGCATGTTTCGGGGAAAACCCGAAATCAAAAACAGCTTGGCTGCCGGCGACATTTTCAACTCCAGCATCAGCACTTCCGTGACCGTTCTGCTGGACAGCTTATTGTAGTCTTCCATGTCTTGGCCAGTGAATTCAAAAACAATTTTATATTAGCTTCACGAATATCGATAACGCCTAAATAGTGTTCACTTTTTTTGAGAACTAAGTTCAAAAATAATATAATTCAATCGTAACTGCCGGTCAAACTTTCCCCAAGGGTTAGGGTACAGTTATTAAACTTTTCGGGTTCATTACACTCGCGAAGGCCACGCGGAGTTCGAGTTCAAACGTCTAGACGATTAGACCATATGATTTAGACAAAAGCTATTATCTTGCTGATGGCGATTGGCACGTGAACGAGAGCTCGCTGCTAAAAACTGTTTTGTTCAGAATGGAAATTCTGCGAAAAACGGCCACTTTAACGGAATTGTTCTCTTTGTTTGAAGTGCACGCGACGAGTCGAAGCGATTGTGTGTACATACACTCCATGGTACAAAGCCAAAGACCTCTTAAATCGTCATACATACCACGTCACCTTATTTCTAGCTAATGTTTGTATTGCCCTAAGTGTACAACTTTTAACGTATACATTTTTGTCATTTTCCGAATGACAATCCCTAATTACCCAACGCAAATGGGGATTTGTATTTTTGTCTGAATGAAGTGCCAGTTATATTTCAATTTGCCTTAACTCTTCAACATTTGAACATGCGAATAAAAGCAAGTATCGAGTAATTAATACTTCAAGAAAATCAAGTAATCCCACAATAACCGGATGTCAACTCATCCTGTGAAGATTTGATCAAGTCTTTCAAACCAAAAACTTATACTATCTTAGTCCGGGAACCAATCCACGTCAAAGGAATTATTCGAATCTTCCCCCTCCCTTCCGTTCTAGTATGCTGGACTTGAAGCTATCGTTTAATTGATTGATAAAAAAACAAACAATCAATTAACCTAATGTTTTGTCTATTCAACGGCTCTTGTAAAACGATACGTGTTGATGACGTGATGTAGTGCTTTCGAAAGGGTTTCGTTTGCCCGTTCTTGGAACACTAGAAAATTGTGCACAATATCCGGCGGACATTTCCTGTTAAACACCGCACGTACAATTACCATTATATTAACCACATATTATTATATTGTCCTAGCCCGCCGGGGTTGCAAAAAAAAAACAATACACCTACTCTTTATTACAAATATACACATACTCCAGGGAAGAGGACGGCGTTAATGAGATGTGTGCGTGATGTATTTTTATCGTCGTTATTGTTTTTTTTTCTCGACCCCTCGTTTTAATATCAGTATCCCTAAAAAAAAACCCTGTCCAACCCCCAGTGTTTACTTACGGTTTCATGGAAACGGATTTCGATCACACACACAAGTGCCTATTTAATGAACCCCGCCCCCCTACCCCCGTTTCCTGTAAAGGCGGTGTGGTGGTACCGGTATTGGCCCGACCTTGTTTGACCGTACCCTTTACCCTTTGCTATTTACTCAGCCGTCAACGCCGCCATTCCCCCGAGGGCGGTTAACAATATGATGTCAATGTTTTTTTTTTGGGCTGATTGGGAATTATAAAAAAAAAAGCCTATACGAGTAAACACACTCTTTCCGGCCTGTACAATACCTATTGGGTTAAATCGCGATTCGATAGGTCGCCTAGTATTTAATATAGGTCAGGGACAACTCGATGCGTTAAGACCGTCTGGACGGTTAAACTAATAGGACGGTCGTCGACAATCGATACGCGTGATTGTCCGGTGATTTTTTTTAGTAGAAACGCCAAACAATAAATTAGAAAAAGCCAAAATAAGGCAAAGTGATCCAAGCGTGAGCGATGAATTCACGCGGAAAAAACTGTTCAGAAACAGCTCAAGTTTATGGAAAAACTTGTTGTGGCTGTCGTCAAACCCAAAATATACACAAAGAACTTATGGTTTAGTTATTAAACCAATATCATGTACACGTGCGACACTTGGACCAACTTGAGGGAAATGGGCTATACCTAGTCGTTGACGACGGCAGAGCGATTTACCTGCTCGCTTTTGAGCTACAATTAAAAATATGATAAATTTCAATAAAAGTGCTCTGCATCAACCATTGTTTCTAAATCAATGTGCACGAACACAGGATTAGTTACAAGTAATCGTTTCCCATAAGTGTTCAACTAAGACGTTGTGGAAAAGTGGCGGCGGCACGGGTGGGGAGGGGGGGAAGACACGCTAGCTTATTGTGATCGAGCAAAAACCTTTTTCCTTTAAAAAGATAAGTGGTTAAACTTTTGAATGAAATCGATTAATTGGGGTTTGTTGACCCTCAAAACGCGATAATTACCCAGGTATAGAGTTGGTTTTTTTATTTTTATTCAGAAGGTCATTTACCTGAAGAGAGAAGCCGCCGCGCATTGATCGACGGCTCGGCCAGCCGTAATTGACTAAACGCTCTCAAGGCCTTTTGCCCATTCTTACATTGAAAAAATCTTGCACTTAATGTGTTTCGATCGTACACTTACCATTTCCGACGGTGTATTGCTGAAGCAAGTCGGTCATGTTTACATGAACAATGCCCCTCTTTTCTGTCATCAAATTGTCACAATGTGTCACCTTGCCGCTGCCAGGTCCTCCTGTGTAAACACCAAGCGAGCATTACGAAAACGTTTGCCAGCCTACTGGCACACATTGTTGTGCCTTTCACTTACCGAGTACAAATATAATAGGAACTTTCGGCGTGTTGAACTTGACGTGACTGTTATTGTCCGACAGCAAGTCGTTAGCGTTTCTGTCGTCGGTGTCTTCGGCATCCCAGTTTTGTCTACCTCTTGGACCGTTATTGTAACTATTATCATTAGGGTTTTTGTCTGAAAGAAAAAATAAAAAAAATTATACACAAAACAAAATGAATTACAACATTTCGACACGATTTGCGAGATTCGATATTAAAAATAGATTGACCTAGATAAATCACACATTTATGTGGATACAACCCATCCCTTTGGATAGGGTATAAGTTGAACGTCAAAAAATGACCAAGAAAATTCAGCATATCTGATAGAGAATTTCAGAGAGTAGTGTTTATGAATTAAACGAATGAGAAGGAAGTAAAGTATGGCTGATTCCAGCACGTGGACACAGAAAAAGTTTCCTGTTTGGGAAGATTGATTTTGATTGATTTTGTGGATAGACGGATTTAAGTGAAATTAATTAGGTATTTTAAAAACATATTCGATATTTTCTCAATCGCCAGATCTTTACATCGAGCTAACCAAGTATGTTTTTGTTGGAATAAAATATAATACATATAACACAATAACGTTTTAGATAACACAAAACAAAATTACAAATTCAACATATACAGCTTGATCAAAATTGTATTTTATAACAATATATGTTTTAGTGTGCAAGTTAAAAATTTAAAGGTCGCTATTGAGAGTAACTTATAAAAGTCTAATTGCAATAATTTATTTTATTATTAAAGACATTTTGTTCATTTCACAACTAACATTTCCATAGTGGAGACCTTACTAGAACGCCAACCTTTGTCGCTTCCATTTCTTAATGAGTCTCTACACTTAAGAATGAGTGATAAGAGATAGGAATTAAGTGTTTAAGCTATATTTCATAAACTCATTTTCCTACATTTATAATAATAATCTAGTAGTTTTAGAGGCGGGCTAATAGCGAGAAAAATAAAAGGTAAGTAGAGAACGATTAGTACACAGGTATTAGGAATAATATGCACAGGTGGACTAAATAAGAACAAGAAGTTGATGGATGTGACAATTAAGGATACTGAATGGGGATATGTGTGGTCTGAATAATGAAATGGTGGTTGATTTAGATGTCCAAGGCATCAAGGAATTCGTCAAGTTTTATCAACACATTGTGCTTGTATTACCTATGTTATTGTTTTGTCCATGATACGATATTGTATTTTCTATGATTTATCAAATATATGACGGAGTTATCGCCAAACCTAAAATTTTAATATGTATCATGCAAGAGTAACGTGGCATTTTTACTTCCCATTGAAAAACGTCCCGACCTGGGAGGCAGCCATTTTTCATATTATTATATCGAGTTCGGTTAACAGTTAGAAACAGTTTGAAATAACAAATTTACTAGGGTAGGTACAACACTAGTGTTGGGGATGAGTGTTAACAGCGTTTCAATGTCGTCGCTGGAGAATAAAATAATATGGAAAAAAAACGCGTTTATGCCGTCAAATGGCCGCGTATCGGTGTGGTGAAATCTTGACACATAACTAATGAAATTACTTTTCAAGTACAAACGTGTCGTTTTAGAGCGAAATAATAATAAAAAAAACCACTCGCACGCCTTTTGAACATTATCATCGCCGCCAATGGATTCTCCGAACCCGTTAGAGCTTTATTGAACAACAATATTAACCGGTAGAAAAAATTCCGCCGATATCCGTTATCCGATTTGTTTCAAGGTTCGCCATAATGGCACACCGCCGGTTCGGCGAGCAGTTATTATAACAACGTATCATTATTATTGCACGTTGTTAATCCATTACACAAATGTACATCTGATAAAGAAGTAGTAATATTCCGTAGAAAAAAAAAATAACGAAAATTCTGTCATGGTGAACCCCAAAACAAATTATACACAACATCAAATTACTCGAAACCGCTTTGGTGTTATCGTTATTCGATCTACACCGACTACACATCATACATAATAATATTATACCCGTTTATCCTTTTTTTTTTAAACTAGTGGTTTTGCACTTAATGAAAAATATTATGACGTATCCCGCCGTGTACGATAATTGTGTTGCCGGCTTTAAAAAAAAAAAAAACACCAACAATACAATATTGTAATGTACGGTTTTGTACACAACGTTTTTCGCACTATTATTTACTTTATCCAGCGATCAAATATTGTAAAATATGTTTTTTTTTTTTTTAAACAGAAAACAACGCAATGTGTACCTGCTTAAGTGATATTTGTTTGTAGGCAATCAGAAGCCAAGCGTTTACCTAAGTCGGTGCAATTGTTTTGTACTTAGTGTACAGTATTGTCTTAAAATGGCCTTTGGCCAACGATTATACTACTAACACTAAAAATTATAATTTGAATGATGAGAAACTCAAGGGAAACGGAAATAGTAGAATTGTATGTAAATATAAACACTAAAACGACCTGAAGTCACTTTCTGAAGTAAACACTACATTACACAACGGGCGGTGGCTATAAAATAATAATAATAATAATAATAATAATAATATTTTGTGTTTATCATGCCTAACATTAATAAACGTTCATACGCGGCCGACCTTCTTTTATAATAGTTTTTTTCACAGTAGTCTATTTTTTGTTGTTTTCAGGTTTGTGTGTGTGTCCGATGGATCATTAATGCCTTTAATAATTGTTTGTTTGTTTGTATAGTTTTCCCATTCGAACGAGGCACACTTGTCGTTAACGAGTTCAACTTTATTTGACGACGAAACAGAAGGGGATGGGATGTAAAGGGGAGGGGATTTAGCCGAGTCTCAGACTATATGAAAACATATAGTTCACTCGGCACGTAATAATATCACAGGTTAGATAAAACCAGATGGTGCACTTTAGTGTTTAATGATAACTCGAACCTGCCTCAGTGCAGTGTGACCACATACGAGAAATTAAATTATCACTGTACAACACCTTATACGCTATAATTATTATATCAAATCATTTTTAATACAATATGTGTATTAAATGTATACGGGTGGCAATTCAAATGAATGAAATTCCAAAGTATTAACCAAAATTTAGAGCAGCTCTAATGTACTGATTAGTCGGTGGTAGTCTTTGGGCCCATATTTAATCTATCTACATCTACCTTTTTAACTCTATCGCAGATTAGATAATTCTATTTTACCTAATCTGTTACTGTACTATGCTTAGTATGTTTATACTGTTTACACTTTAAGAAGTAGTGACTCATTACTGCAATTTTTAATTGTCTTCTAGTGAAAAAACGATCAAAAAAAAAGTTAGTGATGCGATGGAAAATAATAATTTCTCATGAAGACTTTTTTTTTCCTATCAGTGGTAACACTGAGCTGAGGCATGTTTTGGTTTGTCACATTTTTGAGAATTACACGGGCTGAATAAGAAGTGCACTATCTGGTAAAATATCTGCTGTGGCTCTAAAATAACTCTGTGGCTGAGTATGGGGACTTCTCTGTATCAGCTCTTTGGCTGGCGCAATAACTTGACGAGTGGTTGTGGTTAGGTTAGGTTAGATTAACTCGATTACCGTCCAATTACCGTAATTGCTGTTGGTGAAAAAAATTGCGGCTGTGTAAAAATAACCAACTAATTTTTTTTTTGACCATCAAATGCACAAAGTCACAAAAAAGCGGATTTTCCAATCGGGTCATGGTTACCAGACTGTCGCTTGGGCCGTTGGGCGTCGGATGGACATTATTAATGTTATTATTATTATTGTTATTTTACAATGCGATAGACTCGGTTAAAACACGAGTGTGGGGCGCCGAAAATAATGAGACGTGTACAAATCAATAATAATATATACTGACCTCTCGAAAACGCTCGTCTATGTTTTTTTTTTTTTTTGTATACCTGAGGGCGAGAGGGAGACAACACACGCGTTATTACCATTAACAAAAGGGCTGGTGTATTCGGATAGGCGGCTCCGCAGGTTTAGAAGGGCTTATCGGTCGTTAAATTGACATATGCATATATTATTATCATCATCATCATCGTCAAATAGGGTCAACAATTTAGCAACATTTGTCTGTATTGCGGAATTTCTGCAATATTTTGAGAAGTAAAGAACATTCATATTTTTTGTTTACCCTTCAAGCTTTGTCGAGGGTTCCAAGTATCTGCCCCCACACATCATCACACACACACACACACAATCCGAACATTATTCGATGACAATTATCATTACAATAATCGTTTGTGATTCTCATTTTCCGGTAGTCATTTGCTGCGTCCGAATGTCGAAAATAACAAAACACTCGAGTAGGACTCGTTAATAAAATGGTCGTTATAAAAAATATAATTTTGGAATAAAATAAAAGCTGTCAATCACCGAGAGAACCTTCCTCTTCTTCTTCACCTTATCCCATGCAACCAGGTAGGCCAACAAAATATCCGCTCTATCCACAACTTTCTTATTCCAAAGAACTTGATATGAAAATTTCTAACGGTAAAAACTAATTCTTCAATACAACAGTGTAGGCAATTATTGTAACCTTACACTACCGCATGCCAAACACTAAAACAACTGGCATGAACATAATAATATGACTTTTTTGGGTTTTTTTTTTTGGTCTTTCAAATCATAATTATTATTACTGTTGAATAATAATATTTGCACTGTATTCGTGTTTTAAATAGAACCTTCGCAGAGTAAATTGTGTTGTGTGCAACCAATTACCACGAAAACAAAACACTCGAGTCAACAGTACAAGAGCTAATATTAATATGTAATTTTCTTTTTTTTTTGGTTATTGCGTTTTCGATAATTGGACAAAAACCGTACTCGAAAGGTTATCGTTATTTTTTTAATAATTTTCACAGTGTTTAATGCGAAATATTCGATGGTAAAAAATATAAAAGAGCAGGTCCAAGGGTGATTATGTTGTGTAACTATATAATAATTGTTTAGAGGGGTCAACGCTAAATGTGTGTTAGGGTGTCATTTTCACGGACAATATTGTTTCTAGTAATAATAATTGGGTTTTGCCCGAATTCGCGGTATCGTTTGCACGGAATATCCGTAACCGAACAACAGTCATTGTACGTGGAATAAAATTGGGAATTCCACGATGATAATCTCAGAGAATAAATGGAAGGAATCAAAGGAAAGCTGAGGTCAAAGCAGCTTATTATTATCAGGACACTGATAAAAACTAAGACCAAACCCTTCCTCAACTCAGAGTGACCACTGGTAAAAAAAAAAATTATCTATGTGAAACTATTGTTTTAGAATCGAGCATCACTGATTTCATTGACAACTGTTATCACTGATATACTATACAAGTTATTCACCATATTATAGTAATTGGAGTAAAATGTTTTTTACAGTAATTTAATTTATAGAATCTGGTCGCACCTAATTAAGGAGGGTTCAGTTATCAGAAATAGTAATAAATAAGAACAATTATTAGATCTTTTTTTTTTTTTTTAATATCGGGCAAATCACTAATAAAAGAAAAATAAATTGGGGGCCTTTTTTTAAATTAGTATTAATTATCAAAACATAAAATAACAAACACATAATTATACCCCAGGTCATAGTTTATACAGTAAAACGAATTGATATTTCAAGTTTCAAGCTTGGACACCGATTTTGGCCATTCCCCCCCCCCCCCAAAGGTTTACATGTTAGGATAAAATATGAATTGAAGTACACTCTGAAACATACACTTTATACTTGTAGACTTTCTGAAATAGAATTACCTAAATTTGGGTTAAAAAACTGCATATTCATGTATGACATCTAAAACACAGGCAATTTTGATTTTCAAATAGCAGACCGAAGAAGATATGGGTGGGTGTGATGAGTAAAGGCATTGGGTTTTAATGTTAACAATTGTTAATTAATTAATTTAAGTTACAGATTTATGTTTGCCGGTTAATACGACATGCATAATATTACATTGAATTTGGGTAGAAAAACTTTGTAGGGCTATGACATGACACACGTGTACCGCCGAATAACACTATCGACACCGAATTGAACTATGAATAACACAATTAATCATATTATAGCCTTTAATCGGTTTTTGACATGCATTGAAAACGTTTTCTATCCAAACGTTTACACTACTTGTTATAACTACAACAAACGTTGACTGAAATTATTATTGACAGTATGATAGTCAAATTACTTTGCACCATAGTGGGCAACATTGTAGTTGTAACAGTGTAGATTTTGGCTTGAAAACGTTTTCAAGCTAACCATAAGTCACCCGCATTTCGTTAGGTGGAGCGAGGTGGATACTTATGGACTTAGGGTGTACCCTTGACTGAGTCAAAATGGTAGCTAAATATTGTGTTGGTAACGCCACGTGCATTGTAAAATAACGGGCTGATCCGACGGCTGACCATTATTATAGGTTAATTTGGAAACAAAACACAATACAATATAATATGCTGGTTAACGAAACACCGTTGTGCATATTTAACGAGCGTGTTACTCGGATGGTTACTGTTTATATTTTAATTCGAGACAATATAAAATTTGGAAAAAATAACAACTAAAAGAAAACAATCGAAAAAGGAAAACAATGGAAAAATTCAAATAAAAAAACAAAAGCGTCGAAGGCGTTAAAAAACAAATGTAATTTTCACCATTGTCACCGCCCAACCAAAGGAAATTTAGGTCAGAACTATGGCTATGCTAACAGCCGCGGCGGCCTGTCCGAATAATAGCACTGTTGAATATTAAATCAGCAATAGAGTTGTATGGACACATCAAATATTAGTACCGGGCCAAGTCGTGGAAATATTATTATTATGATAAAAAGTGCGACGTTGAAATGGCATTATTGTATGGCCGACCACCACGAACGACCGAGGCAGGATTCGTGTGGTGCTCCTTAATGAAAATAGGTCGCAAGGTATAATTGTTAGTTTTTAATATTGATGATAAGTGATTAGACGTATTGGGTGACAGAATTGAGTCATTTAGAATGGAAAACTGTTTTTATAAGACTTTATTAAGTGAGTGTTATGCATTTGATGGTGTAGGATGAAAATCAAAATGAAAATATTAGAATTTATAAATGGAAGCAATAAAAAAAAATAGATGGAGATGAATAGGCAAAACAATGGAGAGAGATGATTGAAATTTAAATGTAACTGAAGGTAAAAAAGTGATAATGGAGGGTTGGAAACGTGTAACAAAAATGTTTATAACATAATTCTAGATTATTATCAGAAAATAAAAAAAATAGGAACTGAGCAATAATATGCGTAGTTTGGAAGTTTGTGTTATAGAAAACCTTAAAAAATGATAATAACATGTTTTTGAACTATTAAAAAAACGTTTTCTAAAAAACATGTTCACATTTAAATTCATACGTATTACCAATACACTATATGCTTTAAATAAAAACTTAAGCAACTTAATAAAATAATTTCAAAGTTATAAAAACCCAAAAAGGGAGAAAAACTTGCAATTGCCGCTATTATTTTTATACAAAGACACCAATTTATTCAGTTGGATGAGTGACTAGGTTGTGGAATGAATAAGAAATGAGTATATAAGGTGTTGCGGATCAAGATGTACGAAGTGAGTGCTGGACAATTTAAAAAAAAAACCGAGGATTGTGAAATATTTGTAAAATGTATAAGAAAAAAGGGATTTCGAGGTAGATGTAAACCGAAGAATAAAAAATGGTTGGATATAATAAATGAATATTATTAGAAGTGAAGGTATGTGTGGCGATAAGGGGTAGAAGAAAAATACTTTTTTAAATCGTTTAATACAGCTCTAGATAGAGCTGTTATGCTTTGCGGTCAAAAATATTATTATCTTCTACGTTTAACGATCATTCCATGTGCTAACATATAAATACACGGAATGAGTGAAACGAGAAAAATATCTTTATTTAGACACATAAATAACACTGACAGTAAGCAATTAGCACATGTATGACTTATTTGAAAATCAAACATGGTATCCATTGCATAAATGTGGGCGGTTCCAGTGTCAATCACGTTGAATAGCATTTATCAATAGATGATTAGATCATACTTATAATTAAAGCACAGTATATTCCTATTAAAAAAAAAACTATTAGTCACCCAAATCATTTGATTTTTCCATTCAAACATTAAATTTCGTTAAAATAACAATGTTGACACTACATTTTTGATCATTTTGATCGCCTGCGAAATTTGTAAATATCCAAAGGGTGTTTCTGCATCATAGACCTAACCTAACCCCGTGTAGATAAATAGATAAACGACCGATTAGCTCTTATCTGGAATGTACTCGTTGAACAGTGTGAGCATGACCGCAGGATAGTATCATATAGTTTTACCTAAGAATCAATTAACAGATACTTGATATTGGTATACTTGAAATGACAAGAAATTACCTTTGGATGGTGGCTGCGAACCAATCGACGGATCGAAGCCGGGGGAGAGGAAAATAAGAGGAATGGGGCTAGAAGGGGATGACGCTTTGCACTCGCCTGAGCTTTGACCAAGGTAGATGTGTAGGGGGGAATAGGGTAGGTTTTGGGTATTGCTCGAATCTCACCTGTGTCCAGACAAATTCCCATAGTCCCATTCACGGGTGTGTTTCAATTCGGATGGCACGGGGTCGGGGCGGACACCTCGATCATTGCTGGTCTTGGAAACGGCGGTTCGTGGATCTCTTAACCCGGATCGTTCGGGCCGTAGCACATGTCGACCTGGGCAGCGGAGGTGTCGCGGCCGAACTCAACCGGCGGCGTTTACTATTACACTCCAAGACGGTCCAGACCCGGTGATGAAATTATTTCTTACGGCACCGTACCGTATCGTCGATTCGAGACGAGATTTAATTTACCTTTTATTTTTTTTACCGTATTAAAAAATACACAATCGACCGTTGCGCGGGCGGCGGTTGTCGACGGACCCGCCTGGACGTACACTGACTAATGGCCGGGGACCACCCGTTCGGACACAATAGCGGCGCACGAGGAGAGGTCATCCGCCCGGTACGACACCTACCGGTCGAATTCCCGGCGTCGTTCTTGTCCGTCTCTCTGCCTTCCCCTATCCCGTGGTCTGCCGCCCCTTTGGCTTGTTGAATAGGCGTGGGAAAACGCGGCCGTTGGAAAACGGATGAATCGCCGCGATAACACAGGCAACGACGTCCCGTTGTTGTGATTAATGGATTCGGACCGCCGATATTGTGTTATTAACGATTATATTAATAGGTAGCCCCCCCCCCCCAAGGGGTAATTAATATTGGCAAACGAAAACCCCGCCAGGACGTTGAACCCTACACCTTACGGTGCATGCAAAGACCGTGTACCGTGCGAACACTAATAATTACACAATATAAACGCCCGTAAGATTTACACCGAAACGTTTTGACGGATATCCAATCGTTAAAAAATAACAGAAAATTCGAGATTGTTTTGGCATCTTAAGGTTTTTGAAGTACACTTTTCGGAAAATTTGGATCAAACATAATCTTGTATTTTTTTTTTTTGTCTTTAGGCTTGCCCACTTGCACAATATGTCTATCACTTAAAGATAATACATCCGAGGTCTAAAAATGGGCAACGTTTTGTTTGATTTGCCAGTAAAATGTCAAGTGAGAATAATAAATGGACTTTATTTTTTTAAAACAGAAACTCAAATACAGGCAACTACTAGGTTTCACTTTCTCGGTTTTTTCGTTTTATTTGGGCTTTTTCTACTATACCTTCGCTTGACGGCTTGTTGAGTTGACGTCTCGGGCTCGATGTCTATGTCGTAATCGTTCCCGATCACTGGCTCCTCGACCACAGGCCTTTCTGGGATAGTCACATTGTCTCGGTCGTCGTCTTGGCTGGTCTCGTTTTCGATCACTGGCTCGACCACACGCCTTTCTGGGATAGTCATATTGTCTCGGTCTTCGGCTTGCCTGGCCACGTTTGCTCGGTCTTCGCATTGGATGGTCACGATTCCTCGGTTGTCGCCTTGGCTGGTCACGATTCTTCGGTTGTCGCCTTGGCTGGACACTTTTAGCGCTGCCCGTGAAGTACAAGGTCCTACTTCCATCTGTAATAAATAGTCATTCGAAACAAGTTCACGGGTTTTCTAGCTGTTAGTCGGCATATTAAAGTCATACGAGGACTGGGGCAGGATCTTCCTCGAGGCGGTTGACGGCAACAAGTTGGTCCGCGAGTTTCACGCAATGGGGACCACAGTTATCGGGGTACTCGTCTTCGTCGGTGGACCAAGACGAGCTGTAGTCGATTGCGTCGATATCTTCGTCGCTGGACACGCCGTCACTGGCGTCCGAACTATTATTATCGACCACATCCCGATTGGGACACAGCTCCTTTTGTTGGTCCGACGGGTTGTTCACGCAAGCCTTGTGGTAGTCGTGTATTTCCTTAAACAACTGGACCGTCGCACAACGTAGATTTGCCACGGTCTTCTCGGATGGAGGGTCGTAGAAGCGTCTGTTGCAATTCCTGGTCACCCTCAAGGTCCTGCACAACAGACGGACAAGAGGCTTACCAAAAAATTCTCTAAAATTTAGTACAGTCGAGAGGGACGGAAAGCAACTGGCACACCGCTCCTGACCCTAACCTTGGATCTCTCAATTACATCTCTATCGTTGCATTACTTGATTTTTGTGCACGTGAAATCTAACGGCGACTGTGCCGAGCTAACAATCTGCTGCAAACCAGCCGTGGACGTGGAAGGTTGGTCTTCTGGGGCGGCCGGCGCGAGTACAGGTGCCGGGTTCGGCGGAAGTTTTTTCAACATAATATAAGGTAACAGCAGACCACCTTCGGGAATTTGAGAATCGCCAGCTCCAAGGTTAACTTCCCCCGATGACATGTCTGTTGACGTATTGAAAAGCTAATTAAATTAAACTGATGTGTGGTAGTTTCTTAGTTAAAAGCAAACAGTCAGCGTTACTACAGACACACAAGTAAACATATTTATTTGTTTCCCACGTTGTGTCTCATAAAATTTGTTTCGTTATCATTGTCAGAATATGAGCCAAGCAGTAGACATGTTTGATGGTCGACTTTCCACCACCAGGCAGCGCTAACGGCTTCCTATAATAGTTTTCTAATTTATTACTATTATTGAGTTTTGACATTAAAACCGGTATTACAATAACTAATTTGTCGAATCGAAGAATCAACAAATCCAGTGGCCAAAAGTTATCGTTTCGTGACCTACTACTATTCATTCGTATTATTATTGTTAAACAACAAATTAACCATACCACCTGTCTGGTCTTTTGTAATCATGAATGATTGGCGTTAAGAAATAAAATAAATAACCTTTACAGACAGTGCCCCTTAATGTGACACCCCGACAACGCAGAATACAGTTATAATAATAACTATACAACAGACTTTTGATATGAAAAAGTGTCATAGTGTTATATAGACCACCTTGGATTATAAATATATTTATGATAGACAAATCGGTTATTTCAGCAAGACCTTTGTTTAGCATTATGCATATTTTCTAGAGTGCCAAAGACCTACATGTCTTAAGAAAATTTGTATTGTATGAACGTAACTATTAAAACTAATAGAAAACATTCACGTTTCGTTGGAATACATATTTTAATCGAGTATAAAATATTATGACAATTGAGTCGTTATAAAAATTATTGTTATCAATACAGCAATCATAAAGTTATATTAATACTAAATAAAAAACGATAATAATATATTAATAGTGTACAATCATAATTGTTTAAAATATACATTTTTTTTTTTTTGGTGGCCGTCATGTCATGAACAATATAAAAATATCCAAACAACACATAATAAATAAGCCACTACAAAGATTATGATGATGATAGAATTCATTTTTTTTTATAAAATATAATAATTATTAAAAAAAAATATATATTTGAATTAAAGAACAGCCTAATGAGATTCCGAGCTAGCGCTAAGCGTGGCCTTGACGGCGGCTTCGTGGGCCATTCTGATGGCCTCCAGCGACGGCCTTGCGTCTAGTTCGGGCAATGTGGTTTCTTCGTTGATGGGACGTCGTGGCTGGATGTTGTTATAGTAACGGGCCGTTTCCACGCAATCCACCGTCGGCGATGGACTCTTGTCGTGGACCTTAGGCTTGGCCGGCCGCAACGCCATCCGGACGCGGCGGGCCACGTTGGTCCAGAAGAAACCTATGCAGGGGCAAATAAACCTAGTTATTTACGCAACTCTACGGAAAACAATGTAATCATGGATATGTTATCTCTTATCACTTATCTCTTATCACATGTCTCTTATCTCTTATCATGTATCTTATCACTCGTCTTTTGTCTCTTATTATTTTTCTCTTATCTCCTATCTTTTATCTCTTAATATTTTTTAAAAATATTTTTGCATATTGTAACGCGAAAACGGTGACATAAAATGTTCGTTTATCCGGCCTAATAACATATCTATGTTAAAAACCGTCAAGAACCAAACAAGGGTTAGGCTACCGCTAACTCCATACATCGATGTTGGCCTCAGACACCTTTGTACACCTCTTTACACACCAGTTGCCCATTTACCACTTCATTCAACCTTACTTTATTGTATTCACAACATCTTCAATTTTGCAATTCTTCTCACACTTAAATTTCCCTACTCTGCTTACCATTTGAGGTAAGACTTTGTGATACGAAATAAGATAATATTACTGTACAAAGTCTTTGAAACCTATTGCTCACCTTTGTGCGTGGAGTCCGGACCGAAAGAAACCCGTTTCTTGGCCTTTTGACTGACGGGCGTCCCGTCGGGCAAGACGGCATGGCCGGGCGTCTGCTGCATAGGCGTCTGCTGCATGGGCGTTTGATAGAAACTGGGACTGGCGTTTTCCGACGGTACGACGACGGGCGTGACGGCATCCTCGACTTTGCAAACGGTATCGTTTTGGTGTGCTGTCGTGTACGGCGTGTACGGCGTGTACGGAATCGCGGGACTGCTCTCCGCCACGGGACGCAGCATGAGCCGCATGCCGCCCACGCTGGACCTGCGGGCCCTCAACACTTGCCGCCGGACGGGCGTCTCCTTCATGCGGACACCGCTGTCCGTCAACGACGGCCGTTCCTGTTCGGCGGCAACCGGGGCCGGCGTCCGGTGTCGCTTGCGTCCGTTGGCCGACCACAACGACGAGCCCGTGGCCGGGGCTGCCGAGTTGGCCGCCTGTAGTCTTTTAGGCACCGGAGCCACCGGCCGGAACCGGCGCTTGATCAACGCGGCCGGCGTGGCCACTATCAACGCGTGTTCCCGGCGCTCGTGATCGTGTCTGTGTTTCAGGCAACAGAACACCCGTTTGCACAGCGAACACCTCACCTGCAAACGATACGACCGGGTATTCTACGCCAACAATGCCGGTAACAATACAAAAATATTAGTAACGGCATTGAACAGTGTCCATCTTACAAGACTACAATACAGAGTGATGTTATACATTTTACTTTACAACAATTGTTCTAATGGAATATATATTTTAGCTAAAAAGTTTCAGTTCAAATATCTTATTAAATTAAATAGTTTACACTTTTCAAGCTAAAATTATCATTTTAAAGTGTAGTTTTAGAGGCTAAATTGAAATGCTAATTAAAAACTAATTAATAAATCTTGTTAACGACCATTCATAATTGGTGTTACATCATACCGCTTTCAATAGGTTAAATTAAAATATCGGTTTCTATTTTAAATTTAAAAGTAACCCTCTTAAACTATCCTTTAAAGGACCAATTTTTATTATTTTTATTATTGACCATTCAATAGAAAAACGATTTCATTTGAAAATTTCTTAGCTAAAATAATTTGTTCACTAAAAAAGTTGTTGTAAAGTAAAATTTCCATCACGTTACATAGTAAATATTTAAAAAAAAAACAGTTTAAACATTTATATTTTTATTGTACAATTATTTTGAAAACTATTTTCTTCTTATAAGTTTTTAAATAGACTATTTTCTAATTTTAACAATGTTAGTCATTACTCGAATAATGTTTTATTTAAATGATTTTTTTTTAATTAAATAACTGTCAAAAGGGCCAACTTGGGGCTTAATGAGTAATTTTGGGCATATAATGCCTCTATCTGGCCTAAGTTTAAATTTTTTCCGAAATATTAATTATTTTTTTTTTTTGTAATAATATAAACAATTAATTAGCAAAACGGAATTAAATATGGAACTTCCATACATATAATAATACAATATAAATAAATATATCCTTCCAAGTCAATATTAGTATTAACTATTAGGTATTATGATTTGTCAAATTATGAAATTTTTCAGGCGGCCTGTTTTTTTAACAATTATTGTAAAAAATCTCATAATAATTGAAATCAGAATTTTCTCATTTTCTCTGACTTTAGACATCTTCATTAATAACAAACCTGCATAATTTCAGTAATTTATTTCATATATCACTGGAATTATCAAATTATTTTATGTCATTTTTATTTTAATGAAAAATCAATTAATAATGTTAAAAATTAAATATTGTTTAACGGTGGATTTATTCGATTTACTCAAAATCTGATGATAGGTAACACAAATATTTTATAAAAAAAAAAATGTTAAGTGTGAAAAATGTAATTGATATGATTAAAATGATTTGTTAAATGCAAGTAAAACAGTGTAAGTAAGAAAACGTTGTACTTTTATTAATAGATAAATTTGTAAAATTATGTACACACTTAATAAATTTAAAAAAAAATCCTTTCTTCTCTATTTCATAAATTAAAATTTTCCTCCAATAAACTATAAAAATATGTTCTCTTTTATTTAAACTTTATAAATACTTTTTATAACAGTAGCACATAAGTGAACATTTTTAATAATATAATACCAAATATCCTAACAGTACTTTTTTTCTATAAAGAAGTAAATTTATTTATTTTTACTTAAATTATCAATGTTGTTTATTTTGTATACGAAATCGTGTTAACTTTTAAGTTAAAGAAAAGGTACAATATTAACTTAATCACTTAAGAAAAGTAAAAAATAATTTTCAAGACACATCAGGTTCAGGTGCCGTTTTAATATATTTTTTCAATTTAAAAATATTACTCAAAAACCTGGTAACCGATCAATCCACAGTAGTACAATATGTATCGTTCATTGTAAAAGTGAATTAGGTATCTCTTTGTAATTGAATTTTGATATAACGAGCTTTTTGTAAATTTATGTGTAGAAAAAACAATACAAGTCTTCATCCAGTGTTTTCTAGTGTTGTTTCTATTTTTATAATGAAAGGTATGACTAAATGTGACTCCATTAAACAAAAATATGTATATTTTAAACATTTGGAGTTACACCACTTTTACAGCGAACGACCCATATATTACAGTCAAAATTATTAACTTTTGTCTAACTGTTTGAAAACAGTTGATTATTTTCATTAATTACTTACATGGTGGTTTAATAAAAATAAAATATATAATAACCGTGTTTTATTCAATATATATATATACATAATATTTTTTGGTGTAGATTGATTTAGTGAAGTGTTACATTAAAATATAATACAAGTTTATGTATGTATATGTATTTTAATTTTTTTTAATTTTTAACTATCATTTATATTACCATAATAATATGCAACGCTCAGTCGACCGTAAGTATGTATAGACACTTACCGCAAAGCCTTGATTCATTTTCGCAAACCGCTCAGACATTAATGTTGCAAATGCGTTACAGAAAAAACTTTAGGCGTCAAAAAAAATATATATTCTAAATAATAATTAAAATAATAATAATGGAATTGAATTAAACAAAAGTATCGACTTGGCGATAATATCAATCCGAAATGTCAGCGCGTTAAAAGGTCTGTCCGATTGCCCAAAGCACCGTCGCTTATCTCGGTAAACCGGCGGCCACGACCAACAGGTGGTGGTAATCAACAGGTATATTGTTATTATTATCTCGACGACTTCGTATTCCATATTATTATTATTATTATTATTATTATAGATGCGTTATTTTATAGATACGATGAACGAATATTGTAGGCCGGACGACGGTCGTCAATGACCGAACTGGCCGAATTTAAACCCGAAAATCCCATTCGGCGGTATAATATTATATTATTTAATGTTGTTATTATTTTTTCTCATTGTATTGTTATATTATTATTGTTTACTGACCGTGTGTTTACTCTGCACTCGAATCGTCCACCGTACCTGCAACATAAAAATAATAATACAGCTGTTGTTATTGCTCGAGACTCGAGCACGGTTATAATATTATGTTGCTAAGTCAACAGATCGATGTTCGGCTTATAGTGAATTTGACTGCTAAAAACAATACCTAGGGCATTCAATAATAGGTGCGAATTTGTTTATAATGTATATTATACACTGTACAAACCCTATAAAAAGGGTCATCCGAATTATTGCATGCAACAGAATCATTGATTCATCTAGAAACCCGTTTTGTATTTTCTTCAAAAAACCCGCCTTGCGCTGATTAATTTTACAAAGGCTGTATTCAAAACTAAGAAACCAAATTTTCACACAGTGTAGACAAAAACATTGCCTGTGCTCTACCATGGCCCTTTTTTAAATATTTCAACCAGTAAATAAATAATTATTTAATTAAGAAAGGACTTTATTAAAAATTATAAGCGAAATTTATTAAAACCACTTTTTTCTTAAATATTGCCTATACAAAACTCCTTAAAAATTGGCCGGTACCCAATAGCCTTAAATGTTATCATTTTAAAGGACTTTATTTATTTATTCGTATGGCATTTTAAAGGACTATAATAATAGAATAAGCTTCAAGGTATTGTATTTAGTTTAAATATTTTTTTTTAATAAGTAAACGCCTTTTTAGTTTTTTTTAAATTAAAAAAACAGACAAAATTTCGACAACATCGGATGGGCTAAATTTAATTCTTTAAAGCGTTTTTTTTTTTTAATTTTCAGTTTCTCGTAGTTAAACGAATTAATACTTGCAATTTTTTTAATATTAAAACCAAATTTTTTACATAAAAAATCAAAAATCGGCTTCCTACATAACATAGTAAAGTAGCCAAAGAACACGAATTTCTTTACAGAATTTAAATCGGACCATTCTAAGTAGTCGACATTTTGTCTGCCTTTTTGGTGTAAGACGTTAAAAAAACAGAACGAATGCAAATACCCATCATATTAGATTTACTAGGATATACTAGGTTGATAAAAACAACATCAACGTTTACGTCACACCCAGCCCAGTCTATTCCTTTGAATGCTTAAACTCCAAAATGATTTATCCACATCCCAATATTACCATTTAAAATAATATTTTTAACTTAAATATTAATCATAAATTTTTATCGTAAAACATTACAAGGGTTCTATTTAAAACTTATTGATCTAAAACGAAAAATGATTGTAACATGAAATTTGTATATAGTATACACAGGGTTATTCAAAACCTTAATTTTTATGAATATAGTGGTTGTTTTTGTTGAGTTTTTTTAAGAGATTTTATTTTATTTGTCGGAGGTCTGCAAATCGGTTTCGAACGAGGAATGAGAAAAGATCTCATTTATTAAGCCTTTGAATGATTTTTTAAAACTAATTTCAAATAAAGCTTTTTATTCTATTTTCTTTGCTGATTTCAGAACTGGTCTTGGAATTGAGATTTATTTGTTTTTCAAGAACAATGGAAGATGTGAAAATTGTAGTATTTTTAACTTTGAAGACGATTTCAAAAATAATGAGACCAGATCGGGGATTCAGTGGAAAAAAACAAATTTTGATTTCATTGTTATACATTTTTCTACCAAATAACAACAAGTAAATTGTTTTAGCCAATTATTTGTTATGTTGGCTTGTTTTAGTTATTATTTAACAACACTAATTACAAAACTTGTTTTTAAACTTTATACCTGCGGATTTGTCGCATCAACATATTTGTATCCCAACAAACCTACTAAACTCCAATTCTGTAGCTTTAAAATGAATTTATACAATTATTGTTAATATATCTTGAACGATTTTTAGAGGGTGACCGTCGAGGCCAAGGTTGATTGTTTTTATAATACATATATACGTACCTATATTGTTTTGTGTAAAATTATTAAATAGTTACAAGTTAAACGATATTGTAATTTATTATTTAACAATAAAAACCTTTGTTCGCGACGATTTTCAATGCAATTTAATATTTGACCGTCGTCGACTACAACACCGACAAGCGATAGAAATTATTTGTAGTAAAACCTAAGTAATATTATGAAATACAAATGAAATATTCGCTTAGATTGTCGCACAATCTATTGTCTATATTATTATTCTACTTTACCTGGTCACTCCAGACATCCGTGCTCAATATTCATCTATCTTAATCAAAGCTCAACACTAATTTCCATATATTATGATTTGCCTAAATATATATATAGTTTTATCAGCATTTGCCTTTTCCTTTAAAAATCGCTTCCATGCCACATAACAACCTATTGTTGCCCTTTCTCTATAATCCAAACACACTCTATTCTGTTCAATTCTTCCATAAATTCGAATAAAATTGTACTTGAATAAGAGTTGATATCATTAATCATTTTTTTTTTTTTTAATAGAAAATATTTGTTTTTTTTTTTGTTACTCGATAGGTACTGAACTTATTCGAAACATTTTTATTATTTTTATTTTAAAACAACAATAATTTATAGTTAAATAAATCCTTGAAAATTCAGTGACTGTGAGTATTAGGTCAGTATTTTTTTCAGGTACCTATTTTTTCCAATTTAATATTCACAATAGCTTTTAATAAATTATATATTAACTAGAAATTAATGTTGTGATCAGCAAAAACGATTGTTATTTTATTGCCCGTTATTCCTATTGAATTCGTATTCGTGAATAATTAAATGATAATTTTTATTAGAATAGCATAATTACTGTTCAAATAAATATGACGTATTAATGAATAAATAATATTTTATCATCGCCCGTTGTAGACATAAGCTATAAATCGACTATTGTTAGTAATATTATAAAAGGTCGGCTTAAGTCTTAACCAACCCTACACATTTTTTTTTGGCTTTAATTTGAACAAAAATATTCTTCGAACCATATTTTGGACACACCTTCTACATCTTCAGATCTTCTTCATCATTCTCTCGGACGTCTGAATTGTCATTTTTCGTCAGTTAAATATTATATTTAAACGAGTATAGACGAGGTTAGGCGAGACTATCGCTTCGAAGTCGTTACACAATCTTCGGGTGCCCATCTCGTTTTAATATCAGCAGTAGGCGGCTTGTTTTTCTGCATGTGATTTCATAACACACACAATATCAGAGTACATAGCTGCTGTTACACTTTGATTTGTATTTGTATAATAATAATATATTATAGGTACCGACGTACGATATTATGATAATATCATAAAAACCCTTGTAGACGAATGAAATGTATTATTACAGGCGTGTGTCCGGCCTTACCTGGTTAGTGGCGACGATAAAATGGGAGTGACTGAATAATATTAAAAAATAAAATAAAATTAAGTAAAAAAACGACGAGGGTTAGGCGTTTGACACGTCGTAAAGTAGAGCACGCGTCATGTGCACATCCGCCGGGTCCGACCTTGACACTTATGTGGTGGCCGACATTTCCATGGCGACGGCACTCTTCATTACATGCAAATAATCGAATGCTTATAACATTAGAAAAAAAGTCGTTTTATTACAATATATTATAATACAATTGTTGGCGATTCAAATAATAATTATAAGAGTTTCCGTCACACAGACAGTGGTACGTATTAAAATAGCGGCTTAAACGAGTACTACAGATTGGATGAAAGCAGAAGGGTCGCTTTCGATATAAACAAAAAAAGTGACGGGCCCATTTAGTATTATATGTATAATGTTATATATATTTACACAACAATTAATAACATTGTATAGATATTATAAAGCCTTAAGAAAATGGTACAAAAATAATTATATATCACCTTCACCTTTTATGTTTTTTTCCTTTTCCATGTTAATTTTATTCTTATAAACTTGTATTTCAAAGTTGTATCTATTGTAATATAAAAAGTATACTTTTAGCTTCGATGCAATAGCTGACAAGGGATTGTATTTACAATGAGGTGTTTTTATTATTTTTAAATTTTTGTGTCTACACCCACGATATCTTTTAAGCCACTTACAAGATTTCAACGTGTAGCAGCTCTCAAGATCAGAAATCTTACTTGTATGGTACTTTAATAGACAAAAAATTTAAAAAGTTCAACCCTTCCCCGTCAAAGTTTATATTTTTTCAACTTAAAATTACGGCGCTTCATACCTTTTTTTCAAAATATTCCAATTAGTTCCAAATTTTTATTGAATATTCTTAAGAAATAGTACTACCGACAAACGTTGACAACCTAAACAATTATCGTACACCCTTTCTCCTAGAAGGAGTGGTTTTTTTTTTTTGCTTTTTCATGCAAAATTATAGGGGTTTATGCGTTTATTTAAAAGTGATTTTATCACTTTCAGTTATAATAATTCCTGTAGACCTGTGACCTCTCCATCCCCACTATGCCTCGACCCCACTGTACTAGCTTGTTTTTTATATTGAAATTTTTTTAACGGTTCAATTATTGTAATTTTCATTAGCTGTTCTCTTTTAAAATTTATATAGAGAATAGGGGTTACTTAAAATTATTTTTGGTTGCACCAAACGTTTTATTTTAAAGTAAACTTAACTTTGAAGTTTTCGACTTTAGTCTGTAGTAGATTTCTTTTAAATTGAAAATCATATTAAAAAATTATATTTTATATTTTAAATTATGATTAATTTAAATTGGACAGTGATTTTTTTTCTTATTATCTTTTGTTTGAGAAACATTACAGCTCAACAATTAAACATATGGGTAACAAATAAAATGTTAAAAGTAAATATAAGAAAAGTAGTATGTGCATACTAAAATTATTATGAATGACAAAATATGTATTAACGTTGGCTAAGTATTAAGCGATAAAGCGATAATTACATTACTATTACAATAAAAAAGAGAAACAAATAAAATTGAAAAATTTTATTAAGCCAGCTCGACGGCTCAACGATTAAAGACATATCTCCAAGCAAAAGTAAAAAATTAATATAAAAAGCACATGTTTTTTTTTAATTTATCTAAGGCCATCATAACGTCAAAACATATTGCAAGGAAAGACATGACTTTTTAATCGTCTAGTTTTTTCTTAGTGTTATAATTCAATTTTTTTCGTAGGTAAACGAAAATATGATTTGGAAAATAATATTTTTGTTGGCGTGTTTTAACGTATTAATAAAAGCTGGTCAGTTATTAACTAGAAATAAAAAGACGGAAAATTTTCCAAGAGAGGTAAATATAATCGACTAATGTCTTTAAATTTTTTTTTTTTAGTAGGTATACAATTTATATTATGTTATTCATAACCCCACAAAACGTTTTTCATTCTTATGTTAAAAAATTAAAGTAATTTTCTAACACCACATTCTCTCGCCCATCGTGGTGGTTTTTTTTTTGCTATCTATTTGATAAGTATATGTATACACTATACTCATAACAATATGTATAGTATTTCGAAATTACTACTCAAAATAGCTAACGACACTATTTTTGGGATTTCACTGCGGGTAATGTCACATTAGATGACTTCTTCCAGGCCAAATGCATGGGAATATTTTTCCAGATTCGTATTCAGCATAAAAAGTACTATTCGTTAAAAAAAAATTCAAAAAATAGTTTCTGCAAATATTTTTGCAAAGTTTAAAATAATAAAAATAATAACTGATTCAAATATTTCAAAATAATAACTTCAAATCGATAGCTATGAATTATTACGGACATTTAAATGTCTAATCTCCCAAACCATGTGAATTTATTGCAGATTCCTAAACATTATTTAAAATCACTATCAATTCAATATGAAGACCACAAGGCAAAAACGATGAAATACCTCCTTGGGGAGGTGTGTCGAACCTTAAATAATTTTCGACCACATAGTGGATTTCATAGTTTTTTCCTTGTTTATATTATGTATTGTTTTTGCCTCATTATAATGCCTATTATAATCTATAAAAAATTCTATAAAATAATAAAATTCAAAATACATTGTTTTATTCTCATTCAAAAATACTTATGACAGATTAAAAATAAACATTTCATTTCAAACAATTCAAACATTATTAAATTGAACGAATCAGTTAAGGGAATTGCATGCGGTCTGTTATTAAGGAGTTTTGTATAGGCAATGTTTAAAAAAAAAAAGATTTAATAAATTTCGAACAGCTCGATTAATTTACCGGTTAATTTGTATAAGCTTCATGGTATTATTTTTAATTTAAATAATTTTGTCTATGAGTAAAAGCCATTTAAGTTAATATAATAGTACATTTTTTGGCCATCACACAGGCTGAACCAGTTTTCAGATTACTTATCGGAAAGTAATCTGAAAACGGATTTGAATTTGTCATGAAGTTTACTTGAGATCGGTCAGCGTAGTTTTTTGATATCTTATTCCTACTACACATAAAACACGGTTGAATATTTTATAAAATTTCAAATTTTGAAATAAAATTTGTAAATGGTTAAAATTAAAAATTAAAAAAAGTGCTCTGACCGATCTTAAGTAAACTTCATGACAAATTCATATCTGTTTTTAGATTGCTTATCGAATCATTGATTCAACCTGTGCGATGGACAAAAAATTATGTGTTTTGGCTGAAAAAACGGTCGGTATCCAGGGGCCTTAATAAGAATAATATTTTCTAATAAATAATCATTTGTTTCTCTTCTGTTTATATAATTTAACATGATAATTTTCATGCTGTATTTAAAAAAATAATAATAATTATTATTATTACTTTTTTTGCGATTGACACTTATAACCTTTTACAAAATGCATGTCACACTAACCTTATAAGCAGTGTTGAACAAAGACAATTTTGTAATTATCTAAACGAGATTATAGATAGCATGCGTATTTTTAGCATCGATGCAGAGCTAATAATAATAATATGTTGTAATAATATATTTTATTTGACAAACAAAATTAATACAGCATAACGAATATATTAATCTTATTGAATAAATTAATGAAGCTGTTATAGTTATTTTATCACTTGCGACTTGTGTATAATGGTAGGTATGTATTAAAAAAAATGTTTATGCAAGATAGATCTTATTGAGAATACTGTACCTAATATGTAGGTTTGTAAAACCAAATGATAAACTGAAGCTTTTATTAAAAAAAGTATTACATAAATCAATTACAATGAAACCAGGCACAATAGAATTATATTAATAAGCGCAACTAAACCTACATTTTAGGGGGTGCTAAAACTATGTATACCTGAATAATAATTCTTACCTTCAATTTTCAAACTATTAAATATAATATAAAATATTTGAAAACAAAAATATTCTAAAAAAATAAATTTCAACAGAATATGAACATTATTAGAATTTTACGCGTATAAACCAAGGATTGGGCCTTGAATTTTTGGGAGTGCTAATTTTGAGTCTGGGGGTGATAAAGCCCATGATTATATCATACTGTATTTTATTTTTTGGTTATATTGCGCTAGGCAGTTGTCTTATAACTTACAGAGTTGTGCTGTGTGATTTCGTTCAATGGTATTTATACTGAAACAAATGGTTTCTAATGGTGGTCAACTCCATTATAAGTACAACAAGATTAGAGACTGGTACCTATTTATAGAACCTTTTGCCATATGGTAAATTATATAGAACAAATTTAGGTATAATATTATTCAGCACTGGACCCCACTTAGGTAATGCCTTACTGTGGTGGATTTTTACTATTTGAAGCGTTTGATTGTGATAACATCGCATTCAGTTTTAATAAATGCTTGATCCAACTTGGCTAACTTCTTTTGTACTGATTTATACTGTACTTACTTTGAACTGCGATGGTTTGAATTGTACTGGTTATGCATTGTACTGAATTATCCTGTGCTTGGTTTTTGAATTTCCATTTCAAAGAGCGGCAAGTGGATAAGGCTGAACATCGCGACCAAAACGGATTATAAATCAACTACTAACTACTTCAAAATTATATTTTGAACAACCGCGTTTGTGTATTTTGCAAACCGCCTTTGAATTATTTACCTCCAGTGCATTCTACCACAGATTAGATTTTATCTTATCAGTGGTTCTACCTTCAACTGCGACCGCTGCTGTTATCACTTATTGCACACACACACATCATTATAAATTAGTATTAGTTGTCATACAATTCTATGTATGTGGTTTTTGTAGTTATATGTAGTAATATTTTTTCATATATACAATTTTTTAATATGTTGTTGTCTCGCCTAAAGTGAGCTTTATTATTTAATTTTATCGCAACGAAATAGATCTCTATTTTGTCACGAAATGTATTAAATTTACATATATTCCACATGTGTTTATATAGTATATTATAAAAAAAAATCATTCTTTATTTGTGTGATTTAATACATTGTTTTGTGTCTAGAGATCGGAGCCTTAACTGGCGGTCTCGTCGCCTGTGTAATAGTGATATTATCATTTTAATTATTTTTTCATAAAAAATTATTTCTTATAATTTACAACTTATGTGTTTGATATTATTACAGTTGAATAAGTTAATACTAATTAAGTAATAGTATTTATTATTCTTATTAAAGTCTACAGTGCAGTCAGAAAAAAAAATTGCCCGACGCATAACAAAATTACAGTGTCAACTTAAAATACCAGAAAAGGTCTAGAGGTGAATTATACTTTAATACCTATAACATTCTTGTCGTTAAAATTAATTTAACTAATTAATAAAAGTGTTAAATAGTCAAAATTAGACCAAAGGTAGGTAATAATATCCGTTATAATACATGCAAAAATACGTAATTTCTGTAATTAAAAAAATGTGTCTTCTTATTAACACACTGATAGATACAACAATATCATACACAATAAATTGTATACAATTATATGTATGCGGTTTTTGTAGTTATATGTAGTAATATTTTTTCATATTTACAATTTATTAATTTAAGAGGACGCTACGCCGCCTATTTCTAAACAGTATAGGCAATTTTTTGCCAATTTGTTTACAAATCTTAATTAAGAGTTTGAACTATAGTGTATACTTATTACAATAATGAGGATACTTCATTGATTGCCATTTTTTTTCAGACTATCACAGTCATTTCTATAGGATAAATTACAATTTTTGTCCTAACAAAACTGCTTTGTGTGGAACTAGTATGTGGGGCCAGTATTAACAGTAGGTTAACCAAATTTTCAAAATATATAGAGAAAAATTCTATCTAGGCCATAGTGTTTTTATTTTTTTTATATTATATTTAATATTTTTTTATAAGCAAAAGAAAAAAATGAAAAAATAATGAATAATTTTGATTATGTTTAAGTTATCAAAAAACTAAAAACGCTACAGCGTTTAAACTATTAATCTATTATCCTATTAAAAAATGTAACAAAATGCATTTTTCATTTAAAATATTTTTAAAAATTATAGTCTTATTAAGTCATTGAGTTGATATGATTATTGACTATAATAAAATACAATACTCTGTTTTTTTCTTACTTTACTACAATCAAAAGGTGGACTATACATTTTTTAATATTTTTTTAAAAAAAGTTATGTTTTATAAGGCCACACTAGATCCATCCGTTAGTATAATTTAAAAATACATAATGTCAATAAAAATGATGAGTAATATGTATATTTTTTCTACAATATTCTAATTTGTTTGTTTGACAATGTTTGTATTGTAGTGACAATGGATGCAGATGGATGGACAGACACAGCCGACTGTTCAAATATGACGTGTGCCTAAAGTCATCAAATTGAAACAATAATAAATAATTTCAGTATCTATTAGACATTTTTATTTATATTATAACTTATTGTTTTAATTAAAAATAAAATAGTATTTAAAAAAAAAATGATTTTATACACATTTTGTTGCAATCAATTTAGTATAGTTAGATCAAAGACTGTACTAAAATAACTCATCTATACATATCAATAGGTTATAGGTAACTTAAAGCTTCAGGTTAATATCACAACGATATACCATGCTCTATTAATAATATTAATTAAAAATATTGATGGAGTGAAATCAGAGAAATATCTCTACTGGCATACGCATCTACTGCAGCTCTCACGCTTACTACTTTAATTAACTATCATATTTTAATATTTAGGTGTTTTTAATTACTTCATTGTATTTTAGAGACCGGTATACTCATTAAGTAGCTTTGGTATAGGAAATTTATCGCATTATTAAAATTAAATCTAAAATTTAAGTGTATACAGGTTTTGTATAATCACAACTATGTGTGTGTAAATGTATGATGAGAACATTTTGAAGATTTCTAGACATAGGTACTAAATAATTAAAGACATCTGACACTAATAACATTGTTATGGGTATAACATTATAATTTGATCCTGAGTATTAGGAACATATAAACTTTTTAAAATTAATTTAAACAGTCATAGAAATATGCGTGGTATAAAAAATCTGGACGTAGGTACGTCATGTTATGTTATTATTTCTTTTTACAAACTTTAATTTTAAAGAAAACAGTTTTTTAATGGAAGAAGCTAATTTATTTTTCGTTCCTTAATGCGCAAGTCGGAGATCATTTAATAATATTACAATTAAAGAAACCATAATAAGTGAGTGTCGCAAAGACAGCGACAATACGATACAACCAAGTTAAGTTTGCTGAATTTTAAAAATCGATTAAATGGTACTAAACCTTTTCAGTTTTTAACTTGTTGTCACTTTCTGAAGTGTCTACTGAACCGATTAAAAAAAAAAATGCTATGTTATAAAGTAGCCAAAGAACTCGTTTGTCTTTACAGAATTGAAAATGTATTGGACCATCCTATGTGGTCGATATTTTGAATGGCTTTTTGGTCTAAAATAAACCTAAATGGCTTTTGCTCTTTGAAAAAATTAAGAAGCTTATACAAATTAACCGGTAAATTAATAGACATGGTCGAAATTTATTAAAACCTTTTTTTTTCTTCTCTTAAATATTGCCTTTATAAAACTCCTTAAAAACAGACCGCATGCAATACCCTTAACAATAAGAATACTACCTATTGCAACAGAACAAATTGTTTGGTTTAAATATTTACCTTCACCGATTTCTACCTCCAGCCGACAGCTGCAGCTTTCGATGACGCCGTCGTTATCACTTGTTTCACAAACACAATATCAATCATCATATTATCAAAATATGATGGGTATGTCTGCAAGTAAAATGATTAACGATTTAAAGTAATCAAGTAACTCCGAATTCTGATTTATGTTGCAAAAATGTTGTTGTGTGTATTTCGTGACTGACGTAAAACAAATAAAAAGATGTAGTGTGTGGTTTTATACCTACTGTTTTAGGATTTTTAAATTCATTACCAGCAATCTCAATGTAGTTGTGTAATAGTAAGTTTATTTTAACTTAAATTAATTAGTAATTAACAGTTAGTGGACTTTTTAAAAAATCCGAATTATTTACATTTCATTTATTTTAGACTTGTAGAGTTAGCGCTATCAACGGGCGTAGGTATAATCATTTTTGATAAGTAGTGGGACACATTCTTGTAATTTTTTTTTTTTTTTAATAGTGAGTTTTATTTACAGTCCATGTTAATAATATAAAGCCTAATATTTAGTAAGAGAAAAATGGAAACTTTTTTTCTGTAGAGGAAAACTGTCATAATTAAATGAAAAATTATTACGCCCAGTGGCATTTTCTGATTTAGGTCCCTAGGCGTCAATGTGTTATAAATTAAGAAAATCCTCCTTATTGGGAAAAAACCTAAACATTATACATAAGTATATTTATCAACATATTATTTAATAATAACTTATTTGCATACATGCCACAAATATAATAACAATAGTATTTTAACACTAACAGTTAAATCAGTGTCACAAGAGAACACAACCAATGAGGGTGCTTGTTATTATTTTCTTTTTTGTAATCCAAGCAGACATACGACCACTGTCGGCTAGTCGTTAATTACATTTTCAATGCTTTGATCTAGTATTAATATTACTCCCAAGTTGACCGAAAAAATATGAGAAATTACGTTATCAGGTATATTAGGTACTACCAGTTGTTGATGATAATATAAACGTTCTCAACGACATGTATAAGACAATTATATACAGATACACACATACATTTTGTAGCCTGTAGGGTTGTTGTTTACTCACAACTTATACACCCAGAGAAAACACCACTGATTATGGCTAAGTTTGAATTAATTATTTGTGTCGGTTAAACAAGTATTTCATTTTTAAAGAGTATGCTATAAAAAGCCGGCCACCACCGTGTTCTATTTAAACTCTAGCTACAGTCATTCTTAAAAATGAATTATGAGTTTTTGTCCTAATTTTTTAAAGTATGCTTTGTATTTTAGAGTTCACGTTAGCGAGAAACAAATCAAGAAATTCGAAATTAAAATGGAAGTCTCCTACAAGACCACAATCAAAATTGAAAAAGAAGACATTCAGCCAAAAGAGGAACTTGATGAAGGAAATGAGCTGTCGTGGGAGCAGTGTAACAAATATCTTGAGACAAAAACAAATCCTACTTACTTTGAAACATCATATGATAGTCGTGAGATGATTCTGAACCATCTTCAAGAAACAATAGACGAGGATGAATCCAAGTAATATAACTTTTCAAACAAAATACATTAAATACATTTTTTTGTTTAAAAAGCAGTAATGTGATTTAAGATATTGTGAATTACTTGGCTTAATATAAGTAAAGATATATTTTCTGATACACTGCAGTAATTTTGTGCTGTTAGCGTTTATACAATTAGAATGTTTTTTTTTTTACCTAGTATATTCGATAATAATTCATGAACCTATAAAAACGAACTAAGTATTTAAATAAAGTTAAATGCTGAACTAGTAGTTTAATATTTTTCATAAAATAAATATTTAATGTTAACATGGAAGTTAACAAATCCAGTGATATATTTTGTAAATAATCACCGCAGTCCACAACACTTCTTGCCATCATTCGTCTGGTAAGTACAAATTAAAAACTGACCCCCACTATCTACCCAGGGTGCAAAGTTCAATTAAGACATCAATTTAGCGCGGCGACAATAATGTTTATATTTAATAACAGTTCATGTAGCTTTAAGGCGGTCAAAGGTTTACTAGTAGTATATTATATATATATTTTTTAGATTAAAAATTTGAAGTTATCATGCAAGTTCTCCTGCTAATTGTTTGTATATTTTGTGTTTTAGTCTTAATAAAGTGGGAGATGAGTTGAGAATTAAAATTGAAAAATGCGAAACGGACGATTATTACAATGAAACCATGTTTAAAGTAGAAGACAATAAACAGTGGATAGAGCAACTTAACAACACTTTTGAGATAAAAACAAATCCAAATTCCATTGAGAACTCTTACAACTGTAGTGTGATAAATCACAGTGGTGCTCAAAAAATTATCAACAGTGATGCATACAAGTAAAATAATTTTTAAAATAAAATATTTTAAATACATTATGTTATAAAATATTAATAATGTGATTAAGATGTGGATAAGCATTCGATGATGAATCACTAGGTGTTTATAAATGTTTTTAATTTAAATTTAATACTATGCCATGTTCTGTGACCGTAGTCGGTAGTTCGCAGACATTAATCCCTATACATTATTAAACATATTGTGTTACCAAGAACAACAATCAAATCTATGTTCGTTTTAACTACATTGCAACTCTGCTTTAATGTCTTCTTAGTTATCATTATATTATTTGTTTTAAATATGTTTTGTTTTTTAGTGTTACTGAAGAAAAAGTTAAAGTTGAAACAAGTGAAACGGATTATTATTACCAAGAGGCTGTGATCAAAATAGATGAACAAAACGAAGATACGCCAGAGCAATTTACCGAAGTCATTGTGGAAAAAATAAAACCGACTTACGTTGTAAAATCATATAATAGTTGCGTAAAGGCACAGAACGGTCCTCAAAAAAATATAAACTGGAACAAATACAAGTAATGGAGTTTTTAAATTCTTATATACACAGTGTTAATATGAAATAATAATATAGTAAAGTACGTGAAGACCTTCATCCCGGCTTTTTTTTATTATATAATAAAAATATTTTCAAATACTACTTGTCAGTTGGTTCAGTGGAACATAGCAACCTAGAAATAATTGACCACGGTCAAAGTGTAATTTCCATTTTCCATTTGGTTTTTCCTTATGAAAAAAGTTTATAGAAAATTGTTTATGTTATAGCCCCATTCTAGATCTACCTTCGGTTTAGTTTTCAGACTTTAAAACCTAAAAATTCACCATAAAAAGCGAAATAAAGAAAAATATTCAAACTTATATAAATAATTCCTAGTCTTTGTGTTGTTCATGTCAGCTTTTAGTAAATATAAAATTTACAAATTATTGGTTTTAACACAATGTTATGCAAATATTTTTTATTTCACGTTTGAGTATTAATATGTATATTTGTTTGTTTTTAGTACCGGAGAATCGTGCGCCGAAACAATAGCCACAGTCAAAGTAGGCGAAGAAATGAGTGGATATGATGATTTCGAGCCTACAACGACAATGAAAAAAAATCATCGTGAAAGTCAACTAACACTGAACCAACGCTTGCAAACTGGAGAAAAGCGCTACAGTTGTGATTTGTGTTTAAAAACGTATACCCGAAACTCCAGCCTTACCCTACATAAACGTGTGCACACTGGAGAAAAAAACTACAAATGTGAATTTTGCCCGAATTCGTTTTCAAATAAATCCCACCTCACAACACATAAACACCTCGTGCACGCCGGTGAAAAGCACTTCAATTGTGACGCGTGTTTAAAGTCATTTTCTCAAAAATCCAGCCTTTTGCTCCACAAACGCGTCCATACTGGAGAAACCCACTACAAGTGTGAATTTTGCTTGAATTCGTTTTCAAATAAATTCCTACTGGCCACGCATAAACTCCAGCACGTCGGTGAAAAGCCGTTAAATTGTGACGTGTGTTTAAAATCATTTTCTCAAAAATCCAGCCTCTTGTTGCACAAACGGGCGCACCACACCGGAGAAAATAATCATTACAAATGTGAATTTTGCTTGAATTCGTTTTCAAATCAATTTCAACTGGCAACGCATAAACTCCAGCACACTGGTGAAAAGCCGTTTAATTGCGACGTGTGTTTAAAGTGCTATTCTCAAAAATCCAGCCTCACCCTTCACAAACGCGTCCACGCCGAAGAAAAAAGCTACAAATGTGATTTCTGCTTGAAGTCATTTTCGGATAAATCGTACCTCTCGATGCATAAAACCGTGCACATCGGTGAAAAGCACTACAAATGCGACGTATGTTTAAAGTCCTTTTCTCAAAAATCCAGCCTCATACTACACAGACGCGTGCACACTCGAAATGTTAAGTTCACTTGCCCCAATTTCCACTGCCAACTTTATTTTAGTGACAGTTAGACATGCATTATTATTATTATTATTAAATATTTATTTTGTTAATATTTGTATTTATTTTTTTCCAATTTGATACGTATTGTCACATTTATGTGGTAATCGTTTTTTACAACAAAGCTACATTTTTGTTAGACACTATTAACATTGGTATTATTCTGACACGATCAATGTTTTACTACGCTGGCTTACGGGCAAGAATAGTTAGCGTTACGTAACAATAATAACATTGTTCGGCAATTTATAAATCATATAATCATATTTATAAATCAACTTGTACAGTGTATAAATTGACATAACAGCTACAGTTTACCACAGTAGTAACCCGTGAGTACATATATGTAAACTAAGGTCTAATTTAAAATGTTCCGGTCTAAAAGATTTTATTAGCTCCGTCTTAGTAGTATAAGGTTTATAAATTATTATAGCCCAATGCTAACTAATAATGAAATATCACACTGTCTCACTGAATAGTATTTAATATATTTAACATATTATGTTCGAGCACTGAACCATTTCTATCAAAATTGACTTTATAATAATTCTCGTGGTATTTTAAAACGCTGAACTAAGTGTTTGCATTTTTGTCGATTCCAAAAATTAAATGATTTACAGCACGATAAGCTCACGGCTTTATTATTGTGATAAACCTGACAACGTTTAGTAAATTGACTCTCTCCCATTTATTTCTGAATCATAAGATTAAGTTTGATAAATGTAATATCAAGAATCAATTTTAGGCAATAAGGGTTTCACAATTATTATTATGGAAAAACAAATGAAATTAAATTTGTTAGGTCTGCGAGTAGTTTTATTTGGAAAATTCCAATAGATACATTTGAAAAAGACATACATTTAATTAAGAATTTTGGATTGTAAAATAATGTTATATTGTGACCAAAACGTATTTTACAAACCTTAGGCGGATATAGGTATGTTTCTCTAAATACTCATAAATAAATATTTAAATTATCAAAATATACATTTGTGATACAGCTAACAGACATGATGATTTAAGTTTTTATAGGCTAGTGGTTTTAGAGTTAAAATCACTAATAAAAAATCCAAAGAATACAAAATGTTTAAGTAATTGACATATTATCGAAAATATATATTTAGACACACATTTACAGCTTATTGAAAACATTTAAAGAAAATAGAAGGTAGCTTAAAAGTCATTATTTTAATTATTTAAATATATTTGCAAACTTAGACATAGTGCAAGTATTTTACGTCAAATGATTTTTTCTAAGGTATGAAACACAATATAGCTTACATTACATAATTCAAAATAAAATTCATATTTTATATGTTATATATTTACCTTGAATAAAATGAAACACAGCACACATATTAAATAAATAAATATATTTTGGGCGGCAGCGTAAACGCGGCTCAAGAGTTTCACAGTTATTTTACAATTTTCAATGGAACGCTAGATCAAAGAATTAAAATGAAATATTTCAGTGTTAATTAATTAAAAAAATATTGATTTTGCAACAGTAACTCGAAGAAAAAATTGGCTCTGTGGCTATCATAGATATCATATGTTCGGATACAAAAATAAATAAAACTTCTCAGCACTGCACTGAAGCTAAAAAATGTATTTAAATCTACACCTTATACTAGTAGTTGAAGTATAATGTCTATAATGTAAACATTATATTAAAGGAAAAATTTAAGTAAGTAAGTTTATAATTATGGGAGATAGCAGAAGAAAACTAAATATATGTTCACGACTAGATAAGTATGAGATGTTGAAGATGAATCAGACTTGGGGTCAACGTAAATAATAAAAAACTGTAGGCATAATGAAATTAAACTCCTTTTAAAATCTGGCAATGTATGTTGTACAAAAAAAAAATTAGCAATCAAGTTATTAGTTAAATACTACAAGTAATAGTTCCAAGTTCAAAAAATTGAATAAATACTTATTAACCATCATACTATTTTAACCAAGACATCTCGCAGTCAAATTGTCTTCATTGCCATTCGCATTATTTTGCAAAAAATCCAAACACGCTTCTTGTAAGTGTCTCATTCTCAGTTCAGAAGCTCCAGCTAAAATATTCTAAAATAATAGTAAAAATTAATTAAAATTCTTGAATGACAAAATAAATAAGTAAATAAGTAATTTACATCAACATTATCACGAGTTAAGAAGGCTACATCAGCAGTATACATGAAATTAACTATATGTTCCAGCGATCCAGCACTTATATTTTTCAAAAGCGCTCTTCTTTCACCCATCTTAGCAATTTCTTCAATTAAAGGGCTCATTGAAGCCATCATGGGTGTATGGCCCCACACTTGGTCACCGTTGTCGTTAACCAATACGAAATCCACTAATTGATTTTTCCTAAAATAATAATATTAATATACATTACAAGTTATATAACTTTTACAATTGAAAAAAATGTGCCCAATGAAAAAGATACTACATATTATAATACAATCATAAACAAAATAAAAGCAGCTAGGTTAGGTAAGTTGAGCATAGTGCATACTTGCGCATTTCGTTGGAGTGCCGGGCAATTTCGATGAAACCCCTAAGCCCACTCATGTCAACATCCATAGCGAGTGTTGTTATTTACAATATCAAAAACAGAAAACAACAAACGTCAATAGATTATGCAAATATATTATCAACTTCACGGGTATCTTAAAAAATCGTTGTTAGCGGACACCGCGGATATTACAAATAACAAACGGATTAATTTAATTATGATACGCTACCATACTGCGCTATCATATTTTATCATCAACAAAAGAAAAAGCCAAACTTCTTTGTATAACATCCACCAGTTGCGCTGCCGGCACTATAATCGATAGTACGATGGTAATCTATTATACTGTGATGGCACAGCTGATCATCTGAGCAGGCCATGCCAGTGTTTCTATACACGAACCAATTCACCCGGTTTTTTATCTCTATGCTTCTTCTTATATTATGGGCTTTTGAAATTTCTAACATAGATTAAGCCTAAACGAACTTGGGCCGATGTAAAATTGACGAGCCCTTAATATTAAGCCTTTTCAAAATGGGAGAACTCTGCAAAGTTTGCATTTTTGTTACTGACTCGCTCACTGTTCATCAAAAATAAGACACTTTCCGTACAGGTGAAATTTGGCTCAAAGGTATGATTTAACACGGTTTTTTATGAACCATTGTCTGTCGATTGGGCAACAAAACTGACAAGAAAAAAATTGTGTATTGAGGTAATTTTAGTTTTAACTACATTTATATAGTAAAATAACATTTATCATATTAAGTGACAGTTGTCAGTTCTATTACATTATACAGCTACTTGTTCATTTATGTAGATTATTGTACAATTCGTGATTTTTTTAAAATTTTAAATATTTTACTGCTGGCTTACATTTTGATTATAATTGCCTACTATAATCAATAAAACAATTAAATAAAAAATGTGTGTAATACTTGTATTTGTTTTTAGAAATTACACCTTCCGCCATGCATAGAAAGGCTCATGATAATCGCAAAGATTATTTTAGGAGTAGTTTTCGTTATACAACGAGATATTTCTCTTTGAATTCCAAACCTTAAATTTTATTAACTGTAAGGTATACACATATATTGAACTTATTATAAATACTTCATTAACTAATTTGTAGTAAAATTAAAAAAAAAAAATACACTTTTTTGTAATATATATCATTAGAGGATGTCGGGAGTTCTGAGATTGGAGTAACAAATTTAAAGTCTTCTGGAAATAATAAAGCGGCATTGGCTAATATCAACTTATACGACTGTTTGATTGTCATTTCTGCTACCCCTGCAATATCACGCCATAAATATAGCAGCTGCCGCTACCGAAATTAGTGAACGACCAGGAACAATGTCGTGTTCAACTGCCTTCTTGGCAATGTGTATAGCTGCTCTTTGAACCATGTTTGGCAGACTCAAATTGCAACAAAATCCAAACTTGTCTCCAATGTTTTTAAAATCAATTTGAACGCACGTCCGATTTCTTTCTTGCTCGTTTTGCTAACGGCACACATTTCTTTAAACGTACGCCGAACACCTTCCTGTGTCGACACGCTATGTATAAACTCGCAGAAGCCATTGCGTCGTTTGAGCGACCTTTCAAGTTTTTACACCATCGTGTAACTTGTTTAAATATAACATTGGCCCTGTCCACAATGTTACGAGGTAAGTTTACACGGTCTGCCATCAAACCGATTTCTCTATAGGCGTTCAACAAAGAACGAATAGTCGAGCACACCATCCGTTTGTTCTTGTACTTCATTCCGCCAAACTCGTCGAATGAAGCGTATCCTCTATATAGACGGGCCGACTAATGTTGACAAGTCCGATCCGTTGAGCAATGGATTTTCTGCGGCTCCCACACGTGAAGGATCGGCGCCATTGCTGTTTTTGCCATTGCTAAATGTTCGCCATTCCGAACCTTCGTCTATAACGCGATCCCCTTACCACGAGTCCACATTCAGAACAAATCTTCAATCGACGGAGCGTCGGGGTGGTATTGGCATTGTACTGAAACAAAAATTTAAACATACAATCTTAATGTCCAACAATATTTAGTCGAGTAATAATTTATACCCATTTTTTACTCACCCAACTTTTTCGACACGGTTCAACGAAATTTATCTTCGAAGATTTTGTTTTGCGTTTTAAGTATTGATTCCGTCACAAACAACTTAATTAAAATCCGAACGTTGGAAAAAAAATCGGAAAATGTGTTTTACAAACAGTTACTATGCGTTTTTGGAACATATATAAACGAAATTATAACAAAAGGCGGCTTCAGTGTTAAAATACCCGTAGAAAAGAGAAATATTTTAAGACCTACTATTAATCATTTATGCTCTCCGTTGTGGGATACCACTGACATGGATGTTAGTACATTTGTATACAAACTACGAATGCTCTTGTGATCTTCATACGCTACATGTCTTATTACCACTAAAATTCAAATTATTTTGAATTTTTTTTTTCAAGGTTTACATAAAAGTTTTAATGTTTTAAAAATTATTAACAGATAACAAAGTATAGATTAGAACATTTAATGGACACAGTTATTAACTTAAAGCCGATTGATTTAAGCTTTTGTTCCGATTACAATGGAAAACTTACTATTGGTAAATTAGCATCATTTAAGTGGTAGTCTACCTTAGGTAGGTACTTTTAGTGTAAGTAAATGAATTAAAGCTGAAATTACAAAACAGTTGGTATAGGTAATACGTTTTTGAGGCTACATTGTAAATCAGCTAAACTACGTAGGCGAATATTTCTTTGTTGTTTCTATCATATGGTTTAAATGTCGCTTCATTCGTTTTAAAGAAAAATAGTTAAACAACAGTGAAAATAAAATCAAGAATTCCTAACTTAACTTGGCTAAGTTCACCTGTGAAGTTATTTAAAAGAAATCTAATGCAAATAATAAAACGTCCAAAATATAAATACTAAGATGGAAATGATTTGAAAAAAAGAATTTTTCTATAAAACGTTTGATGTAAAAATAATAATAATTCAGTGGGGGTCATTTCACTAAAATTTCATTTTTTTTCCAAATCGTCCAAAATTAATTTAGTAATCTATTCGGCAATTATTAAACACCTTTAATAGGAATAAAAGGTAAACAAAATTTTAAAAACTTTTTTAAAAAGATGCTTTTCTAAAAAAAAAAAAAAAATAGTAAAAAGTGAACTAAAAAGTAAAAAATAATTTTATTACAAGAACAATTTACCAATCAACTGTAGCATATTTTATTTAAACGTCAATTACTTTGAAAACAGCCGAAAATTAATTTTTGATTAAAAAGAAAAGCGTGGGCCCTATTCAACAAAGTCCAAATTCATTGAGTATTAAGAAATGTATGTCACACACCAATATTAAACCAAATTTAAATTACAAAAGAACTTACAATATAAAACTTTATCTGATGAATTTATGAGGGACTTTGTTGAATAGCTTTTCGCTTTTCTTTTTAGTCAAAAGTTAATTTTTTTATTGATTCAATTACCCTTAAACCGTGGTAAAATGTTTGGTTGCTTTGTTATAGTAGATCTTCGGCCAACAGGTATTTGATAATAAAAATAAAATAAAAATCTCACCTACAACCACAGATTTATATTATTATAATATATATCTGTAACTACAACATCCACTACCACAATCTTAGTACCATTCACTACCCTATTCCACATATCATCTACATTTCTAATCATGCTCTACAAAACTTCATTCTTCATTTTCCTTACAAACAACTATTCTTTTTCGCCCGTTAACAAGCCATAACCTTTGTGTACTCTTTTATTCATTTTAGTTTTTTATACATTGAACGATTTTTTTTTAATTTCTTTAAAATAAAAAAAGTTATCAAGTTAAATATGGAGGCTATAACCGAAAAGTAATGCTTAAATACAGGAATCAAATTATTAAAAGTTTATCAAATGTGATAGAATTGTTACTTAAAACACTGAAATTCTTGTAAACATTTAATACAGTGCTAATTACATATAAGGTTAATTATTCTTCGTTTTAAATATTATAAATATGGTTGTTACCAATTTTTAACATAACTTTTTAATTAACTGAACATTGTGGAGAAATAACCACTGGAAAATTGATGGTTATCACAAAATAATATTTTTTATTAAACAGCTAACTATACTTTAACTTGGCTTTTTTCATTACTTAAGTTTTAAAAAAATACTGTGAAAAGTTTTTAATTAAATTTTGGTGATCACCTTATAGCAACAACAATCTCTTTCACAATACAAATTATAAATTAGCATAAATACCAAGTATAAATAGTAAGTTGACATAATAACTTAATACAGTGTTGCCTGATTGTTATAGGTTGCCTCTCGTATAATATACCTATCATTATTTTCTAAATTATTTACATAACTTAAAGTAATAAAATAGACAACAAAACACATCTTTTACCATACAAAAGTTTAAACCCTATTAATATAGTATATTTATAATAAAAACAATGATAGTATATATCAGTTATTAACAATAATAGATACTAAAATTAAAACAATCACAAAAACATATGACCTTGTATTAAAAAAAAAGTAAATAATATTAAAAATGTCCAACTGATTAAATAATTACAGTTTGGAAATTATCAAGCACAATGACTAAGGTCTTTTATTAGCATGTGTCGTAAGACAAAAAAAAAGGAAAAGGATCCTCTAGACTCTTGATGTACACAGGTGAACACTGGCACAAGAGTGAAACGGATTGCTGTCCGGGTTCTTCGCGGATGTCGAAGAGCCGTTGTTTACACTGGATTAAAAAGAATTAGAGAATGAGAAAGGATAGGTACAAGGTGCGAACGAATCGCAAGACACGAGTACCTGTAGACGGACAGCGACAACCGAGTACTCTTAACTGATGACATATAGCTCTGGTAAAGTCGACTGACGAAATACCATTAAATCTGATTGTCTTTTATATAGTTTTACAATTTGCAATTCAGCGTTATTGTTAATTTAATCGTTTGGTCATCAGTCTCAAGTCTCCGGAAGCACTGCCCGCATTTATTAAAAAAACACGTAACCTATATTGATGACGTGGTCACCATATAACACATGCAAGCGTTCATGTTGAGTAAGGTTACTTTTGTGAGAAAAGGTCTTTTTGCACAAGACACATTCGTAGGGTTTTTCACCGGTGTGCACACGTTCATGTTTCCTAAGGTTATCTTTTCGAGAAAAAGTCTTTTGACACTGGTCACATTTGAATGGTCTCTCTCCAATATGCACGCGTTTATGTAATGTAGAATTGGGAAATTTAGATTTAGATTTTTGAGGACAGGTTTCGTGCGGTGAACCTTTGTGAACTTGTAGTATATGTAATGTTATTTGCTTTTTAGTAAAGTACGACATTTGACACAAATCACAATGGAACGATCGCCGTCTTTTTGATTTTTTAGTGTTTTTCTTCGGAACTATTTTATTGCTAAAAATTAAAATTTGTTACAAAATAGAGCATGTTTAAGTAGAATTTCTTTAGCCCAGGTGAAATAGAACATTTTAGGTATAAAATATTTTTATTAACTGTAAAATTTTTTTTTAAATTTACCTAAACAAATTAATATTGTATAAAGTTAAGTGCATGTTCCATTTCACCCTGGTTGGCGCTTGTAAAGCAAATATACATTACCTTAGTGTATTTCTGACGACATTTTTTTTAGTACACATCTGCATTCTGTGTGATTCATTAATATGATTGGCCACATTCCTTTTAGAAGTAAACGATTCTTGGCAGAGGTCGCAAATAAATGTCCGAATTTTATCCAAATCATAGTTCGACATCTGAGTATCCAAAAAGCCTTTTTTTTTCAAATTCTATCACAGACTCAAAATAGTTACCTTGCACTATATCTGCTTCCACTTTCACAATTGTTTCTCTTATACTAAAACAAAAAAAAAAATGTTTTTTAAGATGGTAATGATGATAAGATTGACACGGTACTATCAAAGTGTAAATTAAATCAGTGAGGACACTTAAGGTAATAAAACATTTTTGTATAGAGGCAGCCATCTCTTTTATGGTAAAATGATATCAATATAAAACTAATGTATATAAAAAATAACTACTGTCCACTATATTGAAAATAAAAGAGATCATGGTCGTCACGGTTTTTAGATATAAGCATAAAAATTAAAACCCGTGTTAAATACTGAGTGTCTGGTCTCTGGTACCATCACCCAATTATTGCATTTCACATTTTTTAAACTATAGTAATAACCCTTCTTGGTTGGACAAATTTGGTAATTCTGTTTTTTTGTAAATGAGAATGCCAAAACGCTATCAGCTTCTCATCGAAGCTAAAAAACTACAATGATTTATTGTTATATCACATAAAGACAAAAAAAAAATTGTATTTAAAAATAAAGTCCTTAGTGGTATGCAAAAAAATTGAGCTTTTCGATGCTTGTTTTAAGACTTCAGAAAAAATTCATTCAATTTCACTCTATTATCAATATCAGTTTCTAATGAAAATCTTCAGCTAAAATTATATATAATTTTTGTTTGCGTATCATTGCATATGCTAATGCACAAAAATCTTAGTATCATAAAAAATTGGGATTTTTTTACCAATAGATATAAAGTATACTATATCTTTACAGTAAAAATACAAAATGTCTAAATTGTTATTTAGTGGTGCTAGTAGTGAGGGATATTTAAAAGGTAGTCTGACCTAACCGTAAAAACATGTATTCAACATTGTAATGGGTAAGAAGAAATGTTATGCAGTTATTACGATAAAGTATAAAATTGTAGATAAAACACGAGCGAAGAATTATAATTTATTATGAATTAAATCTGATCCATACATTAATTCTTTTTACAATACTATTTTTTAAACCTAATGTGTGATATTGTTGTTTGTAAAATAAAAACCAAAATTTATAAAGTTCACTCTAGTTAAAAAAAAAAAATACCTATGAGATACTGAAAAAAATTAACGCTCTGAGGGTCGTTTTAATTAAAAATTTACTATTTAAAAAATTATGTTACTTGTAAGTATTGCTGTCAAATGTTTGTTCAAGTCGGTTCTCTGTTGATGAAAACATATTATACGATTCCCTGGCATCGTCGTAACAATCATCCGGTTGGTATATTTCAGTTTTAATTCCTTCTTTGTTAACCCTGAAAAAACAAACATATTTTTAAAATGCATTTTATTAATTTAAAACTAAAGCAGTGTACATTTAATTTATAGGTTTTCTGTTTGAAATAAACATAATAGTGTGATGGTTAATTCACTATGGCCATTTCTCTCTCCATACGGTTTCAAAAATACTTTGATAGCAGTTAATACTATTAAATAATGACTAAACCTTGAAAAGTATTGGTATTTAAAATTAGAAAATTTTTCTAGTAAGTAAATAAAATGTGTATTTCTTAAATACTTGCGTTATACATTAAAAAACCAAACGCATTACTAAAGCAGCTATAGAATACCTAATAATAATTGCAATTACCCTATTATTTTTTTATGTTAGTTCTCAACTTAATTTCTTAGGAACAAAATGCATTTTCATATTAAACTATAATATAGTAGGTAGGTTAGATAGTTAGATAGGTAGTATTAATATGGCACTACAGGAAAAAAGTTAAAAAAACTAACCGCTTTACAAAAGAAGCTACAGAATACCATAGATTAGCTTAATCACATTATTATTTCTTAGTTTTAAGAAAAAAACATATTTCTTATATTTAAAATTATACATTACTTGTATGTATTGCTGTCATTGTCGTTTGAGAATCAGTTTGGGTATTGACACCAATTTCTGTCATTTCATTGAAATTCGATTTTGTTTTTTCTTCATCGGCTTTGGTATGGTTCATTTTAAGTTGTTCATAATATTCTTCTTCTACTTTGACCATGGTTTTGTTGCAATACAATCGCCTGTTACAATATTAAATATGAGAGATTGTAATTTAGTTATTATAATGCCCATTTAAATGTTTTCATTTTAGCTGTTAATGTTCAGACCGTGATCGAATTCCTGGTTTAAATATAAATATAAAATAAAGAAAAAGAAATTGACTTGATTGATGAAAACTTATGAAGATAGTTTAAAGAGAAACTATAGAATATTTAGAATTTAAATCAATATTATAAACATTCTATAAGAAGCACATTATCTCCACTGCTTGGTAAAATATTGAACCATGTATACGTATTAGATTTGATAAACGTCTCTAACCCTCCTCGTTCTATGTCATGGTGCTGGAATTAATGACTTTACAGATAGGCTCCCAGTCCAAAGACATATCCACGGTAAAGCTCAAAATTAACAAAATAATGACTAGTTGGTCCCACACGGTGTTTCATTAGGTACAAGATATTTGTCCCTACTTTCGTGACAGTAGTTGTTTCGCTACATGGCTAAATTAATTTATACGTACTAATAATTTTCACTGTTCGGATAATTCCATAAACTGCAGACTACTTAAGAATTTAATTACATAGAGAAAAAAGATAAAATCAATAATGATAATATTCGGTACTTACACAGCTATAAAGGAGACCTGGCTGGTTAAGGATCGGCTAACAAGACACTTGAACAACTTACAGCTACAAAAACACAAGCTAAGCTTAATATTTGTTTTATTATATTGTAACACAATACACAATTATATATTATTTAAATTTTAAATTAAACAGGTTCATCTCGAGCTGGACATAGTTATCAATTTTTATTACAAAGAGACGCTACGGCTATGAGCTATTTGATAAATGTGCTAAGTGCTAACAGTGGCGGTCGAGTTGGTCGGCTGGAGGTAGAACGCAGTGTAGGTAAATATTCAAAAGCACACAGTGAAAAGTGTAGCAGGATTAAATTTTATTTCCCATGTTTACCCAAGCAGAGAATTACTGCATTAAGTATTTGTGTTAGTTGTAATAAATACTAATAATTTTTTAATTTATAATAAAAATAGCAGATATGCATTTTAAAAATATTTGTTTTGAATTTGCTTCCCTAAATTTTTAAAATGTGCGTTTGTTTTATTTTACAAGGGGTTTGATTCGAGCAACAGTTATATAATAAAATCTAGACCCTTATCAATGTAGAAACAGAAAATTAACAGTCTAAAAAACAATTAGTAAAATGAGAATTAAAATAAAAATGACTAGGTAGGTAACATAAAATAAACTTTTATTATTTCAGCGACTACCTTGAACAACCCCCAAAGATTATAAATTGATTACACTAAATAAAAGAACTCAATGTGTTTATGTGTCAATATTTTGTCGTCAAAAATTATTAAGATGTTGTTATGATGTTTAAAGAAATTCCGTACATTTCGAATACTTGTTTATTTCATTAATTATAATTCATAAATATGTATTAAATTTGCCTTCTGATCAAGGACATTTTCAATACTACAACATTTACAAAGTTTTCTGATGTCTATTAAGGTAATACTACATTTTTATTAAGTATGAAATGTTAAATTTTAAGCGACATATTCTTTAGACATCATACTTTAGATAAACGTTGACAAACCAAAAATACATCATAAACCCTTCCCCCAGAAGACGAGAAAACTATTTCTTTATTTGGTTATTATTAGACGAAGCCCCAAGGTTTAGAGCTTAAGGTCTGAAAATTATGTCGCATGTAGATATAGAACTGGGCTTTAACATGTACAATTTCTCAAAAGTCTGTAGTCTTGTTATTATTATTATTATGTTATTTCTGTAGTCTTATACTTTTGTTTAATGATTTATATATAATTTTTTTATTTTAACACTATATATTTACATGTCTATAGAATTACCTATATCAGCTCACCAAAAGAGGACTGTGAAACTATAACTGACTTGAGAAAACTATGATGCCCTGTCGATCGACTGTGTTAAATGCCTCTAGGTTTCAATCAGAGTTAAAGAAGAGATTCATCTATTATGGCTGGCGCTTTTACTTGTACAATTACTTTCTTTAATCTAAGGTACTCGGCCATGATTTCTGATAGCGCGGTACTGTGGATTAAAAATTAAATTATACAGCAGTAAATGTATAGTATTTGGGCCGGTAGAGTGTGTTCAATAATACACGCTTATGATAGTATAGATAATATAGTATGATTTTTTTTTTTAAATATTAGTTTTAATGTTAATATTTAATAGGAATTACTTAATAAGTATAAAATATGTGATTAATTATTTCAATAATTTTGAGTTTCTCTAAATATTTATATATAAATGTTTAAATGATCAAAATATACATTTGCGATACAGCTAACGGACATGATGAAATAAGTTTTTTTAGGCTATTGGTTTTAGAGTTAAAATCACTAATAAAAAATCAAAAGAATACAAAATGTTTAAGTGATTGACATATTATCGAAATATATTTAGAAACACATTTACAGCTTATTCAAAAAAGTTAATCAAACTAGCAGGTAGCTTATAAGTCATTATTTTAAATATTTAAATACCTTCATAAACATATTTGCAAACTTAGATACACTGGAAATATTTCACGTCAACTAATTAAAATGATGCACAGATTTTTTTCTAAGGTATATAACACAATATAACTTACATTACAAAATTCAAAATAAAATTCATATTTAATTTGTTATATATTTACCTTATCTTTGAATAAAATAAAACAGCAAACATGTTAAAATTAAATACATTTTGGGCGGCAGTGTGGATGCGGTTTAAGAGTTTAACAGTTATTGTAAAATGTTTAATGGAGTGCTAGATCAAAGAATTAAAATTAAATTTTTCAATTAATCATTTAAAAACATGGTGATTATGCAACAGTAATTCAAGAAAAAATCTACCTTATGGCTTAAAAGATATTGTGGGTTCGGATACAAAAAAATAAAAGCTTCTCAGCTCTGCATTGAAGCTAACAAATAGATCTTAATCTAGATCTTATACTAGTAGTAGAAGTATAGTGGTTACATCATTAACCACTATAAATACCAATTGGAAATTACATGAAAAATTTGTACTTAAATGCAAGTTAATAATTACATTTATATTATTAACACCTATCATCTAGGTATGCAATAAGCTACCTATATAATATCTAACTTATAAAAAACTAAGCTTATATTAAAGGAAAAATTTAAGTAAGTAAGTTTAAGGATATTAGTGATGTATAGGCAAACAAAATTAAACTCCATTTAAAAGCTGACAATGAATGTTGTACAAAAAAAAAATTACTTATCAAGTTATTAGTTAAATATTAGAAGTCATAGATCGAAGTTCAAAAAATCGAACTAATACTTATTAATTATTAATAATATCCATCATACTATTATAACCAAGACATCAACGAACAAAATCCTCTTCGTAGGCATTAGAATTTTCAAAAAAATCCCAACACAGTGATTGTAAATGGTCCAACCTCAAATCAGTAGCTCCAGCTAAAATATTCTAAAATAATATTCTAAATTAATTAAAATTCTTGAATGACAAAATAAATAAATAAATAAGTAATTTACATGAACATTATCACAAGTTAGGTCTACTTCAGTAGTATACATGTAATTAACTATATGTTCCAGCGATTCAGCACTTATATTTTTCAAAAGCACTCTTCTTTCTCCCTTCTTAGCAAGTTCTAAAATTAAAGGGCTCATTGAAGCCATCTTGAACAAATGACCCCATACTTGGTCACCGTTGTCGTTAACCAATACGAAATCCAATAATATCTTTTCCCTAAAATAATAATATTGTTATACATTACAAGATAGAACTTTTAAAATTTAACAAAGTGTGCGCAATGAAAAAAGATAATAATATAATACAATCATACACAAAATAAAATCGTTTATAAACAAAAGCAGCTAGTTTAGGTAAGTACTAGTACTATACAGTGCATACTTGCGCATTTCGTTCATTTTATGACATCTTTCCATAAACATTTTTCGATCCATAGCGAAGACGAGTTATTTACAAAAAATTATAACTAAATATTAACTTCACGAGTATCTTAAAAGTCGTTGTTAGCGGCCACCGCGATATTACAAATAACAAAAGAACTATTATATTACTTTATTATTACACGCTACGATAGTAATAATGATTTCAATTTTTTAAAAATAATATTATTGTGGTTTGCACACGTGAACGTTATAATTAATAATACTATTATTACAGTAAGGACGCCGAACTGCGCTATCGTTTATCATAAAAAAGAAAAAGCCACCCTTTTTTTGCAGCATCCGCCAGTTGCGCTGCCGGGGCACTAATCGATAATACGATGGTACCCTATTATGTGATGGCACAGCTGATCATCTGAGCAGGCCATGTCCCGGTAATGCCAGTTTATCTATACACGAACCGATTCACCCGGTTTTTCTAATTCTCATAATATCTCTTGCTTTTTCTTAAGATGATGGGCTCTTGAAGTTTCAAACATAGATTAAGCCTAAAGGAGCTTAGGACGCTTTAAAAATGACGAGCCCTTAATATTTAGTCTTTTCAAAAAGGGAGAACTTTGCAAAGTTTGCATTTTTGTAACAGAATCACTCACTGCTCATGAAAATTATAAGACACTTCTCGTATAGGTGAAATTTAGCACAAAGGTACACAACTATAGGAAACACATACTTTTAGTGTAAGTAAAGGAAAAAAATCTGAAGATTCCATACCAAGTTCTAGATAAAAAAAAAAAAATCGGCCTATCAAAGTAGTGAGATCTACATTGTGGCCAAGTCTGCTCTTTCTTTAGCCCATAACCTCACTCCACACCTACTTTCATGAGTCACACTCTTTTTTTTTCATATGTTTGTTTATTTTAGACCAAAAAGCTAGACAAAATATCAGATACTTAGAATGGTCCAAGTTCAATTTTGTAAAGAGATTCGAGTTGTTTGGCTACTTTACTATGCATAGTAGGAAGACGATTTTCATTTGAAAATTTCAGTTTCTTGTAATTAAATTAAATTTGTATATTTTTCAATATTAAAATACATTTTTTTTTACATAAAAAAAACAGACTGCATGCAATTTCCAAAAGAGGATGATATACCTCCCTATTTATGAAGGCGAGTTAGGTTTAGGTAATTTTTGTCAAAATCATAAATTAAGGTCAGCCCTTAAGTGCAATAATTATTAGTTCAGTATTTAGGACTCTTTTTCGGAAGTTAATTTTTTTTTTGGATTATCACAGAATCCTAGATAAAAATTTAGAAAAAAAAAAATTTAATAATTATATAGATAGCCAGAATGCGTTTTACTCCATTATTAGTGGTTTCAGAGCAAAAAGGCTAAAATTATAACAACAATACGGAGACAATGCCATATCCAATTTTAATAACGTTGTATTTATTTTTAAAAGTAAGAATAATGTGATTTTAAATGTTAATAAATGTTTATCTACCTAGAAAAGAATGATAAATTATGTGGACGGTTATGTTATTTTGAAATATGAATAGGTATAAATCATCTAAATTATGTTACCGTTTCGCTTAAAAAATAATTTAAAAAAAAAAACAACAATCTATATTATACTACATTCTTGTATTTTCTTTCTCGTTTTTTAATTTTCAATTGCATAAATGTACACATTATTCAGGATTGTCATTTAACATTCGACTACAATAATTTTATTTTTTTGATTTTTAAAAAATGAAGTAAGTACGGTAATTCAAATGAAAACAATTTTTAAGTTGGTAACTTTAAGAGCTTTGAGACTTGAGAGTGAATAGAAAAAAAAACAAAATGCTACAGCCAACACACTAATTGTGTGAAGATATTTGTCTCTACATTAGCATTTATTAAGGCGCATTTTACAGGCAATTTTTCAATAAAACAATTATTATGTTTAATTTACATTAAATTTTATTGTCGATAGCGTTTTCTCATAATTATATTTTTCTAAACTGTTCATGCATTTTTTAACTTGACCAAATCACATAAATATATATTTATCTTTTATGTTTTAAAATGTATTGTTATATCAAACGAAAATTATTTTTTTTTTTAATTGGGCTTTGATATTTATTAGAAAACTATTTGTATAATTATAATAAAATATATACATTTTTTTTTACAAATTTGATTTTATTGTTGAATTTAGTGACGTTAAAATATGTTTTGGCGTGTGTAATTCGTTTTTTACAATTATTTTACAAAAATTACACCCTCTGCTGCCCCTAAAATAGGGTAAATTTAAAAACTATTAAAATTGAACTCGGAAACCTTAAAAACATATATTTTGATATGCCACATGACAGTTTATATTAAAAAAAAAAAAACTACCCCCCTGTTCTTCTCCTAAATTGAAGTAAAATTTCAAACCCAATTAGTGACGTCTTAAATAAAAGGAATGGATGACTTCGGAAATTTTTTTCTTTCGAATTGGGAGATAGGTACTGCTAGTTAAGACAGGTTAATTTTTATTCCAGACCACTTTGAGCCTATGCTGCAAAGCTGTAGTACCGAAATGCATGCAGCCCCCTGATTTTTCGTCCAGTTTTTTACTGATAAGAAGCAGCATAAAGGCGGTATCACGTTATCTTTTCTACATCTTGGACCTCGTCTTATGTAATCAGCTAAATTATATGCGATGTTTTGATAACATGATTTCATATCTATTGGTGATTTCTTGTTGAGTTATCTTGTTTATTGAAATTGTGTAAATTTGAAATTAGATGCGAATGCTTTAAACGTTAGATTTGTGTTATTTGCCTTTTAATGTGTTGTGATTTCATACCAAAAATTATTATTTTAAGTAAGTACGTTTATTTAAGTTACTTATTGTGAATTTTAAGGGGCCTACTGCAACTGGTATACTAATTATGAAGTTGCGCTGTCAAAGGTAATAGTGATCTAGTCAGCTTAGGTTAGGCATAGGGCCAAATTTATTTAGAAAGTTAAAATCGTTGTTTATTAAGATTAAATAATGATGATTATACCTACCTATTAATTGTGTGATTTTATAGAAGTTATTAGGTTCAGGTTACACGACTCGGGTGTCAGCGGTCTCATCAAGTTCCGTGTCACGGGTTCATAATGCTACTTATTAAAAAATATAAACTAGTTTATTAGAACACTTTGATTTATTTAAGCACATTTGTTTAAGAATAAATCTGGGGTCACATTGCCTTTTGCATGGCAGTGTAACAACACCCTATTTGCAAACATGTTCGCGCCAATGTTTCAAACTTTATCGGTACTACCAAACATCAAAGTAAGGTTTGTGTGAATTTATATATTACCTATTGTTTGTTATGGGTTTGTACACAAACTTATATCGTTGACAAACATTTCTCATGTCAGTGTGGACTAGCTTTATTGTCTAAAAGTTAAGGAAGTCAATGACCATCAATAGCGGGCAATTAATTAGCAATATAACTTGTAACTCACTGCTATACAGCTACGATAAAACAGCTGTCAGGGCTCTAATCTATGTAATATGATAATGTATATTTACATTTACTGGTTTACTGGTTTATTGCATGACATTACATTATACTTAGTAGAGTGATTTCACAATTAGAGTTACACAATTATTGGGTTTGACACGTTAAATGTATGTTCTCACCATATGGTGAAGTTGGTACTGACTACCATCGCACCTCTATATATTATAACACACAACAATTAAACTTTCAAAGTAATTGTGGATCACCAATTGAATAGATTAATATGAATTATTAATATAAGAATTAAGACACTGCAGATAAATAGTTCTTATTAATTTGTCGTGTCAATCGGCCAGTTAGAGACACATTTTTGTTGTAATGCGATAAATATTCACAGTTAATTTATTTTTATTGCTTATTAGACCTTAGTATTATTCTAAAACTAATTTAATCAGTTAACTGCCTTGTGCTAACGGGGAACTCAATTTTAATTGTAAAATAAATAATATTTGTAGTTTTAAGTTTTTCAATTCCAATGTATGTATGTCATTCTATGGTGGAACCTCCATACTCTTTTCATAGAATAGCATTCATTAGCTAAAAATGTCGTCTCTGTGATTTATACTCATGTTTTAATCGTTTTCAATAATCAGTAATTTTTTTAAAGTATACTTTGTTTTTTTTTAGAGTATATGAACTAAAAAAAAAACCGAAAAATTCAAATGCAAACCTGGGATTATACTACTACGCATATATGATCAGAGTAAAAGAATACAAGCAGTCCCAAGATCAATTTACCAATGCCGTAGGGAATGAAACAAAACTGCCTGCAATTGAATCATTCAATTGTTGTCAGATAACATACAATGATCCTCATATCACAATTGAAGGATATCCACACAAGTAATATAATTTTTTTAACAAAATATTTAAATTACATTTTTTTAATAAGATGTAATGCGATTAAGAGAAGGATAGGTATTTATTTCTCAATTATGTTTAAAATATACTTTTGTTTTAGACTTGATGAAGCAGGAGACAAGCCGGCAATTAAACTTGAGGTAGACGAAACAAATGATTATTACTGCAAGGTTTTATTTAAAATAAATTAAGAAAATGGCCAGTCGGAAGAGAAATTTAACAACGCTATTGAGATAAAAACAAATCCAAATTATATTGAAAAATCATACGATTCTTGTACGATAACTCACAGTGATCCTCAATTAACAACCGACAGGGATGAATCCAAGTAATATAACTTTTTAAAATAAATTATTTTATATACATATTAATAAAAATTAATAATGTGATAACTGATAAGATTCTCTTTGACAAATTTTTTAGTGTCTACATTTATTAAATTAGGTAAAAAAATGTTTTTAAAGATTGTTTGTTTTTAACGCTATAAATGGTTTTAGTTCAAGAATGGCATAAATTTATTTTTTCTGATAACCTTTAGCTGAATAACAAGTTTTAATTTATTTATTTATTAAAATACATTTTTTAAAATTATTCAATTATTTCACTTTAGGTGTCGTAGAGTTCAATTTTAAACTCTCTTAACCTATCTAACTCTTAAAAAAGGCTGGTGAATTTTAATGTAGATAATATATACATATTTATATTGAGTAGCATTATATGTTTATGCAGTTACCTTAAAAATATATAAAGTGATCAGTTTAAATATAATTTTTATAAATTATAATAAATAAATAAATTCAAATTATTCGTATTTTATTTCGGTTAAACATTCTTAAAACGTATAAATGTTTAAAGTAGAGTAAGTAGTTTATCTAACCTAACCTAGTGTCAAGGGTCACTCCTAAAAAATCTTCTATGAATTTTTAGTATTACATTAAAAACGATAATAATAATAAAAGCTAAATAATGTTTTTTATCTGCGACAAAATATGTAGATAAAATAGATAGTCACATATTGGAGTTGATAATAGTATAAAGTTGGATTGTTATGCACCTGTACACGTCTATGATGTAAGTCCATGTAAATTGTAATATAGATGGGGCAATACATCCTAAGCACCTATTAATCATATTGTGTAACCAAAATCATAAACTATATTTGTTTTTATTACATTGCAACTATTTCAATGTCTTTTTAGTTATCAGTAAAATTTTGTTTTAAATATCTTTTGTTTTTTAGTTTTACTGAATAGAACATTTAAGTTGAAGTGGACGATTATAACCAAGGAGTAAACAATCCTCAAAAAAATGTACACTGGAATACATACAAGTAATGCAATTTCTAAAATACTTCTGAACACTTTGTTAAGAATAATATAGCAAATAGTATAGGCTGACTGACTTTCTATGTGGTATCTCGGCCTCTTTTCTTTTTATTGTCATACACAGAATTAATAAAAATTAAAATAAACAAAAGTAAATAGAAATGAAAAAAAGATATACATAAGCTATAAATTATCCTTTTCTCAAACTATATATCATTGATTACACTTTATAAGCTATACTACTTGGACCTATCACCTATGAAACACTTTTCAAGAGGTGGTGTTACCAAATTGGTTTTGTTCTATGGAGACGATTGTTGTATAAAACAAAAGTTTTACCCAAACGCGCCGAGGCATCTGTAATTGATTAAATTCTAGTAATTATTTGAATTGAACAATTCAAATGAAACATTAGAGTATTATCTTGTAGCGTTTTTGTTTTTTTTTTTTTAATGTTTAACATATAACAACATATTATACAATATATATTCTATGCATCCCCCAGCGGACCAATCTTGTTAACGTCACTATGTTCGACGTTGTCGACGTTATCGCCTTTGTCGTCCACGTTGTCACGTGCATCATTGTGTTCTAAAATTATGTTCTTGAGCATATCTAGAACTTCAGTGCGATTGTTTTTTGTCGTTATGTCGTCATCTTTTGCAAACACCCATTTGTGTTCACTCGACTCTACGACCTGTCTCAGAGTCCACGGGTCGTTATCGTTCACAACTTTGGTCCAAGATATTGAAAACAGTGTAGTAGCTGTAGCTTGTTCGGAATTGTGTAAAACCCAAGGTGTGCAACGCATGGACCGGCATTGCAGTAGTGGTGTCTTCACATTCGCCGAACAATTATTACTATTGAAAATTTGTTTGATTTCATAATAATTTGAAAAACACAATTTCATCAGAAACGGGTACTTGTACTCTGTAAGAAAACGGTCGTTATTATCATTTGTCTGACGTCAACCCCAAGAAAAATAATTGATGGTTTTAGTTTATGGATTCTATATTATACTATCATATTTATGTTAAAACAAAGTTATATTCGAACAGCAACAAATAATTATCAACCCAATTTTATGATTTTACCATTTTTACCTTTTAACGCTAAACAAAACTATTTTTCTATGGTTTTTTTTTGTCTGTACCCTATTGGAAGCCAAAAAATTGAAAACCCTTACGAACTAACCTAGTGGAAACTAGAAAGTGTACCTATTATTTTATTATTGTATGTAAGTTTCGCTGTACATTTTAAATAAATCGACTTTCATTATTATCACTACATTGTTAATATTAAATTTAAAATAAGTAAAATAGTAGGTACACGGGTATACTATAAAATTCGTATGTACACTTTAAAAAAGACCAATGTACAAATGAAATATAATACTTTAAACTAAAAGTCTTTAGTGTTTTTCAAAAAAAATAAATACTTGACGATTTCATAAGCAAATGGTTAGACTTTAAGACAGCTTTTACTGCATGGGCGACGTCATTAAATTCGATTAATCCCGTTGAACATTTTGCGTTCTGTGTTTTAGGCACTGTCAAAGAACCATTTTAAGTACATTAATTATGATTGCGATTGTTAAATCACGTTCTAACGTACAAATAGTTATGGAAATTATGGCTTCGTTGCTCTCGAGGTAATTAGATACAGCTTGATGTATGTCCAGCCCGGTAATGTCAGTTGGGGCGTTAAAAAAATGTAAAATCTATAACATGTTTGTGTCATTAAAAAAAAAAATGTAATATAATAGTACACTAATATTATAAGCCATGTGCTTACTTTTGACGGAGCCGTTGGTCTTCTGTTGTTTATGTGTGAAGCTTTGGTGAATCTATTAAGTTTACTTGTGGAGTATATTTTGTGAGCGTGAGTGCCGTCCAACAATTTACTACTTTTACTAGTTTCATTGTAGATAGAATAATGTTTCGAATATCTATAGGTATACAGTGTATCATATTATTATGTACATGTGCGAATGGTCTTAAAATAGATATTTTTGTTAAATTAACAAAGGTACCTCCGTGGTATCATTCGTACGTCCCGACGAATGATGTTACTTACTTAACTTCAATTTTCCTCTCATGGTCCAACATTAACTTGTGCAGTTTGTCTATACATTCGTCTGCCGACTCTAGCGTTTCCATCTCGACCAACGCCATTTTGCTTTTTAACACCTTCACTTTAACCACGTTTCCGAACAAACAAAACAAATTGAAAATCATGTCACAGTTTATTGACAAATGCTCAAGTCCGTAAACAGCGAGAATTTTGTTTGGCTTCTTAGGGGAAGACCAACGACCGTCGCAGGCCGTCGGACCATCGCCGGGGTGGCCCAGTATCTTAGTTATTTCACTGTTTGTCGCAGTAAATCGGCAGTCCCATACATTATGTTGTTCATTGCTGATATGGACAACAGGCAACAATAATAATATTATCATTAAAGTCTATAATTATTGAGAAAAAAAAAATAGTTAATTTTTTTATACTTTGAGTTCATCAGTTCGCGATGCCTTGAACATCTATAATTATTCAAAAAATTGTTTGACGATGACACTAGCGGCTGTCTTTGTTCAGTTTGATTTGTGTCCATAATATCAATGTTTTTCCCTGAAGACAGAATGTCGAAAATTGATTACAAAAATAACAAATCCTTTTTAGTAATTACCTTTAGATTTAATATATTTATTATTCGTTGTATACCTGCCAATTGTGTTGGGTTGTATAGAAGTATGACTGGTCTTTGTTAGTTAAAACACGTTGATATACAGTGTACGAAATGATAAACTATAGTAAAATTAATGTATTGATTTGCTTACTTAACAACGCGTTCTTAACAAAATAATATATTGCTATTGTTTCTTACAAACCACTTAATTGTTTTCCGTGTAAGACAAATATAATAGTATTATTATGATTTTTATATTTAATATATTAACATTGGAAAGTTCTTTTGGAACTTAGGGCATTGCAAATACAATTTTCAGTCGGTCAGCTATTTTATAAAAAGAAAACTACATAGTTTGTAAACAAATATTGCACAGGAATGTTAATACTTGCATGTGTGTATTAGTCTTAATGATATACTACTATATGACAGCACACTACTAACTTGTATTACAAGAGTTTTTATTAAACCTTGTGAGGTTAATGCTACTTACGCCGCTATGGTTTTAATACTCTTGATTATTACTTACAGCTTAAAAAAATACATTGACAATATTAAGTATTAACACATAAATACAAATGACATTTTGTTTGTTATTGTAATTTAATTATGTATGGATATAATGATCAGACCCAAAAATGTTAGTGAACGCATTTGTTCTTTTACTTGTTTGGGTATTTTGCTAACTTATGTTTTGCCTCGACCTAATTGATTCCAAATGGTTTGCGCCTCTGGATATTATAAACCCTTAACGGATCTCGAAGGACAACGCTGTCATCATAGATTGTGATGGTGTCTTCAGATTAAATATATCCAAGTATTCGCGGCGGAAAAGTAAAATATTATTTAGGATATTATAAACAAAGATGTATCATGTTTCCTGTAATTTCATCCTTTGTTTCTCCACTTTAATAGTTACTGTAGTGCATAATATAATACCTTTACCATAAGTAATTTATAAAACGTTGTGTATACAAGTATATATTATTTGATAAAACGTTACACCGCGTTGCTTTTGCGTGTTGCATTGATTAGATTGCTATATAGCTGTTGGATACAAATCGCACTAACTGCATAGTACATAGGTAGTATATTTTGCAGTCTCTACTGGCAATCGCATAGCGCTTGTTAGAATTATTATCCGTTGCATTCGATATGGTAATATATTATAATAATTATTATTATTATTGCTGCTGCTGCGGTCTAGTGTGATTCGCTGCCACCCGGAATGCCGGCTAATCGTTGCAATAAAATTACAAATGAGGATAAAATGTAGAGAAAAAAGTAACAAAATCATGATTAATTACACGGTTAGAACGGGAATGTTTCATATTATGAAATCCGTGTGCGATTTGAGCTGCGTTCTGCAGTTATCGCCGGTACACAATTGTTACCAGCCGATGTAAGCCGGTTAGTACCCGTAGTGGCGTTTGCCGGGCAAAGGTACGGGTTTTCCCACTTAGCAAATAGCTTTTAACAAACCACGTGTGCGGTGTCGGTCCGCAACATTTCTTGTCGACAATTTCTAAACAGCACAATAATTTCCAGCTACCCCAATACGGTCGACGTCATGAAGAGCCTTCTGGACATGTTCACCGGCAATGCTCCGACCGTGCAGTACAAACGCGACAGGGACGAACAGCTGATCACTTGTCGGATTTGCTATGACGGTAAGCAGACGCGAGGCGTTATTTTAATTGTTCCTTTCAACTACTAAAAGCCGTCCAAGCCGAGAACTAATGAAATGAACGGTTTCGGAGAGTTACAAATATTTTAAAGGGGTCTATTCGAGGATTGCAAGGGGTACTACCCCTATTAAGGGCGACTTACCTATTGAAGTCGATAGATTTACATTATTTAACATAAGTACAACAAATTTCGACCAAATTGTTAAAGTGACATAGTCTAAAAATAAGAAATATTATCAATACTTCAACAATTGGAGACAAACGGTGACCCACTCAAATTTGTCCAAAATGTTTTTACCAATATGCAAATTTAGTGTATAAATCAATAACCACTATACTTAGGGTTTAGTATTGCAAACGGACTCGACCAACCCCGATGGTCTTGTAATATATTATATTTTTATTGTACTTGATAAAAAATAAAAACCTTTTTTTAAATTAAATATTTACTTAAACCTTAATAATATACCGCCAAAATGCATCTTGTCGGCGCGCGGCGTACATACCTAACCAAAGAGACACCGCTTTTTCAATATTAGTTTAGATGGAAAATCGATAACTTTCGGTGTACGATTTCTGTCCTTTACAATTTAAAAACTGTCATGGCAATGAGCATGATCATTAAAAGTAATCGTTTATTTAAAACGAAAAAAAAAATAATTAGAAAACCATATTATTGTAAAACAGAAAACTTTTCAGTACGTCAAAAAAGCCAGATTTTAATTACATTTTATAATGTTAGATATCTGTTTTTTATTATGTGCCAAGAGCGGGTACTGGAAACTTTTTTATTAGTACTAACAAAATAGAATTATTATAAATTATACGTTTTATACGATTGCGTACTATCAAAAAATTGTTTTTTTCAAAAATGCCGGCATCTCTCCAAATACGTGTACCGCAGATTTCATATTTCTTCTCATTTCTTCGTTGATTTTCTCTATGGATTTCAAATCATCACTGTATCGATACAACTGAACGTAACCGATCATGTTGGCGTACCGTTGTGAAAACGCTTGGCACTTGAGCTCGAATGACTTTTTCCCATCGTGTCCTCCCTTTTTCAAGTCCCAGATGGTTTTGCGAATTTCCATTATCGGCAATGGGGATATGAAATTGTATCTGAACCGGACCGCCAACACGGACGACATGTAGGTGTCGTATTCTTCGAGTAATTTGTAATCTATCGTCAACCGCTTCCGAAAAGATGTCGTCATCAGTTCGCAGTACCGCTGTACAAACGCCATGCCGGCACTTTCGAAGGCGTTCATCATTCGAACATAGCCTTGCAAGTATGCGCCACGACGGTAGTAATGTGTCATTAAATCGGCCAACAGTACCCCGTGGGCTTGTACGCGGTCCGTGTCGTTGTTTTCGTGCAAAATAAGAGCCGTGAAAAATCGTCCTATGACCCCTTCGATTTCAGATTTCCCATAAGGATCGGTGTTGTCGCTAAAAGGAATACTATTGGTGTACGATGCGATGATGCCACTAAACCGATCACTAGAGGATGCGCCGGTTGTCACTTTGCTGATGCACGGTATGTTGCTGTTTGTGTAACACGTACCTTCGAGCAATTTATAGTCCAAAATCGCCCAATCGTTGTTGGCCGCTTCTCTCAGTGTATCCTTAGCCCTCCCATCGACCAAATCCAACAATTCCGACTGTTGCCGAGTTTGTTGCAGGGCACACGCCATTATTACACACAATTTCCACACATACATGGCTTGGACTTGTCGACGTCTCGGTTTCAACAAAAGAAAATCTTTACTGTTTCAAATCTTTACTGCTGAGTTTTATGGGTACCATATAACGTATGATTGACACAACAGTCTGTGTTAGTATTTGCTTGTACTTGTTTTTTTATAAAGAGACTAGCATACGCGTGCAGCGTTCGAAAGCACTTGAAAATTGGTGTCAATGTTTACACGACGACATTATTTTTACCTTTTACTTTTTTGCTCTGCATGTTTGCTAAGTTTTATACGTTTTTAAAACACAATACTTTTCGTAAAAACCGTGTATACTACAAGTCTAAATTATTGTATCTACCGATTCATATTCAGTAAAAAATCATCGATAAGCCTAGTTTAATGATCTTATTTCAATGATCTGCATTTTATAATTACCTTGATCTTTTGAAATTACCCCTTTTTGTTGATTTGAAATTTTAATGACTTTCTGATACGCGAAAAAAACAATTTCTTTTAGAAAGCTGAGATTATTTTACATAAGAAACTAATTTTTAATATTTTTTTTTTTTTTAATGGCTGAAGATAATATAAAAAAAAACGGTAAAAAAGAGATGTCAAGACAAAAACTCAACATACTTTTTATGACCATGGCTAAAATAATGGAAAAAATATTTTAGAACATTCGTAAACATATTATATAATTTTTGAGATAAATTGTACTATATGCAGAATCTCAAATGAAAAAAAAGAACTATCCCATCCAACGAGCATTATTTAAACTTTTCACGATACCAAATTTAGGAGATAATCTAATTTAATGTAAGTAGGTATGTTTGATTTTTTTTTTACCCATAGCTTTCTTTCCGTTTAAATTAGGCTGCCAAGTGACAGTAGTAAAAAATATAAATTAAGCTGAAGGACATGCATTTTTTTCATTTATACTGTAGTGTATTTGATTTTAGTAACCTCCTTTTTTTTACTGGTGTTTTTTTTTATGAATTATCAGGAAATTAAAAATATTGTTTTTAAGTCAGGTGGGATTATTTTCCAGTGGCTATTTCGTCGAACAAATGTGTAACAATATAATCACTGTATATCATACATATATCAAGTTACTCAACGTTAACTGAACCTAAAAAAAAGCTACTTGTTACACAAAAAACTGTTATTACTGGTAACCGAGTAACTCAAAGCTACGTCAAATACAACATTTTTACAATACCAACAACGTTACATAAGCATTTACCGGGAAAACGCATTTCTGATTTGAAATTATTTTAATCGTCTCTAAATCAAATACCATATTATAGCTATTATAGTTGCTGTGATATGTGCACAATAAGAGTACATTCCAATAAGATAAACATTAATATTTATTTAAATGCAAGGGGTTTCACATTAACTGCATGTAATGTTGTGACCAGACTTGACAGCTTTTTGTGTGTAATCGAAATTTCAGAAAACTTTTTTTCTCGTGTCTTATATGTTACAATCAAAATAAGTATTAAAAATATGTATAGGTACCTATTGTTTTGTACTATTACTGCTTGAACCATAAGCGTTTAGAATATAATATATATATATATATAGATTGTAAACGTCTAACTTCATCTTTGACATAAGATATAAATTCAAAAATTTGGCCTAAAATTATGTTTAACAAAGTTATGGAAACAAATTTAACACAAACCTAATCGCATCTTTACTAAAGAAATATCTTATTTATTTATGTGCGCATTCCATACGTTCTGAAATTCGATAAAAAAAAACCATGCAAATACACAATAACCGTTTTATTTAAATAAAAAAACGACAATCCAAAGTATCCTTCATTCGATGGCCTCATTATTTGTGCAGTACATTAATGGCGCAGCTTTTATACTACTTCTTAAACGTTCGTAAAAATGTTATATCTACGTTTATCGATTTGTTGTTTTGTTAAATAAAACGCAACTGGAACAGCTTGTGTCGAGTTTAACATGTGTATACGTGTAGAACGTTCGGAATTTTTGGGTAAAAAAATAACATACATATTATATACAAAATATTCGCTTTATTCGCTGTGTTCTTTGTTACTAGCACACAACAATTTTAGTACGTAGGCGTTACTGTTGTTTAATTCGTTTTTCTGGCAAGCGAAACTGGATTTCTCGGTGTAAAAAAATGAATCCAACCAAGTTTTTCGCCGCGATATTGCTGATGGAGTTGTATTTCTTTGCATCCGGACCGTTTGCTTCGTGTACGCCAAAGCCAGTCGCGTTTAATCAAACGAAACACTTGCTGTCTTTTTCCGGATGGAAAGACATATTGAATAACGTGAAAATGAAGAACGCCCAACAGGAGTTTGGCTACGACGACATGGTAGAGTCGGTCGACCAAATTGAGACAATTAAGACAAATAAGACAATTGCGGCTCACATATCAGCCGTGAACGCTCACATTTTTCTTACGTTGAACTGCAGGTATGCAAGTAGACTTTCCTTCATGAGTACGATTATCAATGACATGGCATTCGAGTGTGGATACTTTGCTTTTTCGGACGCTTATGATTCTCCGTTTACAATTGTACCGTTAGATTTCTACGAACAAGTACTCTATTCGGCGTTCGAACTGACTTCGATGGTGTTAACGTACGCTTATGGCGCGTTAGAGTATTTCCATAAGCGGATGCAGAGTAAAATAAGTAGCAAGAGCATACGTCCTATTAACAGATCGTTCAAATTGAATTGCGAACAATTGATGAACGTTTACAGACAGGCAGCAGTATCACCGGCCGATATCAGAAATCAATTCCAAGTCACCGTAAATTCTTTGCAGATGTTCGAGACTAAGATGGGCGAATATTCCAATCAAAATTGTCGCGTAGAAACCGGTTACCCGGACCTGTGGATCAGATATCGTTTTGAATTATTCAGCCTTAAGGAACAGTTCAATTTGTACCAACTATTTCTATATCTCCAAAGGAAAATCATAGAAGTCACCGACGATATTATAGAAAACAACTTCAAGGCTTGTGGGTTCCTATACAACACTGACACTAAAAAGTGTACATTAAGACAATCAGAAGCGCCTACATCCGAATTACACTGACCACACCTTGTCATTTATTTTTTAAGTGTGTCTCTGTATAGTGGAATTACTCAAATACACGAATAGTTCTATGGATGTACAATTTTTGCTTGACATTTTAATAGTCCCTTCTCCTATCAATTTAAATGAAACAACATCAGTTTTAACATGTTATGCAACTGCGTTGGTTTTTTTCCTTGTGGTTTATAGTCACGTACATTATCTATGCATTTCTATACATTATAGTCATGTATTATATTTATTTTTTAGAATCATTATTTTTTTTTTAAATTCAACAGTATGTCTGAAAACCCCTAAAACTAAAGTTTATTAAATAACTATTTTGCATGAAATTGTATTTCATTATAGTCCAAAAAATAAGCTACCTGATTAATACCTATGTTATATCCTACCTAAAAAGTATTTGAATTAAATATTTACTCAAATACATGAATATGAATTCTATGGATGTGAAAAAAGTTGTTTAAAATTGTATAGTTTCTTTTCCATTAACATCAGATTACATGAAAGTTATTTAGCTACTTTTTTTTTTTATGGTGGTATTGGTATGGTACGATTTAGAAAAAGTCCTTAAATATCATTAGGTACTGTTGTAATATTTCTTATCATATATTATATTATTATGTGTTATCAATTTAATCATTATCTTTTATTGCAAATAAATAAAGTTCAGTCTTGTGGTTTTTACATAATATGTCGTGACTTGTGTAATTCTTTTAATTAATTTATTAAATTAAATAATAATAATAAAGAGTTGTTCAGGCATAATATTTGTTAATCATAATAGTAACAATATTACATGTTTTTTTCAGTCGGTAGGATAATTTTTTAAATTAATTAAATTGTGATAAAAGATTATGATTAAATTGATAACACATAATAATATTATATATGATAAGAAATAATACAACAGGTACATCACAGGAATAACATTACATTGAAACAAAAAAACTGTTTTAGAAATTTCTGCTACTACTATTTTGTATGTTTAATATAAAAATACCAACTTTCGAAAACTATAGAAACATTATAGAAATGAAACAGTTTTCTCTCTACCCTTAACATTAGAATTATTAATGATCCTTTTGATTTTCATTAGGTTACCTATATACATAGTTATTTTTAATATAAATATCTCTGTACCAATTGGATTGTAGAAAACACGATTTTAGTGATGTTAAATATTTTTCAAAATAAATAAAATAATTAAAATGTTAACTAACATATGTAATAATCCCAAAACATACATGTTTTTTTATTATTAGTAGTATGAAATAAGTATGGGTGTAAAGCACTGTATTGCATTAACCATTACTTATTAGAGTAGGTTTGTGTTGATAGTGACCTCCTCTAATGACCATTGGACATTATGGTTCGTTTTTGTTTAAAATGAGACCACTAATTTTTTGAAATTTTTCTATTTATTTATATATTCCTTATCTATCTTAAATATTTCAAAATTGGGTGGGCCATTTTTATAGAATTGGACACTTAACAAATATTTTCATCGTATAGTTCATATTAAACAAATATTCCTCGTACTAATTTAATTTTTGAACTAAGTATGATGAATACATTTTTTTTGACTTTTGAGTATTTTATCAATATTAAAAATGTCCATATCATTATGTTCCACTCAATTAAAAAATATTTAAAAATACTTAGGCGACATTAAAAGTTGTTGGAAAAATATCAAAATATTAGTGGCTTCATTAGGTCCAACGATCATTAAGCTGAGGCCCCACTGAGAGCGATTTGCGTTTTTGCGATAGCGTGTAGCGTGTTGGCGATTTAGCGATTTAATCAACAGTATAGAAGTAAATATGTAGTGTCCCACTGACCGCGTGTAGCGTTTTACGATTTTAGCTACACGCGCGAGAATCGCTGAAAAAACAAAATTGTTTGATTTTCGGCGATTAATCGCTGTTAAAATGGTATCATCGTCGGTTCTGTCAGAACAAATTGCTGCTGCTGTATACCTACAAGAACCCATATGGAATCCGAGACACCCAGACCACAGAAATCGAAACACAGTCCTGAGATTTTGTAGGTCTGTTCTAGGACAAAACCTTAAAATTGATAAAATGTATGGTAATTTAATTATTTAATGTTATATATTTAGGTTTATTAAATTAGTTATTATAAATTATATGTTTTAGTACTACTGTTATACTAGTAATAAATAAAAATAGAGCTCGGATGTTAATGACCTAAAATGAATTTGAAAATTAATGTAGAAATGAACACGCGCGACATAAAAAAACGCTAAAGTGTCCCCACCAAAATCGCTGGTGGACATCTGGCGTGTAAAATCGCGGAATCGCTCACACGCAAATCGCTTTCAGTGGGTCCTTAGGTTTAGGCTAAACGACAAATAGTTTCTTGTGAGGAATTCAAATGGGAACTTACCGTGGGTACATTGTGCTATTAGGAATAATTATTGTGTTTGTATGTTGTTTATGTGTTGATTACAGATTTTTGAGAAAACCGTACCAGCTAAAATACCACTTTAGAACTATCTTTAGTCTATTTTTCATACTTCCAGTTCCAAAAGTACGCCAAAAAAAACGAAATTTACTAAAACTTAAAGATATCCATACGCAATATCGGAACTTTAAAAATTCTTTTTTCACCTTCATATTGTTCTCAATTCAGGCATAGGTCTTTCATTAATACTCTTAAAATGTTATGTCTACGCGAATTAGTTGTTTTATTACAACGTTGATTAATTACGGTTGGAGCAGCGTGTGTCTAGACTATCATGTATATAAATATAAGAACGTATGGATTTTCGGGTATAAAAAACTTGCATACAAATGCATATTGTTCTCTTTATTTAACTATTTACATAAATCACCATAATTAAAACGACGAACTAGCAAATAAAAAGCTTAGTACCAACTCAGTATTACGATTGTTTGGTTCATTCTGTGCGATTATTTTCTCCTCCGCTACTTGTAAGATATGTACAAAATGAATCTGACCAAGTATTTCGCCGCGATATTGTTGCTGGAGTTTTTGTTTGCATCCGAACCGTTCGCGTCGTGTGATCGGCTGTCCGAAACGATTAAAGAAACAAAACTTTTGTTGTCTTATTCCGGATGGAAAGACATATTGGATCACGTGAAAACAAAAACTGCCGAAGGGGAATTCGGCGACGGTGACGTGGCAAAGTTGGTCGACAAAAATGTGGACATTAAAAGGAGAGACATACTAGATCTGGTTAAACACATTTTTCTCATGTTGAACTGCAGATATGCAAGCAGACTTTTGTTCTTGAGTACAATCATCAAAGACGTGGCAACTAAATGTGGATACTTTGCTTATCCGGATGAAATACCTTTTTTTTCAATGTTACCGTTATATTACTGCGAGGAAGTACTATATGCGGCATTTGAACTGGCTTTGATGGATTTATCGTTCGTGTACAGTGCGTTAAAGTATTTTCAAACGATGAGCCCGAGAAGTTTAGATAGAAAGAGCTTACGGCCTATTAACAGATCGTTTAAATGGAATTGTGAACAATTGTTGAGCTTTTACAGACTGCCAGAATCACCGGCTACTATCAGAACTCAGTTGCAATCTACCGTAAGTGCTTTGCAAATGTTTAACGAGAAATTGCTTGACTATTTTAACCACAATTGTCGTGAGGAAACCGGTTACCCGGAACTGACCACCGCTTATCGTACCGGACTTGATGATTTAATAAAAGATGAACCCGATAAAATATTCGATTATTTCCAGAAGAAAATCGTAGAAGTCACCGACGATATTACAAAAAACAATTTCTGGGATTGCGGGTTTTTATACAACAGTGGAACGAAAACATGTACATTAAAACAACCGGAAACGTCTACATCTCAACCATGCTGACATGACCTTGCCATTTATAAATTTATATGGCATTTTTGTTCGTTAATATCAGTAACGATATCCTCGGCGTACATTTTATAATCATTTCTATTTCAAAATGTTGTTTTTATTTCTTGCTTTTCCTTAATAAAAATTATGTTTTGACTACAGATTTTTGAGAAACCTATACCAATAATGAAACCTCTTTAGGTCTGTCTAACTTTAGATTAATTTTTAGACTTCTATTTCCAAAAGTACGTCCATGAAGGAAATATTTAGTATATTTAAAGTATATACAAGTGATTTTATCAGAGTAAGCCAGTACAGCGGGTTCGAGGCATAATGGAATCAAAGCGTAGTGGATCGGAGAAGTCACGGGTCTACAGAAATTATTATAAATAACATTTATAAAATCACTTTAAAATAAACACTTTGATGCTAATTTTTAAACACTGCACCTCATTTTAATCCTTTCTTAAGGTGCTGGTTTATACTTTGCTCTGTATATAATACTCTATAATACTAACTACTGATTAGCACCGAAGCGTTTATTTGAATGCGATTTTATCCCTTTAAGTTGTAATAATTCCTGTAAACCTGTGCTCCGTCCCGTGTGTTTATTAATTAATAATTAAGGTATAGAGAATAATTTTTATTCGTCGATTTTAATAACGACATACTCGGGATTTATGAAAGAATGTTGCTTTATAATCTGAAAAAAATAACAAATTTATTAAATATGTTTTATCTAATTTCTTATTAAGCGGTGTCTCTATTTCATAGAATTAATTTAAAATATTTACTCAAATACATAAAGAATTACTTATATGGATGTGAAAAATGTTGTTTGAAATATTAATAATTCCTTCTCCTCTCAATTAAAAGAAAAAACTAAATTGGTTAATTTGTTGTGGTTTAGAGTCACCTTTTATGTGTAAAATAATACGTTTGTGTGTTGCTGTTATAATTGATCAGCCAAAATATTATACAACAAAACAATAAAATAACATTATTTAGTATTATAATTATCTTGTCACGCCCTGAATGACATCTTGTAAAAAATTGTCCAATGCAAGACGTTGGTTTGGTGTACGTTTTCTTGTTTAAAAAATAAGCAAAAAAAAAAAAAAATAGACAAAATATGTTTAAATGAAATTGAATTTTTAGGTCATTTAAATAATTACAGGTGTGACGATTTTATCAGATTCCGATCATAAAAAAGGTTTTTTTATATTGGTAAAAATGGTATGATATTAATTAGCATTAACTGAAATGTCTACATGTGTTTGTGACACTAACGGGTATTGTTGAACTATGTGTTTGTTCAGAAGATAAATGTGAAAACACAGTGTCACCATGCAATTGCGCCGGATCGCACGCCAAAGTCCACGCGTCATGTTTGGAGCACTGGCTGTCGGTATCGAATTCGAAGAACTGCGACGTGTGCGGTTATCCATTTCAAACGGTCGAACGAACATTGACTATTAGCGAGGTAAAACAAACTATCTATAATTAATTGATTTCCATATTTCGTTTTATATAATGCAGGCAACGGGTTTGCTAGTCGGGCAAGTGATAAATATAGTAGGAGAATAGAGGAATAATTGAGATGAAGCGGAGGTGTTGCCCGACCTAAACCGCTGTGAGTCTAGAATATGGCGTAGTTACGTGAATGTCGATACCTGAATAAGATAGCTGAATAGTTGATGGAATTGTCTGAAATACGATTTTTGGGATACGTGTAAAGTACTTGGATCAGATAGAATTAGAAACGAGTCTAGGAGAGGTAGACGGCGAGCGAATAAACAAACTACAATGGTTAGACATTTGCAGAGATATGACTGGCATAATTATGAGCTATTTGTATGACTTAAGCTGAAAAATAAAAAAAGGTTATCCTGTAATGAAGAGTGTCACACTTTTGGTTTTATCATGAAATATTTACAAAATAATAAATCCGGATTATCGCTATTTTGAGGGTCACATAATCAACCAAAATAAACAATCTAATATTGTGCCCAACTAATTTTGTAACTGAAAACTGTTCGCAGAAATAATATTCCATCGTGCTAGGGGGGTAAGATATGGTTTTTGAGATTATAGTTTTTTTTTTAAAGAAGCTAGTTAGTGGCCTAGGAGTGATTAAAAAGGGGAAAAGAGTATTGTAACAGAAGTACAATAAAAAGATACCTGTGTTTGGAAAAATGCAGTTGCTCAAAATTTAAATGTCGGTTTGCAACATCAGTTGCAACGTTATTTGTACTAATAAATTTCATTTCTATAGTTTTTTGTTCGCAGTGGTTGCAAAAAAAAAGGGATTGGCAACTGTTCTTTAAGAAAGCCACCATCGTTTTTGTGTTTTTCTTTGTATGGTGTGCGTTACTGGTCACTTGCGCAATTAAGACTTACGACTACTTCACAGATGTCGGCAACTCGTACTGGAGCGGGACCATCATGTTCGTCATCACGTTTTCCATGACTACAATAATGTGGTTTTGGCTAATCCTGTGTATAGTGTGAGTATATATTTTGTATTCCAACAATACTTACTACAGATCAATTAGTGTAGGCAGTGTTCAATTTTTCAGACAAAAAAACTGAAAAGAGAATGAGATAGCGGAGGTGAGAATTCTAAGAGTGTCTGGAGTGGAGTGACTAGGGAGGATAAAATGAGAAATTATTAGATAAGAGGAAGTCCAGGAGTTGAAACAATCGTGGAGAGAATAATAGAGTATAGATTCATATGGTTAGGTCGTGCTATGAGAAGATATGAGGCAGAGGCAGTAAGAGTTATTATGAAGATGAATGTAGAGGGAAAGAGTGGAAGAGGAAGACCGAAGAAAAGATGGATAGAGTGTATAGTATTAAATGTTCTATAACAGTGATATGAGGATAGCTGGGGTGATTGAACGAGATGTAGGATATAGAGCTTTTTGGAAATGTAGGACTAGAGTGGCCGACCCCATGTAGTTGGGAGTGTAAGGCAAAGATTAAGATGAAGAAGAGTTCAAATTTATGGGTGTTTACTAAAAATAAACATTTCTTAAGTTAATCTCATTTCAACGACTTCCTATACGTATAACCCGTCCAGTTTATCTTGACACCTGGGTCATTAAAGTAGTCTTAGTGTTAGTATTTTTATGTGTGTCAAGATGAACTGGATGGTCAACGCTGCGTTAGTTTTTTGTCTATAGTATTACATTTAAAATGACCCTTATTTTACCCACAGACTTTGGAAACGTATGAACATGGTGATTGCTCTGGACCAAAAACATTTGAACCGGAACATGAAATTACATTTCGAAGCGGCTACCGTTGTGTGAACTCTAAACATAGTCCGTTATAGTATAAAATACATTGTAATTAATATCGAAACAAATGTAATAACTATTAAAAAGTAATTAAAGATTAAAAATTTAATTTTTTTGTAACAACGATCAAACCATAAAAAAATTATAAAACCTTTTGTAATGTGTAATGATATATATTGCTTTAACTTCTAAGCGGAGCTGAGAAGCTGAACCGCTTTATTTTAGGGACATGTCTGTAGATCAAAAGTCATACCCTTTAAAAGGTACTATATTAGGCCAAAAATTCAAAAAAAGTTCCAGATAAGTATTTAAATTTTTTTTAAAGAAATACCAAAAAAAAGGGGATAATACATTTTAAATGTGGTCAATTTCTAGGTTGCTAAGTGTAAGTGAATCACGTTTATAATTAATGACACATTATAATATATTTTAAATTATAATACATTTAACAAAGTTATGGAAACAAATGAAGGGCACAGGGGGAAACGGGTAGTAGTCACATTATGAACATTTTAGTGTATAGCGAAAACAAAGTTCGTGAATTCCTCCCCCTCTTACATAAAAACAAAAAAATCACATTAAATGCTATTCTAATAAAAGATGTACTTATTTAAACAATCTATTTTCATAAATAAAAAAAATTAATGGCATAAATTGAAAAAAACTATTTGAAAAAAAAAATGTCATAAAGTGACTACTACCATTTTTTCCCTGTGCCCTTCAAATTTAACTTAAAAATTGTTTTCGCTCGAAACTGATTACAATTGGCTATATCAGTTGTTATATCAATACAGCAATCATGATTCGTCAAAGCAAAAAAAACATTCCTCTAAAAATGATAACAAAATAGAACCATTAAAAAATATATTTATTGTTTAGAACTTTAGTCTGAATAATAATAAAATACGTTATTTAAGTCTATTAAATACACTCAAAATTATCTTAAAATACGATACACTTAACTATTTCTTTTTAGTAAACACATGGATTGTGGATTTGCAAATTCTATAACACAAATTGCTAATTATTAAATATTGAAGTATATTGTATTTAAATAAGAACTTGAACACATTTAGTGGACTCGCTGTGTTGGGATAATTTATCTAGAAAAATGACTCTGGGTGGTAGCAGCTCATTTGCTAATTCTTAAAGTGGACAAAATAATGTTTGGTCTTGGCGAGACTAAGCTTCTGTTCAGCACATTTCCATCGTTTAAAAGCTTTCAGAGCGAAGAAGTTTGAGGCTTATGAAAGAGTGCACTGCGAAGAATCTGGAGAAGAACTTACTCAGAACCGAAGGGCGGATATTGTAGTGGTAGACAGGAGCAGAGGGCGAGGCCTCATCTTAGACCACACAATTCGATGGAAAACTAATGAAAACTTACAAGACGTGAAAGTACATGAAGAAAAAGAGCTATATACATGCCGTGTACTCCAAGTCTAAGCCGTCTCTATAACGTAGAAGGGTGGGAAGTTGTCGGAGTCGCATTAACAGGATTTCTTAAAAAATCAGAATCTATTACGAAGAGATCTTTTTTTATTAATTTATTTTTTTTAAATAAAAAATACAATCTGTATGAAATATACAATTACTATTTGTGATAAAGTAATATATACATAACTTGAATAACTTGTGGAGAGACGGAACTCTTATTGGCATGCGAAGAGATCTAACAAAAATATTTCTGTTGGTGTTACAAGACAAATTACATATAACCAACTTCCATTTATATCATAAATACCTATTACCATTTTTGCAAAACATTTGTTATTTTATTTTAGTTTATTGTATGTTATTTAATTTTAAAAATTAATTTTATGTAGACTGCTATGTACGCTGTATTGATAATTGTAAACTGTGTTGTAAGGGCAACTCACAAAGTGAGCAGACCGCTTATTTTTTTGAAATAAAGTTGTTTATAGTTTTACTAAAAATAAAAAAAATTATAGGTGAATGTAATACGACTCTCAAATTTCCAGATTTAAAAATTAAAATATATAAAAATGATCCTTAAAATAAGTCGAAAAATTCCATTTTATATATTTAAAATTGAAAAGTTTTTTATGTTGGTCCGTCAATTACGACCGAAGTTAAAAAATATATATTTCTTATTATAGCCTAACAAATGTGTTAAATAATACCTCTCGACGCTATTATGCTACAAAACAAAACACAAAACCGACTATACTTGAAGTCGGCTGAGTAACATTCGTTCGTTGTGACCTGATTACTTTTATATATTTTTTTGAATGTATAAAAAAATTGTCTTTAAAAAATTCCGTCTTATGTATGAAATAAATGACTGGTTGTAAAAAAACCATACTGTTGGTGTATGTTTTTTATCATCACACGACAAGAAAGTTTAGTTCAAGTAAAAACGACTTATTTATTACTATCATAATATAAAATATCGTCAAAAAATGTATTTATTATAGAAAGCGTTGAGGTGAATCATTTAAAAGAAATATTGCTACACAATGACTGTAAAAAAAAACGGTACGCTTTAAGACAATAATTTCTTGACGCAAAACTAACCACTGCTGCCTAGTACAAACAAAGGTATAAAAATGTATAAACGTAGGAAACATTCAGAAATTCGGGCGAAAACAATTTTGCAAATACACGCATATTCGCTTTGTTTGCATAAGAAATTCAAAACTCAAACGACGAACTAGTGAATAACAATCTACACACATACTGAGTGTTACCGCTGTTTGGTTCAGTTTTTTCGCCGGTAACGATTTCGTATACAAAATGAAAATAGTCAAGTATTTCGCCGCGATATTAATGTTGGAGTTGTTTTTTTCATCCGAACCGTTTGCGTCGTGTGATCGGCTGACCGAGACTATCAAAGAAACCAAACTTTTGCTGGCTCATCCCGGATGGAAAGACATATTGGAAAACGCGAAAACAACAAATACTGGTGCCCAAGGACAGTTATCTGACGACTACGTGGCAACGTTCGTCGACCATACGGATGCCATTAATAGGTATAACGTTTTAGCCGTGAACTATCACGTTTTCCTCATGTTGAACTGCAGGTACGCGGGTAAATTTTCGTTCTTGTCGACCATCGTCAACGATCTAGCAACTGAGTGTGGTTACAGTAATTGTCCGGATCAAACGCCTTCGTTCACAACGCCGTCGTTAAGTGTGTTCGATAAAGCATTATACGCGGCCTTTGAACTGTTTTCGATAGTTTTGACGTACGCTTATAGTGCGTTAAATTATTTCAAAACGTTGATGGTACAAAGACAATTTACCATGAACTTACGTTTTATTAACCAATCGTTCCAAATCAGTTTGAAAAAATTATTGGACTATTACAAAGGGCAAGAATCACCGTTAACTATCAAAACTCAATTGCGACATACTCTAAGTACTTTCCAGATTTATACGCTCAAGTTGAATAAATATTTCGGCGAAAATTGTCAAGAGGAAACCGGTTACCCGGAACTGACCGCCGGTTATCGTACCGGACTTTTGGAAAAAAAAGAGGAATCCGATTTGGAACAAATATTTGATTATTTCCATATGAAAATCACTGAAGTCACCGACGATGTTGCAAAAAACAATTTCTGGGCTTGCGGGTTTCTTTACGACAGTGAAACGAACACGTGTGCATTAAGACAACCAGAAACGTCTACATCTCAACTATAACGACAGCCCCCTGCCATTTATCCAATTGAGTTTATGTTTATTAATTTATATTTAGGGTAGAGGGAAAAATGTTTGTATTCGTCGATTTCAGTGACGACATCTTCATTTTGAGAATAGTGAAAATATATTTCATTATAATACCAAAAAACAGCAACTTGTTAGGAATAATATTACATAGGTACAAACATAAATACTTTTTGCGAACATTTTTGCTACTACTGTTTTATGCGTTTAATATTTAAATACCCACGTTCGATTATAGAAACGAAACAGTTATCTCTCTACCCTTATCATTATATAAATCAATATTTTAAAAATATATATAATAATAAATACTTTGATTTTGATTAAGTTTACCACATAGTTACATTTGATATAATATAATATGTACCACTTCGATTGTAGAAGACACGGTTTTAGTTTTAGTTATGATATATATTTTCTAAAAATATAACGTTTTATTTTTAACTAATTAGACGTAGATTAATAATCTTATTACATCTATGTTTTATTATTAACATTATTAGTATGAAATAGGTATGATTGTAAACCATGGTATGTATTAATAATTAATTATTTGAATGTTTTTGTGTATTAAGTGAATGTTATACGACTCTTAAACTTCCGATTTCAAATTAATATATATATATATATAAAAAATTATCCTTATAATAAGTCGGAAAAGTCCGTTTTATGGTTTAAATAAATGACTGATTGTAAAAATTACTGTTGTTATTGTCTTTTATTATAGGCGTAGCTTACAAAAATTGTTTACAATCTTATTTTCGATTAGTGTGTGCCTTATACTTGCCATGCACATACGTGGGTTATGCACAAAAGAAATTTGATCGGTTCGCGCATGCAAATATTATGCTCCTATCTATCAAAATATGTTGTGTTAAGTATGGTTTTTGGTTCACAGACATTGCTGTGCTCAAGACTTTTTTTGAATTTTTATAAAGTACAAACGCATGCAACGGTTCCTTTGCCTTGATTGTAGACTAAAAAAAAAATATGGAAATATTACTACTGTATATAGTAATACTATTTATTGTACAAACATAATATTATTATAAGCTGTTATCTTTTATCGTAACTCGTATTCGCTGTTTTTTTTTTACAGATGGCCGATGGTCTTTTGATGTTTAAAATCAGTGCATTAAAATTAGACGCTCTATTGGCGTGTAGTTTTGTTTATTTGTGTGTTTTGAAATATTAAAATTAATAAATAATAAAAGTAATTGACTGCGATCAAGTTTTATTAGGTACATTTTATAAACATGCACCACAAACTATTTTACCCATTAGCCGCCACTGGGCTCAACAATTAAAAAATATACAAATCAGTGAAGATAAATATAAACATTATTATTTACAGTGTATATGATTAATAGTAATATAATGTACAAAACCGAAACAAAGAGAACAGAGAAATAAATAAAAAGTAGATATTTAAATATTGCAGACAGCGCTTAGAAGGATAGAAATAGTGGCAGTTATGATAGGAACTGA